TCTCCGTACCGGACGGCAATGCGACATGTCCAATCTGTGACAGATGTGGATATAAAAAGAAGAAAAGAAAAGAAAAGAGGCTAAAAACATTAGGAGAAAGGAAAATGCCAGTATATCCTCAACCCCGTGAGTCGTAAAATGGTAAGGGAGAAACAACCGTCCCAGTCGTAAATAAACGCTGACGTGGCGAATGCCGTGTGGAAAGAAGAAGAAGAAGAAGAAGAAGAAGAAGGAAAAGGCTGTAATCTGTAACCAGTTCAGTGGTGAGGCGAGGCAAGTTGCTCAGAGCCATCAGCATCACTGAACGGAGACTGTCGCGACGAGTCAACATCGCCACTGCGCATTTGATTTCGCAGCGCAGGTAGCTGTCGTCGCCGAGCATTGATAAACCAGTTACTAATCTGCACGCGCAGAACCCATTAGCAACTCTTCCCAACCAGACCCGCAAGGTCATATCTTACCTGGCTAATCGAAAGACCCGTCCTCGTCATGAACATCTGCTTATCCTCCTCACTAGGATAAGGATGATCAAGATGCTCATGGAACCAAGCGCGCAGGATATCCGTCACAGGCTTCGGCAAGTTCCCCCGTCTGCGCTTCGTCTTCGGATCAATAGTATCACCCAGAATACCAAAATTGGCCTGCTGCCCATGAGCCATCATCTGTGGCGGCATCTGCTCCTCGCCGGGGTATCCCATAGCCGGATGCCCATACGGCGACCCGGGGTGCATCATCGCCGGCTGGTAATGCTCTGCGCTGCGACGATCAGACAAGGGCGCCGCCATGGGCCCGGGCCCGGGCCCGCCAGGCTGGCGATACTCCTGGCCGAAGGGGTCGGAGCGTGGGGGTGGAACTGGGCCTCGCTCGGGATATCCTTTGCCACCACTGCCGCTGCTGACAACACCCTGGGTGTTCATGTTTCGGCCCGGCATGGAGTCCAGGTCGCGGATTGGGGGGAGGATCGGGCTAGGTCCGCGAGTTGAGCTTTCCGATAGCCGCATGTGGTGGCCGGGGTCGGCCATGTGACGTGTGTGGTCTCGGCGGCTGACTGTGTATTCACGGTGTGCGTCGTAGGGCACTTTCGAGGGGTGCGAGCTGTAGCCTGGGATCGATCGGGGATCTGCCATCTCGTGGCCTGATCCGGGGCGCTCCTGTTGGCGTGGCGGGGTGTAGTATGCAGATGTAGATTCGATTTCATCGTGGAGGTGAGCGGGGAGGAGCTGAATGAAGATTAATATCCAATATCGTCCGATATCATGTGTTTTAGAAGTTTAGTCTTACCTCGCGGAACGAAGGGAGAGTTTGAGAGCCGGCCGGCGGCTGGCTTGTATACGAAATAGCCATATCGGAATCTTCGTCCTCACGGGACTGTGACATAGAGAGGGAAGAGGGAAGAGAGAAGAGAGAACTATACAAGATTAATGAGATTCATAAGAGAAGGGAGGGGGAACATACCAGGGAAATCAGGCTTTTTTACATCAAGGGCTTATATGCAAGGTTGGGGAATCCAAATAATGTAGGGCCCGTACATTTTAAGGAAAAGCAGAGCCAAAATCCAATAATTAAAAATAATGTCCATGGAAAAGCAAGAACAGGGGGGCCGAAAATGACGATCGTGGTGGGTACAAGTTCCGAGGCATGCATAGAGGTTCCTTAGTTGACAGAAGTCTCTTTTCCTGTCAGTCTAGGCGATCTTCTCCCCGGGATTTGGTTTGGGAATTTGCTCTAAAATTGGGGCTTTTAGTTGAAACTCACATAAAACGTATCAAACATAAAACGAGATAAAACAATATAACATATCAAACACATACGTAGGGGAAGTATACCTCCCCACTAGAAAAGAGGACAGTAAAGGTGGAAAAGATCGCCGAGTCCAAATCCGAAGATGACTCTCGATCGCAGATGGCCCGGAGCCTCTCATCGGGCACGGAGATCGATCGACCAAAGAGAAGCGAGAGAGGGAAGAATCCATGGCGGCCCATGGACAGGGATGGGCAGATCGCCTAGGGGTTCTTCACTCTCTCCACTCAAGTGGCGTTCCTTTTTTTTGCTTTTTTTGCTTTTCTTTTTCTTTTCCTTTTTTCCATTTTCTTTTTGTATTTTCTATTTTCTATTTTCTATTTTCCCTTCTTTTTGTTCTGTCCCTTTGGATCTGATCACAAACTATCCTATCTTGCTTTTTCCCACTGCCTGTGGCTTAGCCTGCATATGATATCTGAAGCACTGCGCAGATGAACACTGGATCTGAGATGACTTGACTCTGCGCTAATTAGATCACTAAACACTAGGCCACACCCTAGGAACTAGTCACAACCTGACAATTCAATAATGGCGCACTCGGAGATCCTAAGTGGACCCGAGTCGATGCAAGCTGAACAAGACTGTGATTCAAGCCAATCAGGCCAACGGAACAATGGAGTCGCTCTGACAGGATCCCCTGGCAGATGCCTCTATTGGTCTCATCCTCCGTCTTAATACATACATGTAGACATTAATATTGAAAGAGGACTGGATCACTTTGTAAAATTACATCTATTATTGGTATAGCATTAATCTGACACCTATTACCCGACCCTCAGTACCGTGACGTTTCGGAGACTGTCCGCCCACCCCCCAGTGCCATCCCAAGGACCCAGGGCTCAAGGTTTAATGGCCAATTTGTCTCAACAGGGTAGTCAGCCCCGGGGGATTCTCAGATCTCCCCTTTTTGGAGAAATTAATTTATTTTCTATCCATGGAACTCGGACCCAGCAAGCTGGTTTCCCCTGATTCGCCATCCCAGATCTGATCTGAATTTGACACTAACCTGTCTAAATTAGTGTGACCTCAGGTCTGTCTATCCACATAGTCACAGGCCACAGGCCACAGGCCACACAGGCTACAACAGCAAAGAGGCCAAATAATATACTAATAATACAGTAGTATGTTAATGTACTTCTAAAACACATTCGCCCCCAAAGCACAAGTACAGTGATTGGAATTCAACCCGATCGTCATACCTGCCATGACCCCAGTTTAGGCCCATTCTCAAGATCCGAGATCGTGCATGAAATGGAGGGATGCAGATCATCAGATCTCGCAGAAAAGAACTGCGATCGTCCCTCGAAGTGACTGGTCCAAAAGGGCAATGTTTGGGGAAATTTGGAGAATGGGGCTAGGGTTGGACTTATACGGAACAAAAGCTCTAGAACTGCGGAATACGTCGCCTCATGCACGATATTTGTCATGTCCCGGTACGTGGGAAAGCTGGTCGGGAATATCCGTATGAATATTTATTTATTTTCTTTCCTTTTCCCCAATTTTGAGGGTTTTGGGTAACCTTATTTTTTTCATGACATTTGAGCTTCTTTGTCTTACCGTACCTATAATTGTTGACCTGCACTTTGCCAAGATTCCATCCAGAATCAATAGTCTCCTTTCAATTCCATTTTACTGTACAGTGTTACCACAATCTCCTTCTTTCGGCCTTTGAATGCATCCCGGTTTCTTCACCTTCTGCCCAAATGTCATGTCACTCTATCACCGGGGGAACCCCAAAGCCCAGAGAGCCAAGATAGGGATGGAAACAAACTACATATACACGCAAACACCCCATGCACAAGGAACAGTACCATTGTACTGTACCTCCAGCAAACCCTGTCGCGCATCGCATCTTCGTTATGTAGTATCACAGCAGCAAGCAAGGCAAGCGAGACACACTCACAAAAACAAAAGAAACTTGGTACAGCTGCATTGCAATTTCAACCAATCCAGCCCCCGCTGCATGTCCAATTTCCAGTTTCCTGGTTCTGCATCCTCGATAGGTCGGTGGAGGCTTGCAGCCGGGCACGAAAATCTAGATAATCCGATTTGGTTTCTTGTTTGCCTTTTCCTCCTGACAGGGTATCCTGGCGTTCATCTCGTGGCATGAACGGTAGTTCATGCGCGACTCAAGTAAGGCAACCAATCCGTCGCTAGGAATGGAGGACGATATTTATGGCTGGGATTGTTATTGGTTCGATGGGTTGTTATTTATTTATTCTTTCTTTCTTTCTTTTCTTTTTTCCTTTTTTGTATACATGTATGCGCTGTACGCTGTACGTATGACGTCGGTGTTAGCTCTCTTGCTATTTGGGGTTAGACTGCGTCTGTGGAGAATATAGGTGCATATACACTCTCAGGGGACCCGACAGTGTGGAAGTGATTTGTGACTTGTGCGATGGTGTAGCGAATAGTCCAATGAAATGCCACGCGACCCGAGAGGTTGTTTTCTTTGTCTTCGATACCTAAACCCTAAAGCCGATGCGCGTCGTCGGGAAGTGGTTTTTGTTTATTTTTGATTGGCTGCATGTTGCAGATGTCACCTTGCTATCGAGGCCAAGATGTGGCTGCAGTATCTGTAACGTCAGGATGGTACCCGTGCCCTGCTACTGCATGTTTATATGTGATCGACGTGACGGAATGTTTAGGCAAGCGTCCCCCGTAGGAGTGGTCATTGTGATGGTGTTTGTAGGTGGGCGGTGGCCTGTCATATTTGCTAGAATATTTATACCGTGAAATATCAGGTGGATCTACGCCTTTCCCGAGACGTGATATATTTTGATATTGCTTATTCCAAGCAGTCGACGAACGAAATCGGCTTCCTTTTTTATTGCTCTCTAAATCTTTCTTTTTTGCCTCCTTTTTAGCCTCTTTCTATCATTTTGCAGATCTGTCATAGCCAAAAAAGGACAATCCTTACATAGCTTCATTAAAGTACACTGATATGCCAACTTCAATCGATTTTAACCTGTGGATGTCAAAAATGCTGCATTCATGATTAATATGGCATATAGTAGCATGTAGAAATAATGCAGTCCCATTGTAAAAATATGATATATTACCCGAAGTAGATAAGAATAAAGAATGACAACGCAACGAAATAGACACCAAAGAATAAGAATAACCCATAACCTCCGGTAAATAGCAATACCGCCCTCCATGGTATATGCATCCCTGCACGTTGGAATAGATTCAAGCATCTAAGACCGCGCCGCCGAGTCAAGAGCGTTTTCATCGATGACTAACGGCGAGCCTCCATCGTCGCCGACTTCATCACTACTATCCACGGTGACAAAGAGAGGAGAACTCGCACGCCTGTCATTCGATTGAGAACTGGGAGCTGACCTGTTTGATGGGAGTGGACGAGGGGTGACGACACCCGTCGTGGTCATACGGAACACCTTCCGAGCCTCGTCACTCAGTCGAGGCTTGCGAACAACTTGGTCACTTGAACCCTCGCTACGCCGTTTCTTGCATTTTTCCGTATTCTTGAGTGAGTTGGCTGCAGGAGGTGCCTTGTCAGTGGTGACTGGCTTTTTCGCCATATCCGACCTCAACGGGTCGGTGACTCTTCTAAACACAGCTAGGTCGGGGTTTTCTCCTGACTGAACAAATTGGATGAAGCTTGCGTATGCGATCTCCATCAGATCCGTACTGTCGAAGTCAGGATCGATGCTCGTGAGGAAAGTGGCGAATCCGGGCATGTTGATGGCCTGCATGAATTGCGGCAGTTGCTGCTTGGGTCCTAGGCCCGACCTCTGGGTCATCTTCAATTGGAAGATAGCCTGTTGAAACTGGCGCACGAACTCCAGGGCAGTGATTTCCGAGTGGTCATATTTCAGCTTGGTCCATTCGGACCAGCATCGTGAACCGGACATCAATTTCTTCTCCGCAAACTGAGCCTCTAGCTTTTGGTAGGCCTCGTGGGTGTCGTAGATGTCCTTGACATGAGAGGCAGGTTCATCCGCTAGCGTTGAACCTAGATAAACGCGGACCCGATAGCTGTCAGCTTTCCAAGCGGCGATGCGGGCCTTCTGCTTTGCTTGGTCTACTTTTGTCACCCCTTCGCCCGTCAGTGGAACGGGGCAACGGTATCTTCCAGTGAGGATTTCGAGGTAAACCGGGCTGATATCTTTGAGGATCACGAAAAGACGTTCGGACCAGGACATCCAGTTCGATTTTCCCTTGAGCCTGGGCACAGAGCGGCTCAGCCGAAGCTGATCGGCAGCTCCCATAATTGCAAGGATATCGTCGATGTTTGTTGGTGGATAAAGCTGAGCAAGGATCGCGCAAAACTTCTTCCAGGAGGCAGTATCAGTGTCGCTCATTGCGAGACCACAAGTGGAGTAGAGCCAACTACTTGCAGTGAGCCCTTGACCGTTGATAGCCACTGACAGGGCTTTTGGCCTCTCTTTTAGTCTCTTGCGGTGTCTTTTTGATGCCACCGAAAATAAGACAATTCCTGTAATGAGTGAAGATTAGTGAAATCCATGAGAAGGATGTAACTAGAAGCTGGATCGACTCACGGGGACGGTAATTTGATGATCTGCGATGGATATCATGCAGACCGAAGAAGAATCAAGAGGAAGCCGCTGCGGTGCAACGTGATGTAGTATAGGCACGTCTTCTCAGAATGAGCAGATTGATGTTAGCAAAGATGGGTATAGAGTAAATGAAAGAACCGATAGGGTAAATATAGGAAACGTTCGAAAGTATGAAGAAAGTAAGAAATGACGGACGTGAATACAAAAGGAGCAGGCCCTTGAACTCACGAAAAAGAAGGCTTCGTTGGACTAGACTTATGTCATGAAGAAGAGTGAGTGCTTATTCTCTCGGATAATCCGATGGTTAGAAAAGGAAGAGACCTTTGATCAATAAAGGATGAAGAAGTGCGAAGGAGGAAGAAGTGGTATCGAGTAAGGAAGAAAGTGCGATGAGAAAGGGAAAAATATGAAGAAAGAAGAGGACGTATGCGTAAAGATATAGTTTCTTGAACTCACAAGGAAGAAGGCCGTAGTGGACAAGCCTGATACCGCGAAGATGACGGGGTTGGTCTTCTCCGATGTACAGAGACCTGTCGAGGGAATGGGATGGTATGATAGGTTGGAGGGCAAGCAACCTTCGATGGTTGAAGAGAGAAGAGGTGTTCTGGAATAAAGAAGAAATGCGAAGAAAGAAAGAAAGAAGAAGTATTATGATGAAGGAAGAAGATAAGTCGAAAAAGGAATCGTACTTTAAGAGAGAGGAAAGAAGAGTGTGGAAGAGGAATGAATTGTATGAAATCCAATTGACGAAGCTTGATGAGTGAGAGCACTTTTTTCACGCCTAATCTGTCTATAGAACATGCTCAAAAGTATCTCGAGGCACTGAAACCCGAAACCGCAAAGTCGCAGAGGTAAATTTTCAGAATTTCAATCCGAGTGAAAGCACATCGCCCACGTCTTGTTCGACGTTAGGGTAAGCAAGGTACTGGATTGTCGCAGAGGAACAAAGACATAACAATTTGATCATTTAATATGATATGCGGCACATAATTGAAGCACCTAGGGAGTGAACGTCTCGCCCTTCAGCGTGTGCGAGGAAGGGCTATATGCAAGATACTCCATCCAGCGGAAGTTCGCTTTCGATCAACTCGGTTGGCAGAATGGAATGGAGCCTAGTGTATAATATGCCCCCGAGGTCCTAGGAAATCTTCAATCTCTGTTGTTGACCTGGACAAGGCGGATAGGCTAGATGACGCTGGTGCTATGTATATGAACAGTCACGCTGAGAGGACCGACGGACACATGGAATGACAATGAGAATTCCTGTTGCCAAATCACTGAGATATAGAAGATGATTCAGGAACTGACACAATAAAGAAATGTATCCATGTTCAATCAACTGTATAAGAATGAGAAACGCAAACCCGAGAAATGAGAGAATAAGGAAAGCCATGCATGCAAAGACAAAACATAAGACAAGAGGAACCAAATCAAAATATGAGAACAGATAACCGCCCCGCTAAAATACGACAAAACAAGAAGTCCATAGAAAGATGGAAAAGCCAGGATGATAGCGAAATACCCAGTCAAGAGGTATCAGCCGTACTGGATGGAGCTTGTCGAGAGAAGAAGAAAGCGAAAAAGGAAGAAACGGCGGAGGGTACGCAGATGCAAAGAGAAATATATACGAAGGACAAGCGACCAAAAAAAGATATGCAGTGTATGGAGACATACGCCACACAGGGACGACACGATCAAGGAAGAGTTGATTACCAAGTTTCCTGCATAGTGAAAAATGCACAAGTCAGCACAGCCCCCAAGTAACCAGTTAGGCAACCATAAACTTACAGCAATATATTGGCCAGCCTCCTTCTTGCGCTGCCAGAACATATCAGCCTCCTGGGCGTTCAGATTACCCTTGGCCATGGCGACTTCGACAAGCGCGGCTTCGACGCCCTCGCCCATACCCTTACCGCTACCACAGACGAAGACACGTCCATCGAGCGAGTTAATGACGAACCAGACCAGATCGGCCTGGTGGCGGACTTCCTCTTGCACATAGCGACTCTCGCCCTTGCGACTCTGTACAACAGTGCGCACCTTGTCCTCGTGGACACCCCATTCGCCGCTGTACAACTCATCGAGCAGGGAATCTCGCACACCCTGCAACACCCAGACCTTGTTTGCGCAGTTGGCGGATTGCAAACGGCGCTGGACGAAGCCGCGGAATGGGGCAATGCCGACGCCGGCGCCGATGAGGAGCATGGGTCCGTCGGACGCAAAGCGCGTGGCGAGCGGGTTGGCCATTAGGCCACGGAACATGGGGACGTGGAGGTCGAGTTTCTCGCCGTTGGCTTCAGCGGCGATGGCGCGGCGGGCGAGGGATTCCAGGTACCCGGATCCCACGCCTGTGCGGGTTCCGCCCCGCCAGTCGTCTGACTCGGCGACTGTGACTGCTACTTCTATCAGGCGGCGGCACTCTGAGCCCTTGTATTGGCAGGAGATCTGGGGGTCTTGGGAGAGGGAGTAGAAGCGTGGCATGAGGGTGTTGAGGACGGAGAGGAGGTGATCGAGGGGTGGTTGGGAGGAAGGGAAGGCGTGGAGGAGCTGCGAGAGGGAAACGAAGGAGCTGGTACGGAGATCGCAGAAGGCGCCTTGGCCTTGTGCCGAGGAGAGGTATTCCAGAATCTTTTTCTCGTTTGGCTCGCTGCTGTGCTCGGCGAGAAGGCGGAAGAGAGGCTTTGTCGGGGCGTAGGATTGAATATCGGAGCACCAGCTTAGGACTTCGCGGCGGGTTGTGACCAGTTCACGGGGCTTGTCGTCACCCCAGATCGTGGGCCAGCGGCCCTTGGTGGTGCGCATGAGGATCTTCTTATCGCGCATTGAGCGGGGCACACCGAGCAGGTTGAGTACATCTTCGACTTCCGAGTCCTTGTTCTTGGGACACACACCGATCGCGCCGCCTACTACGAAGTCGACCATCCCACTTTCGGCGGGGTAGTCTGTGACATCAATGTCGAAATGGTAGGTGCGCTTCTCCGCGCCGGGACCGGTCAACTCACGGGCGTGGAAGAGAGGGGCGCGGTACACTTGGTAAGGAGGATGCGGCTGCACGAACTCTGGAGGGTGGTCTGCGGGGCCGAATGCCATACTGGCGGCTGATGCAGGGACCGGCTTGAACGAGACTGTCTTCTCGGGGAGCGGGACAATATTGGAGAGCTCGCTGTCCATAGTAAGGAGATCGAGATTCAGCCTGAGGCTATCAAAAGCCTTGTTGTCGGTGGGTCCAATGATGGAATTGAAGCCCGAGATAGGACCATCTACACGGCGCAATGCTTGTCCCCGGCAACAACCCCCACCACAGCAGAGAGACTCAAGCTTCTGAGTACCTGCGGTGCCAACAGTTCCTAGCACCCGTCTCATATCGTTCGAGTTCTGGGAGATCAGGACGGTCGACGCCCGTCGTCGTTGGCGGGTGCCATCGACCTTGTCGGTTGCAAGTTCTTCATCGGATTGAGACTCGGGTGGGGTCAGAGGAGTAACAGGGGAATCTGAGCCGCTCGATTCGGTGGTTTGAGAGGATTCAGGGGAGATGACATTGAAGTTGGTGTCGGTCACAGAAAGAGCACGCACGCCTCGAGGCTCTTCGGGAATTGGGTTGTCTGGGTGAGAGGTGGAGGACACTGGGATATCCTGATAAGTGCCTCTGCGGGTGCGAGGCCCCGTGGAAGCATAGGTTGCTGATGGCATGACGAATTGGACCACGTGGACTAGGAACTGTCAGATTGTGTGTTTGTGTCTCTTGATTGACTCGTAGCATACCCAAGGGGAATTGTGGAGGGGTGTTTAAAGTGGCGACGGAGGCAAACCGGAGCGAGGGGAAATCAGGGTATAAAGATCAAGACGTTACGAACGTCACAAATTGAAGAACCCCTTTTCCTACGAATAATAAAGAGAGGAGAGTGGGATGAGGTTGGAAGCATGGACCCGAGGAATTCTTCGGGATCGCAGTTCCGCAGAAATAGGGAGCTTCGGTAAGGAATTATCAGATTCGCCACCGGGTATGTTACACGTTTCCGGCAATCAAACACGACTTAAGGTATTGAAGTAATAACATTAGTACTAATGGCGTGGTAATACGGACTCTACTACTGGATACGCTGTCTCCATTTGGGGTTATTGTATCCATCTCTCCAGATCGACAGTGCATAGAAAAAGTTGTAAAGCTATTACCGGCGTGAACGGAACCCGAGGCGACTTCCGGCTCCAGACAGGGTCGCCCCGTCATAGACATGGCATGTTTACAGGGGAAAGCAATAAGGAACAGTCAGGTCCGGGTGGGCTGACTGAAAAATCAAATGAAGAATGAGCATACAGAAAAAGGAAATTAAATAATAAAATAATAAAAAGAGAAAGAAAAAAGGAAGAAAAAAGACCTCGGTTATCAGATCAATCAGATAATACCTGTATCGTATCATATTACATAACCGGAAACATTCGCATCTGATAACCCGTGACAGCTTCACATGATCTTTCCCCCACTCTCTTCTACATCTATACTTCTATATCTGATTATACAATCATTACTTCTAGAGTTGTCTATATATGTACACCTCATCACCTGACCCACTCTCCATCTCGAGATGGATTACTCTATAAACTCCCCCACTTTCTGAATCGCCGGGCATCATCTAGCAAGCCCGTTGGCTACTAAGTCCCAAACCACCCACTAGCCCTATTCCCGCCGGTACGCCCGATACAGGTACTTTTACCCGATTCCTGCACGCCAGTACGATCATTTCCCAACCACCGGGTCCAGAGTGGGTAACGCAAGCTGTTCGATATCAATCAGTGGGGCGCATTGGATGTTCCGGCTTGTTCTAGAAAAAGGGATAGCCCGATCTTCGAAATCAGCCCCTGGGGCGGGTTTCCTAGACAGCTAGCCTCCCTCCTAGTCTCAGTCTCCCGTCCTCCTGGAATAGGGAGTCTTAAAGAGTCTTGGAGCGGTGGGGCGGCTGACTGCTTACTCTATTCATTAACACATAGCTTGAAACACCCTTGAGCCTTTCTCGAAGGCTTTCTACAGGTAACATTCGGTGTGTCACTATACGCGTACGTGTATGTGTGTGTGTACTGCGGCTTGGAATGATCCACTCTTGTCGCAGGTTGAGGATGCAAGGCTGTTCGTTTGGTTTTCCCGTCTCAACGGTCCCATCTGATAACTTTGACGGGGACTTGAGTTGGAATGTTGGGCATGAAAGTTTCCGAGGCGTTTCTCAATCGAGTAACTATCAGCACAGGGGCTACTGTACATGTACTTGTCACGTCATATTATGTCGGGGCTGGGACAACTACAGTATGTATTTAGGAGTAAAACCTTGCAGTGGTAACAATAATGATAATCTGAACATGATAATCTATATACATCTATACATCTCCTAAACCATCAACGTACAGTCCCCATGACAGGAGCATAAACAAAAATACATATACGTAACAGAAAAAAAAAAAAAAAAAAAAAAAAAGAAAGCCCAGACTAATCCCAAGTCTACTGTAGCCGGGACCGCTTAAAGATTTTCATCCCTCTTAACCAAAGCCACAGGCGGAATAAAATGATGTCTCCCTCTAGCCCAATAGTAAACGGACGCCGATCCAATGACGCCAACATACATCGCCACGCTCCAGTTCATCGTCTCAACTGTCACGTCAGTGGTCAGGGGAAAGAAAGAAAAAACAAACATCGGGCACAAAAACGCCAGAGCCCCAAGATTGACCGCCAGACCGAATTTCCCCAGTGTCCAGCGGTGGTGTGGGAGTGACTCTCCGCGAATACGTTTGAGGAGTACGCAGCCAATAGAGACGATGTATGCTGAGAGCAGTGATGTTATAGTAAGTGATATAACGGCGTTGAGGGCGACTTGGGATCCGATGTTGATCATCGAGAGGAGGATCGTTACTACTAGTGACACCATGACCGAGTTGAGGGGGATGTTCCAGCCTGGTGTGACCTGATTGTTTGGTTGGCTTATTAATCTCTGTTCTTGTTTGTTGCGCTTTTGCACTGGACTAACTTACATATGCGAAAAATGACGAAAAGGGTAGTCCCTCGTCACGAGCGAACGACCACAGTTGTCGCGATGCGGTCGCCACTTCGGTGATTGTGCTGGCAGTTAGTGTTACAACTAACACGGCCGTCATCGCATTCGTAGCGGCTATACTGCCGGTTGTGTTGTAGAAGATCTGAATGAATGGGAACCGGGTCGGGCTATCGAGGACTTTGTCGACTTCGCCTAGAGTAAAGCACAGCGTGACTAGCATAACGAAGCCTAGCACGCCATTAATGGCAACTGAGGACATCATAGCCTTGGGCAAAGTCTCTGATGCATCTTTGATTTCTTCGGCTGTCCAGTATCAGTGTCAGTAAGATACAACTTGTAAACAGAACCAACAGGTGAGCCTTACACATGTGCACCGCGCAGTCATAACCAAGCATCGACGTAATGGTAGTCGACAGGCCCACCAGTGTTGCCGTGCCCGAATTATCCCAGCCACCCCCGTTGTTGAACGTGGTGAAGACTGCGCGAACATTGTTCCGCGGTGCGAGAACCCACAGCGGGATGATGATAGCGAACAGGCCGACAACGTGGATAATTAAGATTAGTCCTTCCACGAAAGGTAGATTCTTGGCTAGGAATGTGTTGAACAGAATTGAGAATGTCGAGATTGCTATCACGAGCATTGTGCCGTGCCATCTTTGGAAGTCATAGTCTGGTTGGTTCAAGACTATCAGACCTTGGATGATGGTACCGGCGAGGTAGGCGATGGATACGATGGCACATTGCCATCCCATTGCAGAGAGCCAGCCTGGGATACACTGTTAGCTAAATGAGCTTCAGATGGATTGAGCTGTAGTACCTGTGATATAACTTAGGAACTTTTGTCCTCGTTTCGGTGCAAACTCGGAGACCCAGTGGTATTGTCCACCAGCAGTGGGTGCCCTAAACGAGGTTGGCACGTTGGCAAGGGAAATTCAACCAGCCAGGTCAAGGGGATCGACAACTTACATCGAGGCCATCTCAGCTATACTGGCATACACCAGAGAGAATCCAAGGGAGACACCAACAAACCCCCATATCAAACCCGCCGTACCGCCATCGGTCAAGCCAGCCGATAACAATCTATAAATGGAGTCAATGTTTGCATGACCACATGGCACGGATGGACATGGACATGAACGTACGTCAAGATCACCTCCCATGTGCAGATCAAGGTACATCCAAAACCAACAATGGAAATAAATCGAAAATTTCTCTTGATAATGTCAGTAATGCTAAATCAGTAACTTGGAAAGGAAAGGTCTTACTCGCAAAACCTGTACTCGACCTAGAGCATTCATATCTCGCTGATCAGCCTTGGTGCCCATATACCGGGGCGCCACAAGGCCTTTCTGTGCATATTCTTCATCATTATCATTGTCGTGACCAGTCACCGCCTGTTGGGAATCAGGCCTGGATCTGTTGAAAACAGTCATTTTGAACACAACACCGGTAAAACATCCAGTCCAGAGAACAAGACAAGACCGGATAGCGTCCCCCGCAGGAAAGGGAGATTTTCAGAATAAAAGAACAAAAGAACAACTAATATCTCCGCAGTCCTCAACTCAACGCCCGGAAAGATCAAGGGTCAGAAGTATATAAGGCACCAATACTGTCATAGATCCAAAGGGCAGGCGTAACCAAAAGGAGCAGGTATCAGGAGAGAGCCCAAAGCGTCGGGGTCATGACAGCCACTGCATTACAGGATTTAGAGAGGAAGCGTGGTATTGGCGTGGGAGTAAGGCATGGCCTAGGAGAGATTCTTGCGCGCGAGAGAAACCATGTGGGAAAATCAGACACGGCCAGTCCTGAGTGACACATCCTTTGGTCTACAGTATTGAGCTGCGATTAGTCCAGCTAGGTGACATTGCTAGATTCATTTTTTTGGGGCGCTTGATGCTTATCCCTTGATGCTTCTGCCTGGAATGGGACTATTGGGACCTTGCATCCCGAGGGACGTGCATTTGGTTTCGGGCTTGATTTATTGGCTTGAGGTTCGTATATATTGGTGCCATCTCTTTTGTTATTCGTGTTTTGTCCTACGATGACCTCTCGTTTTAAAGATTGCTATCTAGACCGGGGATGTTCGAGTGTGGTCCAACAAAACAAACCATTCGAACAGTCAATATGCACTGCCAGCACACACCACTACATTTCTGATGCATCGCGCCAGGCCAGCCTCTAATCTAGGGCGCAAATCCCTCCCTTGATGCTTATCCCCCAGATATTCGCCACAAGCCACGCCCTAGACCAAGACTGTGGGTGTGTGGATATGCAACCCCTCGCTTTCTTTGTTGAAAGCCACACAACCAACCTATCGGAGACCAACAACCACATCCACGCTCCATTCCCCCAAGGGGCGTGCATGCTGATCTACAACCCTACCGCCCACATGAACCACTAACCGTCGATCATCGATAAACGCCATGTTCTCGACGTGAGGGCGCAACGCAATAATCATTCGATCCAGAGCGTGATCTCAGATTTTTCATAACATCTCAAAACTAGCGTCGTTGTGCTCCAATTAAAAACGAGAAAAAGGGATGATTTGATCCAGATCCAGAATACCTGCCACGCAGCGCTGATCTCAAGTCGACATTGCATCCATCTTGCCTTATCATCCAGGAATATACTGAAGCTTGGAGACCACCCGTACACAAGGCTAACTCAGTTAGATCTTCGCCTCGATGGGCTATCGCCATATGATCGCCCAACAGACTGTATCACAGCCCCATATCAATACTAAATAAAGTAGGAGCTAGCAACACTGAATTGGTTTGCCATGCTTATTGTAGCCTGCATACTCATACTCTTAATCACCGCATGCCTCCACTGCAGTGCATGTAAATGTAAAGTATACACCCGGAATCCCGAATCCCCAATTCCAATTCCAGTTTCAAAGTCGATCCCTTCTTTCTTTCCTCTTCTCATTCCACTGTCTAGCCCACATGGGTCTCCGATCTGACGTCTGACGGTTAACCAGTGTATGTTTATACATGTGACTTCCATTCGTTTCATTTCACACACTCTCTATATTCCCTCCCACATGATTGGCACAAGCAGGAGGCATCCCTAGGTCCCATCGTCCTGGGTGTTCCTTCTCCTGCTCTGTTCTGCTCTTCCAGCTGCCCACCTCCCTGCCATGGGTGGCCCGTACGTGCCCCCCGGCCACTCGCCGCCCTTTGAGGTAGTCGATGAATTGCATCATGGGGCATGGTTGATTATCACCGCGGCGCTTGGACTAGTGATTTCTCTCGTTTGTTTTTTGATTCGGCTTTATGTGAGGCTTATGCTTATTCCGCCATTTGCGCGGGATGATTGGGTGTTGTTGGGTGCTACTGTAAGTTTTGAGGGATTTGGACTGTACCATGGTCTGATGGATTGCGCTGTGGAAGCGATGCTGATTTCCTATGTTGGTTTTGATTAGGCTCTCGCAGTGGTGCAATCAAGTCTGGTATTCTATGCTTGTTCGCGTGGATTCGGGACATCGATTACTCTATTAATCGATGGTCGACTCAATCAGATCCAGGCAGTGAGTGCTCTTTTGTTCAAACAATTATGTGGGGCCAAACTGAGCATTTAGTTAATTGCAACAAGCGATGTCTTCGCTCTGATCATTATCTACCTTTCCAAATGCTGCGTCGTGGCCATCTACCTCCGCCTCACGCCACAGAAGCCTCACAATCGAGCATCGTGGGCGACATTAGCTCTATGCACTGCATGGGTCATACCGGCTATATTCATAGTGCTGATCAACTGTGAATTAAATACACCTTGGCGAGGCGACGGTGGTCAATGCAAGAATCTGGTATGTATAGACCTACTTACCTACCCAGGTATCCAATCCAACCCATCTCTCCAACCCGCATCAAATACTAATACCATGGTTAAAAACAGTTCAAAAGATGGCAATTCATCGCTGCAGTCGACGTAATAACCGAACTCCTCCTCTTCATACTAGCAATAGTCCTCCTAAAAGGCCTATTCATGTCCGTCCGACGCAAACTAGCCATCGGCTTCGCTTTTATATTCCGCTTTCCGTGAGTATCCATATCAATATCTCGATCTAAACAACTCAGACTAATCTCGTCTTCGAAATCAAAACAGCCTTATAATATTCTCCCTAATCCACATCTTTTCCCTCAACGACGCCCTTAAAAATAAAGACACAACCCTCGCCTCTGTCAGACCTGCTGTCTGGATGCAGGTCGAATTACACTACGCCCTAGTCGCATGCAGCGTCTTCTGTCTCAGACCATTCATGGCAGCCGTTAGCACAAATTACGGTACGGCGGGTGACTCGACATTGGAGAGTAGTGCGTCGAGATCAAGAGGGACAAAAGGGAGTTCTAAAGATGGGTCTGGATCTGGATCTGGGTCTGGTTCGAACTCGGCATCCGCTACCAGGTCCAGATCGCATTCACGAGTTCAGCGCAAAAGAGCCGGGACTGCGTCGCGGTTTATGCCGCATCTGGGCGTGGATTCGGATCTGAAGACGGGTGGTTCTGGCCTTGGTTCTGGTTCTGGTTCTGGTTTGGGTATTCCCTCTTCGTCGAAAGATGTCCTCTGTCGCGATGGGAATACACATGCACATGCACATGGATCGCCGAGAAAGAAACACCCCGTTATGAGTGGCGGATGTCCGAAACCAGGCTCTGCAACTGATACTTCACGCACACCAATACGTCGATCTATGTTCCCCCTCGGTGCACCTCTTAAGCAGAGTATCCCCAAGCCGGAGAAGGGGAAGAAGCATAACACGAGAAGTGGAGAGGGGAATGTCTTTCCAACAGACTCGGATTTGATTGAGCTTGTGCCGAGACCGCATGTTCGGCATGAGAGTCGTGGGGATGACCGGGGTGATGGTGAAGATCCGGATAGGATGGTTATTCATAAGGAGGTTCGGTATTCAATTCAATATGAAGATGATGAGGATGTCGAGGGAAGGCAGTATGCGCAGGAGGTTTTAAGGAAGAATTGTGTTGATGTTTCTGCTTGTGTATAGTCTAGCATTGTATTTTAAGATGTATTTTGGGATGTCTTTTGGGACTAAATATATAATGCATAGATAAAGACTTCTGCTTGGTTTATTCTTTTGGTTTTATCCTGTAAAATAGGCTGGTGCCATACTATATCTTGGCCTTGGATGAAATACAAATCCCGAATGCCCTATAACGCCGGTCCGCCCAATGGTTTGGAAATACGAAAAACATCAAGAATGAGAAGCGTTTGCCCGCTTGAAGGGATGCGCCTCGGTGCTCCTGTTGAAAACGATTAGCTCATTCTCACAAGAAGCAAGATATAACTTCTGGGCAAAGAGAAAGACATACAGAACATAATCGTCCAGACTTATATGATCTGGCTCCGAGAAGATGAGATAGAGATACTTCAAAGTCTCAGCCAACCAAAAGCTCTCCATCTTATCATTCTGTTTCGGTTTGCTCTCGCGCACATCATTGATAGAAGAATGACCAAAATTAGACCGAGTCGCCTTGTCAATGTTCTGGAACATGCGCCACGCAGTATCCAGAAGAGTCTTGTCTCCAGTAATCCGATACATGATGAAAACAGACTCGAGTGCCTCAGGTCTGAATATAAATGTCAGTATGAAGATTTGGATGGACAGAAATACGAAAACGACAATAAAACATACCGAAGGTTATACGACGCATCACGGATATCAGTAACACCGGGCGGCAGTCGATGAGCCTCGATCTGATCAGCGGCTCTCTCTCTGATTTCCTCGTTGTCGATAGACCGCGAAAGCACATCCTCATACCATTGCTCTTCATCCCACGGGCAGTCATCGTGGTGTCGGCAAGGACTGACCTTGAACACCTCTGGCATGATGCCCGTTGGCATAACATCATACGCCCAGACGCAACCGTCCGTCAACCCCTTGGCAACATACATATCCTGCGGCCGGTTAAAAACCTTTGCTCCGATTGCCACAGTGCCGCCCATGAAACACTTGAGGTGGTCAGGCGAGTACTGGAACGTCTTTGCGTTACCTCTCATAGCGATGATATTTGCAGCGAAGAGAATATGCTGATCCTCGTCTTTGGTCATTGCTCGGAAGAGCAGGTTCTCGTTGAATGTTTCGATGGCTTTTTCGTACATTCGGCGGTATTGGCCTGTCTGTGCCCCCAGTAAAATGTGTTCTTTAGGGAAGTACTCGTATGCGGAATCGGCACATCCGCCGATGGTGAATTCTGAGTCGTCGAATCCCATTTTGTCGGTATTGATCCATGTTGGCCACATTCCGGGCAGTCGGGTCTTGTCTTGTCCGATCTCGAGCTCGTTCATGATGCGCTGCACGGCATCATAGTACTTAGGGTCTCCTGTCAACTGGGTTAGGCGGGTGAATTCCATTGTGAGGGAGCCGATTTCCGCCAAACTGCTGCGAGGAGAAGGCTTGATTTCCTCGCCCTTGGCAGATCTGAGCACAGTTAATATATGCTTTCTTTACATGTAGTGCGATCACCGAAGGATCACAGCGGACTGGACTCGCCACGGGAATATCTTACTTCATCCACTCCCAGCGCATCTGGGGCATGCGATTATGCGTATCAAACGCATTGAAAATCATCTCACCCAGCTCCACGGCCTTTTTCAAGAGCACCGGATGCTTGCCATTCGTCAAATCATGAGCAGCAATAAAGCCACCCATATACCGAATAATGATCTCGAAAACTGGGACTTGTTTACTAGTCGTCGTTGTAAAGTCGATTTCCTCCAGAGCCTCGAGGGCCAGCTCAAGCTCATCATCCAGACCCATAATAATCAGCGCATCGAGGGAGTCAACAAGTGTGGCGCCCCACCCATTGAAGGTATCCTGATACCCTCCGGTCCTGGGTTTCACTTCATCTCTGAGCCAGGCATTTTCCTTATATCCATTCCAGGAATGCATGAATGCCTCCTTGATGGCCCTTTGCTTCTTCAGTCTTGATTTGCGCTCGGTGTTGGATTCTGGTGGGAAGTCATATTGGATGTGTGGGATGGAAGCTGGACTTGTTGGCAGCGGGATGAATTCTGTCACGGGGTAGTGCTCTGTGACTTTATTTAAGCGAATGGCATCTTTGCGGACAGTGGTGTCTTTTCTAGAGATCGGTTTTGGTAGACGGCGGTAATATGATGTCGAGGGTAGCCAGAAGAATAGGATATATGTCGCAGTAATTAGGAACAACGCTGTTGAAAAAGGTCGGGTTTTGCGCTTGTAATACATGGTGAATGGAAATGATGTAGGGAATGAAAATAAAGGAATGAAAAGAAGTATGAAAGAGGGTAAGCGCGTTAATCAAGGTCGGCTGTAACACATTTCACTATTGAGGGAATTCGTCCCCTGTAGAGTAGATTGGGAGTCAAATGTAAACAGAGTGGGAGGACAGGAGACACTTTAAGGGTGACGCCATGTGGACGCACGTCACGGATTGTGAGAGGTCTGTAGAGGGATAGACACGGCTGTGTAAGAGCTCCATTGATCGACGGTGTTTTGGGAACTTTCATAGGCATGATGTTGCATATACAAACAGCCATGATTGGCGGCGCATTAGAGAATGTAACCCCTTTGATTCAAAGGCAAGGGAGAAGTATCCTCAAACACAGGTTTATTATTAGATGTCAAACTCTCCAAATCTCAGGTCTAGACTTGACAGCACTTTAAATCTGTGCTGGACTGTGCTAAGTTTTGATGCCTGCGACGCCACTGCTCCACTACGGCCCCTGACCCCATCCATCGGGTAGGGGACTTTTTGTTGATCATTCCGATTTTGAGGCTTGGATTAGAAACCATCTTGTTGGCTGAAACATCGAATAAATGAGTTTCAAATATTATCTCCAGTCTTAAGGAACGTTGACAAATTGACAGCATATCTTTTAGGTCTTTCAGTCTCCTCATAGACCTGAAGGACTTAAGACCAAAGTGCTAGCTCTTTGCATATGACCAAGAGAAACTGTCCATCCTAGATCTGACTCCGATATATGACAAGCTCGTGGAAACCCTGGCTTGCAGAACCAAATATAAGAAACAAGAGGGAAGCGTAGTTGAAGGAAGCTCGGAACCTCAGGCTGGGTTGCTATGTTTGCACTGTTTGCACCTCGTTGTCTCTTTCTTCAGGGAGAGCTGGAGATCTTAAACCACTTTGGAGTTCTCTGTATAAAGCAAGTCTTTAATCGGTTAAAGCACAGGTAAGTACCGCACACCATACGATTTGCTTTTATACTGACCAGACTATAGACTGCAAAGCTCCTCAAACCGCATTTGTCCCTTTATTCTGGACTTAACCGGAGCAAACAATAGTCACCTTCGGTCTATATTGACCATCACAACCTGATATCAACATATCTGCTCCTCTAGCAGGACTAAAGGAGCTCGGAGACCCCTTAAAGCCACCTTGGTCATCCTAGTCCTTGATATCACACAGCTTGACATCGACACCGCCGTGATTCTTTCTCCCTTCATCACCATTTATCTGCCAACTACAGAAGACATCCAAAATGCCTATCACCGGGTAATCACCCAACCCACCAAGACATAGATCCCTAAACTAACACCCCAAAGCGTCTACTTCATCCCCTCAATGCCAAATTCCTCAACGGCCCTACCAGCAGTAACAGAGCGTCTCCGCGCCGCCTTCACAGACGAAGAACTAACCCCAATCGGCCGCTGGGGCCTAGAACAAAAACTATTCCGCGATACCCCAGGCCTCGTCCCAGCATCAGCAAATTCAAACAAAAAGCCCTCAAACCCGCGGTACATGCAATTCCTCTCACTAACCCACTACCCAACTCACGGCTTCATCTATACCTCCGAGCCAGCAGACCAGCCAGCAACTGCAACCGCCAATGCAACACCCGCCTCAACACAGAGTCCAGCGGGCGCACCAGCAACAGCCACCCCAAACCAAAGCCAAAATGGAATCACAAACCCAAACTCAACACAAACACCCGACTCCCCCCAAATGATAATGACAACTATCCCCCCATCCTCCTACACATCCCTCTTCCAGCACTTCACCTACGCCTGCCAACCCTTCTGGTGCCACCGCCTGACAGTAACCGTCCCGAACGGGATAGTCTACGACGTAGGCGATTTCCGCGTGCGACTCGGCGACGTGCGGCAGACGTTCCCGACGGCGCGTGTGCGTGGGACTGTTGTTGAGATTGAATGGCGGGGTCCGTCTGTTGTTGAGTCTTTACCTGTTGGCCAGGGCCAGGGCGAGAACCACGGCGGTGGTGTTGGTGTTGATGATGGTTCTTCGCTGAATGATTCAGGTGTTGAGTTCTCTTTTGATGCGATTGAGGAGTCGGATATTGAGGCGGAGTATTTGGCTACTGCGCAGCTTATTCGGGAGTTTTGGGGTAGGCTTGGGGTTGAGGCTAAGGAGGCTATTCTTGTTCCTGGGCTTGGGAAGGAGATTTTGGAGAGCTTGAGGAGGTTGAAGGGGGGTAAATCGTCGCGGAAGGAGGGTTTGTCTGGGTTTGGGATGGATGGGAGGATTGGTGAGGTTGTTGGTTCTGAGCGGTTTGAGGAGGATCTGGATCCTTCTGCTGGGACGGATGTTGCTAGGCAGTTTATGGAGGTTTTGCGGTTTAATCGGTAGATTGGGTATTGGAATGCATATGTGCTTTGAATCTGGACTGGAATGGTCTATCAAGAACTAGATATAAATACACCCCAAGAACTGAGAATACTTGGCTACACATACTATACCTTGGATATTGCTTTAGGATTAGATAGACATGGAACAAGTCGAGAGAGAGAGCGACCATTCTTAATCTAAACACTATAGCTCAAAGCATCGCCCTAACTTCCGTCTGCAAAAGCACACGCTTGATCATGAATCGTCCAAGAAACTCAGTCTAACGAGAATAGACTACAGGAAACCGGTATTGGAAAATTGAGATGGGAAGATATAATCGAAGAGAAACATCGTTTGAAACCCGGACTTCAACTAGCATGGAAAAGGCACAAGGGAAATGCGTTATTTATTTTTGCATCATGAGCTGGACGAACTCGTTGTCTGTGAGAGGTCAAGGTTAGCATCTGGTGGGCAGTAACCGCTGGTAACTTCCAGGGATGTCTCAACTGGTGAACATACAATCGATCCGGCCATCGCCATCCTGGTCCGCTTCGCGGATCATCTCGTCCACCTCGTCGTCGGTAAGCTTCTCACCAATGGAGGTCATGACGTGACGCAGCTCAGCGGCGGAGATGAAACCGTTGTTGTCGCGGTCGAACACCTTGAATGCTTCGCGAATCTCCTCCTCGGAATCTGTGTCTTTCATCTTGCGGGCCATCATGGTCAAGAACTCTATTGGCGGGTCAATAGCCATCTCGTTTGGGGTCTAGGGGACACGGGAAAGTACCGGGGAAGTCAATGGTGCCGTTGTTGTCGGCGTCAACCTCATTGATCATGTCCTGCAGCTCGGACTCGGAGGGGTTCTGGCCCAGAGAGCGCATGACGGTGCCAAGCTCCTTGGTGGTAATTTGTCCTGGAGGTGGGATTGGTCTTAGTGTATTGTTTCTTTCAATTCGGGGACGGGAGACACTGCTGCCAGTTCAACTGGGTTGTCGGGCGAGGTCACACTTACCATCGCCATCCTTGTCCTATTTCGCAACAAAGCCGTCAGTATGTTGTCCAGCCTTCACAACTTCAATCCACGGGTGGAAACACTTACAAACAGGGAGAACGCCTCCTTGTACTCAGAGACTTGCTCTTCGGTCAGAGAATCGGCCTAGATGATGCGATGCGGCGTCAGCGAGGTTCCAACAGGCAGGATGCCCCGCAAGGTGGGGTGTTTATTTTTGCAGCAGGGCGAATTTAGGGGCGAGAAAAATCAGACATACCATGATGAAGATGGATAGCAAAAAGCAGAAAGAGGGAATTCGAGAAAGGAGGGGTCAAACGGGGAAATGAAGAAGAGTTTAAGGGGGACAGCCTTACCAGACCAAAATAGCGTGCCTGAGGTGCCCAGTCAGCGTTGTTTCACCCCAGGGCGGTGGGAACGTGACCCCCAGGGCTGAACTCAGCTGAGGTTGCTTAGCTGTCAATGCTGTCTAGACTATCTCTAGTCTATTATTGTCTTAGTCTATTCTATCTTTATGGTCATTTATTATTTTGGACCTTGGAGGGCGGGCTCAAAGCTTGGTCTTGAGCTAGGTCTATATGTAGCTAGATATCACCCCAAGCGTAATACCGACAGCGTGCATTATTAGCAGACTCTATTAGTTTATCTCTGACTGCGGGGCATATCAGGTGAATCTATAGACACCTTATAAATAGAAATTATACAATAATCTATATAGGAACCTTAGATATTGGACTGTGTGATTAACTATTTGCGCCATTGCATGCGTGGATACTAAAATCCGGGGTGTGCCACCAACACTATGTACCTCCATAGTTGAGTACACGACTACTGTACATAATAAGAGATAAGGGGCTCTACGACTGATGTCACAGTACATTTGAATAAAAGAAAACAGTCGTTTCTCATGTACCTTGAGTCTGTACCAGGTTACAGAGCCATACCTAAAATACACTCTCTAGTATGGACAATACAAAATGTTACATAAGTATTACCGGGCCTAACTTACAGCCTTTCAATGTTCCGACATGCTGCATGTGGAGAGCTCCTATCACCCCAGACACACCCGGACGCACCTTCAATCCCAGCGCAGACCATGATTCCTATAACAAACCAATAAACCAACCCAAACTGATCCCTGAAACACCCACACAATGTGGCGGGATCGCACCAACCTGTACGCACCCCCCATACCCATACCCATACCCCATCCGGACCGCGGACCGCAGACGCAGACCAACCCGTCAGCGCAAAAGATAACCACAAAGCAACGAACCCAGACCATCCAAAACTAAATCCAATACTGACACCTAACCCACACATACACAGCTACCTCTCCTACCGCCAATCCCTAATCCACCACCCGGCCAAGAAACCCGCCTTCACCCCAACCAATGGCTTCGCCGACACACCCTCCCACCCCGAAGAAAACAGACGCCTAATCTCGGACACAGACGAAGATGGCGACATGGTCATCGAAATGGACCTCCTGCCACCGCGCTGGGTCGACGTGCAGGAAGAGGTCTCTGAGCTGTTAGCCGATATCGCCCAGAAATCATCCCAGCTGGATAAACTGCACCAGAAACACCTGCTGCCGGGCTTTGGAGATGAGGATCTGCGGAAACAAGACGAGGGCGTTATCGAGCGCCTGACGCAGGATATCACCCGCGCGTTTCATGATTGCCAGCGCGCTATTCAGCGCATTGAGACTATGGTGCTGGATTCTAGGGCGCAGGGTGGTGTTAGTAGTGGGGAGGAGACTATGGCGAAGAACATTCAGATTTCGCTTGCGGCTAGGGTTCAGGAGGCTAGTGCGCGCTTTAGGAAGAAGCAAAGTACTTATCTGAGGAGTATGTTGTGCCTGATCCAATCCCCCAATCCCCCTCTGTGGTGCTTTTGATGTTGGGGACCGGGCTAACCGTTGAGCGTGTGATGAGCAGAATTACGAGACCTGGAGGGTATAGCGACGCCGTTTGATGGTGCGTCCATGCAAGCTCAGAACCCATACACGGATCCGTCGATGATGGAGTCAGATGCGGATCGGTCCTTCTCGCAGACGATGTTGCAGCAGACCTCTCAACGGAGTATGGGGACGAACGATGCCGCGATTGCACAGCGAGAACGTGAGATCAACGATATCGCAAAGGGAATTATCGAGTTGTCGGATATCTTCCGCGAGCTGCAGGGCATGATCATCGATCAAGGGACCATGCTCGACCGTATAGATTACAACGTCGAGCGTATGGGCACTGAGGTTAAAGCTGCGGACAAGGAACTGAAAGTGGTATGTACATGTATTCCTTTCCTGTTGTTTCGTTCTATATACATGTACTCTTTTGGCTGTGACTAGAGACTGACTTACCTTCAGGCTACGGGCTACCAACGGCGAACTACCAAACGCAAGGTCATGATCTTGCTCCTGCTGCTTGTAGTAGGTATGATTATCATTCTGGTGATAAAACCAAAGGGAGGCAGCTCTGCGCCACCACCGCCGCCTGAAGATGAATCCTCAAACAATATCCGTCGCTCTGTACTGGCTTCTGTGAACAGGGGGCGGGGACATCATTTGTCGACTCGGTTTGCGCGAGATCGGTGGATGGATCCGGATATATTCCGATGATCTTGCAAATAGCATGGGTTAATAGTTAATGTAACCAAAGTGAGGATCATTTTGCATATAGATGTAGTGCCGTTGCGGCTTATAAGTGATCCCTTTTGGCTTATCATATCTATTATGAATCATGGGACTTCACTCAAGAGCGCCATCGAACAAATGTCGACTCATGAAATGTCTTGAATTAAGCATTGCTTACGAGGACTATTGTAGAGTATCCTAGGAACAAGAGTGTTGGTTCTTCTTGCTCCTGGGTACGTCTTCAACTTCACAAGTACTCCAGAAACGAAATACGTATTTTAGACCATGGCTCTTTCATCCGTTTGGCGGTGGCTTCTTCGGTGAAATCTGGATAGTATTAGCGCTCTGGCCAGATGGGGTGGTAGTAGAACTTGTCCATGCCTAGTTCTTCGACATGGTTGTTGATCGAGGCGGATTCAGATGTAGATATGGAACAGCACCGTGGATAACCGTATCTCGCGTAGTAAACGAAGAGCAGGAGAAGAAAAGGTAGTACATTATGGACAGCCACATTTTGGGTGGGGAGGGTTGGAATGAGCTCGGGGGAGGGAGTATAAGAGGTTCATACTAGCGCAAGGAAACCCTTTCTTTTAGATAATTGGGAACACTTAGCGCGGGTGTAGTTGGCAACGCGGTAAATTAACGGTACTCCGTACAAGTAGAATCGCATGTACAGATATCCTGGTCAAATTCAGTTGTGCCTAATCTGGAGACTGGCATATGAAAGACGTCGACAAAAAAGGTTGTACCATGCTTCGATTCTCGTACATGCACGGTATTCGAAATACAACCGTGGATGAAGCGGGAAACCGTCCGACAAAAGAGAAAATACAGAAAGGATAAATCACATCAAAAGCAGCCAGTTAGAATTACCTAGAAAACAGTAAATTAAACTTCTACTTGCCCTGGCTGGCAAGCAACTCAGCAACATCAGCATCCAGATCACCACCTGCGAATTCCGAGTAGTCTTCCTCGCCGTGGGAGATCTTGCGTCGCTTTGCTTGTCCATTGGTAGCGAGATTGAAGTCATTGCCTTGGCCGAGGGGAAGTGTGGCTGAAGCTCCGTTGCCTGTTGGGGCAGCGTCGGGAGGAATTTCGAGATTGGCCCAGTCTGGGGTCTCTTCTTCGTCCGCGTCTTCGGTAAATGGCCCACGGCGGATCTGCTGCTTCTCGGGTTGCTGCTTCTCAGGCTGCGGGGATCCCACGGGGGTGATGGCTTCCACTGGGGGTGGAGTCAGAGCCTCGACCTCTGGACGGGCGACTGACTCGTCATGGCCGCCGTGTTCACCAGGTGCGGCAGAACTATCTTCGCTTGAGATGCCGCGCATAATAGCATCTTCGACCTCGTGCTTCTTGATGTCGACCTGAGTCTTCTTTGCCGAGATATCTGTGCTAAGAGTCTCCTCCTTTGCAAGCTCAGCGCGGTTAGTCTGGAGCATCTTCTCGAGTCCATCGATCAAGGCGCGGCGTGACTTGATAACCTCAGAGACTGAGCTCTCGGCATTGGCGAGAGTCTTCAAGAGGTGGCTAAGACGGGCAGCTTGGACAGGCGGAGTGGGCTGTGGGTTATTGGGATCATGCAGTTTGTCGAACTCGGAAATGGCAGTTGTGGCAGACGAGTTCGAGCTCAGAGCGGCCTTGGAGAGAGCAACCTGCAATGGGACCAAAGGCTGAAGTTCAGATGGAGTGGAACCAGATGAATTGTCCTTGAAGAAAGAGCCCCCAAGGGTTTGCTTCTTGGTGGTAGAGCGAGTCTTGTCGATTTCTAAAGCATGATCAGTTCAATCTCCGCCGCATAGGCATTGGCAAGTGCTTCAACTTACCATTCACAGTAGCTTCCACCGCATCCAGAATCGGTCCCTCAAAGACATTGCGTTGTCTCCAGACCTCCACAACTCGGCGGATTCTTTGTTGGAAGTCATTCGAGTTACCCTTGTAAGCCGTGGCTGTAGCTTCCACAACAATCTGCTGTTCCGTTAGCGTGGTTCATGCAGCGCTCGTATAAAGACTAACCGGGGAAAAGGCAATAAGGAAATCATCCTTTCCACGCGCCTTGGATTGTTGGGCCACCTCTGTAAACCTGTTAGTGGACAGAGCGGGAGCTTGAGCGCGGGACGACACCTACCATTCGCCAGGTAGATCAAGTTGAGACGTTTGGGAGGAGGGGATTCGCGGATTCTCTGAAGCCAAATTTGACCGGTTCGTTCGGCATGTCGTCTAGGGCATTCTGTGTTAGCAAGTCTCCTTGATTAGGTGTCAGAGTGGTGAGTACCTGTGGAACATGACCCATTGCGCAACAGTAACGATGCTCTCTTGGGAGTCATTGAGAGCCGAGAGCTTTGCTTTGACGGCATCATCGGTATAGGCCATGATGGATACAATATGTCGGAACGCAGGGATACGAAAGGGAGCTTTGTAGGAATAAGTATCAGATCGTCGGAGTGGAAGTCGCAAGACCGTCTGGAGACTGGACTGAGAGGAGGTCGAGGAAATAGGCAGCCTTGACAATTGCGAGGTAAATTTGCATGTGATAACCAGAAATTCAAAAGACGTCAACAAAAACGACTTCCTTTCTATGCGAAGCTTTTCTTCTTCCGTCAAGTACGCGATCCCTTTAGCTTTCAATTGCTACAATGACACCCAGCATTCAGACCGCCCAGCCGGCAGAATCGGACGGGGCCTCGCCGCCCGTGTTGACACCCGTCGTGGCCACCTCAACCTCGCTGTTGATCGACCTTTCTGATTCTGACACCGACAAAGCCTTCACTACTCCTCCCAGTCATTTCATTCAACCTATAAAGATGGCTGACCGTTTCCCTTCTCTGGAGGACTTCTCTGAGGGTACGTAACCCACCTTACTCTCCTGCCGCTGCCGCATCGGAGCTAACATGACCCGCATTTAGGCCAGACCGAAGTGGCCGATGGCCAGCGCGCCTCCGGAGATGACTTCCTTGCCCGTGAGCGTGCTGCTCTCGGTCAAGATGCAGACCAATTCGCGACCCCTCAAGACCACGTTGGCGATGATGAGAACATCAACGCGGGGAACGACCTACTAGGCGGAGATGACGGTGAGCCCGTGGAGGAGATTGGTCAATTCGAGTCGTCTTTCCCATCAATGGAGACTCAGGCACAGAACGAGGTATGAAACTGTCATTGGCTATCTCATGATAATATCACAGTATGCTGACCAGGGGTTACATCTATTCAGCGCGTTGCCCCTGGTGGTACCATTACTGGCTCCGGCTCTCCCTCCCCCCTACTGGCTACCAGAGCACTCAGAATGATGAGGATGAGGGTCCGTTTGTCCGGTAAGTTTACTCTCAGAACACGGATTCTCGGCGCATACCATTTCCGAACGGCATTCATTTCCTTTTGACTCGAAGCACCAAGCTAACTTGACATGTTTAATCTATAGTGAATGGCGTGAGAAGCGTGACGCCGAGATTGCCCGCCGTGAGGAGATCGCCGCCGAGAAGAAGGCCGAGAGAATCGCAAAGGCCAAAGAGGACATTGATGCTTTCTACCTTTCCTACAACAACAAGGCCGACAAGGGCCGCGCCCAGACCCGCACCGAAGCCGAGCAGTTCCTTGCCAGCCGAGAGGATACCTCCGCCGGAGGCACAAGCTGGGAACGCATTGCTAAGCTGGTTGATGTTTCGGGCAAGGGCTCCGCAGGCGGTGCCAGCGGCTCCGGAAAAGAGCGATTCCGCGAGTTGTTGATCGAGCTCAAGAAGGACCAGGAAGCACCCGGAGCCAGTGGAATCTAGATGAGGCACTTTGATGCTTGAGGGTCCGGGGAGCGGGAGTCTGGGGTTGAAGGATGCGGTGACAATGAACTTGGGCTGGCCGCTGCGTCTCTTGTTCTTTTCTTTCTTTTTTTACTCCGCGCAGCGAACCGTCCAGGGAGATCGATCTGTAATTTAGTCTCAAATCGATAGCATCGTTAATACCAAGGGTTTTTTTTTCTCCAGTCAACTATCCCGGATTGGACTGTAGCATCTTGTCAATCAGATCTGTATAGAACACCTAAGTTAATACAGGCTATACATATTACGCCGGCGACGACTCTTCAAACGTATGTTCATGTAATTACTTTTGGGATATCCTTAGTCAAGTTCGGTAACATCGCCACCAGGTTCGCCAACCTCCTTGCCCTCTGCCTCCAACTCCTTCAGCTTCTTCTGGCCCTCTTCCGTTGTAGCATCGACAATGCCTTCCTCGAGGCTGAGCATGCCGCCGTTGCCCAATTGCTCCACGACAACCTCCGCCTCCTCGACAGTCATCCTGCCGAGAACCTTGTTCACCTCATCCAGGGACTCGGTCTCCAGTGCCTTCTGCAAGTCCGCAGGGAAAGCGTCGAAGATTTTACGCACCTCGATCTCAGTAGGATCCTCGCTATTGGCAGCGGGGAGATTGATAGTGATCTTGGTGTTGGGGTCAACGGCGTGTAGCTGGATTTGCTCTACACCAGCGGGATCATTAGATGCCGAGTTCTCCTTGCTGAGTTCAGCAGCGCGAGACTTGATGCGGAAGTAGGTATCATTCACGTCATTAATGAACAGGGTTGATGCGCGGTGGTCCTTGGTGGTGATACTGGAATATATGTTAGCGAGGTACCAAACAAGACTGGATCAGGTAACATACCGAGTGAAGAACAGCTGGATGCCGTCACGGCCAAGAGACCGGCAGTATTGCAAAAGCAAACCTTGGTGGACACATTGACGGGCATAGTCCTCGTCGCCCTTGAGCTGGCTATTGAATGCCTCAACAAGCAGACCATCTGTCTCCTTCTCGGCGACAATCTCCGGGTTGGCCGAGATGAACTGTAAGTAGGCCTTATAGTCACCAGTCTTGAGGTGAGCGAACTTCTTTGCTAGAGGGCTGATCTCGACATTGGCGGGATCATCGTCCTCGCCCTCATCATCAGCCTTGGATGCGGAGCTCCCCGCACCCGGGTTCAGCAGCTCAACGGAGCTCTCCTTGTTCTTAGAAGCAGCTTTCGCCTGCTGGGCCTTGGCGACATGTGATTGGTTGAAGCCCTCATGCAACTGATCACTGGTGATCTTTGCGCCTTCTTCCTTCTCAAGCTGAGCGAGCTTTGCGAGTAATTCCTTTTGGAGTCCCTGGACCTTTTCCAAGTGTCCAGTCACACCTTTGATGTATGCCTTGAACAGGTTGTCAGGCTTAGACTCTTCAAAGTCCTTCTTCACCTGATCTACCAAAGAACTCATCATCTGAGAGAACTTGGGCTGTTCCGGTTCGTGTGTATAGATCCCTTCAGGCGGGGTGGGAGCTTGGTCGTCGGCGGGGTTGCTCGCGAAGTCCATTATAGTTTGGAAAATGAACTCATCTGGGGAGGCGGATGAGTCCTCATGCTTCTTGAGAGATTCCAAGAGCTTATCAATACGCGACAAAAGTCCGTCGTTGATAATGCGTTCGTACTTCAGGGTCTTGATCTCATGGCGACGCTGCTCTCGTTGCTGGTGAATCTGGGCCTGCTTGGCGCGGATGAACGACTTCTTATCGACATTGGGATGGACCTCGACGTCCGAGTCGTCGGAAAGCTCCAGAGCGTCCCATTTGCTGTAGTCAAGAACCATGTTGGCTGACTGAACTTGTACAGTATGAGGTGGGGTAAGGTATCAGCAAAAGGTGGGAGAGATCACGTCGTGGAGGGGGCGATGACTATAGAGTAGACCAGTAACAGAGAAGCTGGACAAGATGCTATCGAGGTGAATGACACAAGTTCAACTTGAAAAAACAATACTTCCGGCGCCAAAATAAACGACGCATCGAAAGCTCTCGACCGGCTTCTATAGGCGGTAGTTTCGGGCAGAATCAGCCCCCCGAAAACCGCTTGCCGATGGCCGCGGGCGTCGGAGCTCCAGATCTCATCACATCTCAACACCTTCGGCACTTTTCAAGGAGTGGTTGACTGCCATGTGATGTTCTCGACCTGAATATACCCAATCAGATATGCCATGTCTTGGTTTCTCTCCCTGACATCTTAATTCCGTTTCGAGCCTCATCCGACCCAACCCCGAGATGCGCGGTACCAGGTTCCCAGTGTCCTTGGCCCTGGGCGTCAGCCCACGGCAGGCCTTGAGACCATACAGTTCCTTTACTCGCGATCTACTCCCCAAAACGACGTCGCCTTCAATAGCTATCGGCGATCGCAATGGGTTGAACCGACTCTACTCAACCGCATCGGGAGCCCTCCGCGACGGGTCTAGTCCGCTATTGCTTCAACATAACAACGTCAAATATACCCCTTCAGCGTCTCGCATTGTCTCTCAGACCCGCCTGTTTTCTTCCACCACGCACCTCCTCCAAGTGAAACCACCCGCGTCCACACCTCCCCAAGAGCAAGCCCAAAACCAAGCCACCCGGTCGACTCCGGAACCGGAAGAAGATGGAGAGGACAAAGGATTCGAGCTATCTGAGCGAGCGGCAAAGGCAGCACAGGTCAACATGAGCGCCAGATTGGCTAAGGACGGGGCATCGGGCAAGAAGTCCGGATTCCAAGAAATCTGGCGACTCTTGAAGGTTGCACGTCCCGAATCCAAGGCCCTCGGCTTCGCTTTCTTCTTTCTTCTGATCTCCTCATCTATCACCATGTCGATTCCCTTCTCCATTGGTAAAATTATGGACACTGCGACCAAGAGCGTAGCAGAGGGAGGCGGTGAACTGTTCGGCTTGAGTCTTCCCATGTTCTACACTGCTCTCGGTGGTATCTTACTCGTGGGCGCTGGTGCCAACTATGGGCGTATCATTATCCTCCGAATTGTCGGTGAGCGCATTGTTGCCAGACTTCGTTCCAAGCTTTTCCGCCAAACCTTCATCCAGGATGCCGAGTTCTTCGATGCGAACCGAGTTGGTGACCTGATCTCGCGACTTAGTTCCGACACTATCATTGTTGGCAAGAGTATTACCCAGAACTTGTCGGATGGATTGCGTGCCGCTGTCAGCGGTGCCGCTGGTTTCGGTCTGATGGCTTATACCAGTTTGAAGCTGTCAAGTATTTTGGCTTTGTTGCTTCCTCCAATTGGTCTTGGTGCTCTTTTCTATGGCCGTGCTATCAGAAACCTTAGCCGCAAGATCCAAAAGAACTTGGGATCTTTGACTAAGATTGCCGAAGAACGCCTGGGCAATGTGAAGACTAGTCAGTCGTTTGCCGGTGAAGTTCTTGAGGTCAACCGCTACAACAATCAAGTGCGGAAGATCTTCAATCTTGGAAAGCGAGAATCTTTGATCAGTGCAACCTTCTTCAGTTCGGTAAGTTTCTCTGGTTGATGGTGACTTGGTGAATTTAACTAACTCCTTATTAGACTGGCTTGATGGGAAATATGACCATTTTGTGTTTGCTCTATGTTGGCGGTGGAATGGTTCAATCCGGTGCTATCAGCATTGGCGAACTGACCTCGTTCCTCATGTACACGGCATATGCAGGATCTAGCATGTTTGGTCTGTCCAGCTTCTACTCGGAACTGATGAAGGGTGTGGGTGCGGCAAGCCGACTCTTCGAGCTGCAGGATCGTCAACCTACAATTCACCCGACTAAGGGTCTCAAGGTTGAATCCGCTCGCGGCCCCATCCGTTTCGAAAATGTCACTTTCAGCTATCCCACCCGTCCTGCTGTGACCATCTTCCAGGACCTGAACTTCGAGATCCCTCAAGGAACAAACGTGGCAATTGTCGGGCCTTCTGGTGGAGGTAAATCCACCATCGCGTCCATCTTGCTTCGGTTCTACAGCCCTACAGAAGGCCGGGTATTGATCAACGGTAAGGATATCAAGGGAATGAACGCCAAATCTCTGCGGAGAAAGATCGGAGTCGTTTCACAGGAACCCGTTCTTTTCTCCGGAACAATCGCCGAAAACATATCCTATGGTCTGCCCAACGCATCTAGATCGGAGATTATCGCTGCTGCGCGCAAAGCCAACTGTCAATTCATCAGTGACTTCGTAAGTTCCCTAAACAAGCTTTAGTCATAACCCAAGCTAACAAAACCACAGCCTGATGGACTCGACACTCACGTCGGAGCCCGTGGAGCTCAACTCTCCGGTGGCCAAAAGCAACGCATAGCCATTGCGCGTGCTCTAATCAAGGAACCCGACATTTTGATCCTCGACGAAGCCACCTCCGCCCTAGACGCCGAATCCGAAACCCTCGTAAACAGCGCACTGGCCGCTCTCCTCCGCGGCAACAACACCACCATCAGCATCGCCCACCGCCTCTCCACAATCAAGCGTTCCGACACGATCATCGTCCTCGGCAACGACGGCAAGGTTGCCGAGCAAGGCTCATACGAGCAGCTCAGCTCCCACGATGGCGCTTTCTCCAAGCTTATGGAATGGCAAATGAGCGGCGGCGAAACAAAGCCCCCTGCGCCAAAGCCCATTGAGTCTGGCCGGCTCTGGGAGCTCGAGAAGGAGGCCGAGCCGGAGTTGGAGGAAGAGGAGGAAGTGGAAGAAGTGGAGGTTGGTGAACAATCCTCTCGCAAAAAGGAGTAATCGCACTCCATACTTCTATTTTATCATTGCCCCGTGATGCAGCATCTCCACTTATTCTTGTTGAAAACGTTCTCTGCATTTATACTCACCTCTTTTTGATTTCTCTCTTCTTATACACATTTTGCATCATGCCTTTTTCTTTTCTTTTCTTTTCTTTTCTTTTCTTTTCTTGCGATAGATATTAAGTTAGCGGCAACGGGTGTAAATCTTGGTATCAGTATAATGTTGACTTTTAACGAATGACTTGGCCTTTTTCTGTTTCTAGTTGTGAATTGGTAAATGTGCGCGAATAAATGATTCAACAAGTCAACTATATTGAATTCTCCGGACTACCGTCGGAGTCCTTTATATGCCCGAGATCTAGTCCTTGGCTAACAGCTCTCGCACCTTGCTAACCTTGTCCTCAAAGGACTGCGTCTTATCAGTTCTATGAAAAAATTAGCAAACAGACGCGATATGGAGGAATCCCACTCAGAAGAAACAAAAACATAGAAAATAAGTCTCGGACAAGGAAAAAGTGAAGAAAGAGCCGGAGAAAAAAAGAAAACAGAGAATGAAAATACTGACCTCGATCCAACACGAATATCAGACTGAATCCGAACAATCCCCTGCTGATGAAGGAGAGTATGCGCCTGCCCGATTACCTGATGAACCCGGTCCCAGGGTCCCTCTATATAAAACAAGGTGATACAAAGTCAGCACTCAGCTCTCCAGAATAGCCACCTGTATCTGTACAAGTACGCGTACGCAAATAGCCGCGGGGTGTACCGAGATCCTCCGGTTACGATTCCGGCTGGCTGTGCTTCTGGGGAGCATCTCTGATTTTCATCTCGACCTGGGAAATTGAGAAGTACTGTAGGTTCCCAATATCTCCCCTTCCCCTTCCCCAGGAAGATTGCACCGTGGACCGGCTATGCAGATGCAGCTATGTAGATAACTCTGTAAGGAGAGATCTCTTACCGATGGTTGTGCCAGCGGAATGCATGACATACTTCAAGCCGCATGTTTCGATCAACCGCTGGACGTCGGCGATCTGGGCTGAGACTGAGGGTGAGCCCGTGCCGATCTGGAGGTGTTAGTTGGGCGATTTTCTATTAGAGGGTTTTCTTTACCGGGATCAGACAGAAGTCGGCGACGCAGTGAGCCGGCGTTGGGATGGTAGTTGGTGTCGGGTCCATTGCGTTGTTGATGGGGGAAGATGAGGTGGGGTAGAAAGAATAGAAGAAGTCTATGCGATGGGGCCGATTTTCGACCTTGTGGGTGTTTAAATAGTTCGTGTACGGTTGGTGTGAGGTGTTTGCAGAATAGATTTGAGTCAAAGGTGTGACTGTGTCGGCAGGGCTGAACATCTCAGACCTCTTTAATCTCGATGCACATACCTCTTGAGCTGTGAGGTATCAGATTGCTGACCGCCATTACATCAGTGCCCGACTTCTTCTTTTCTTTGACTCTTACTTCTTCTCTTCTATTTTATTTTATATTATCACTGGATGATCGACTGCAGGGGTAACTGACTATCAGTAAGAACTAACCCCTGCACGTCATCCACTATCTTCGGAATATCGAGTACTGTAACTGTCGAGAAATTGAGAGTTCAGCCTCATCTTCTCCTTTCTTCTTTGCGTCCATTTCTCCGGAGATCGGCCCGGGCGGTCTGAGAGAGTTCTTTGTTCGTAACCTCGGGCATTCCGATTGACGTGCACTGTGTATCTGCCACAGATCGAGATCCGCCTTGTGTTTCATCTACCCACTAAACGCGGTCTAGCCCCTCTCAATCAGCTTAGCCTCCGGCCCTGCATGCACAAGCGATCCCCCAGAGAGCTTGTTTCGCGCCCCGTTGCATCCCCGAAGCCTCGGGCAATTCCCGTTAAGATCCTCTATCCGGCTATCCCCAATTAGCCCCGTCATGACAGTGAACCCGCGGATCCCAACAGCCATCGCTCAAACGGATGACCAAGCCCAGTATCCTTGAACTCCCACCGGGAGTTCAGCTCATCTACCTCGCGGAGGGAGGAGCCAATGTGATCTACCGCTTCGCCACAGCGGGAACTACATTGAAAAAAGACCCGAAAAGGCCACTATCCGCGGTAATTGACCGGCCAGACCAAACCTGCACCCTCCCAGCGCACCTCAAAGGAAAATTACTCCGACTGCGCAAAGAAACAACAGCCGATATCTCCTACAAAGAGATCGTCCGCAATTTCGACACTATCATCCGACCGCTCTTCTCCCCTGAGGAATTAGTCGATCAAACCCTCGTCCAACTCCCGGACGGTCTCCTCGCCCGTTGCAACGAGCGTCTCCGCGCAGATGAAGTAGCCGGTTCGCGCCCGAAGAAGCGCCACGGAGGCTATCTCTGTCTGAGTGAACCGTTCGGTTTGCTCATTACTGATATGACGACTGAAGGTGAACCCGGCGCGACTTTGGCCGAACTCAAACCTAAATGGCTGAACCAATCGCCCTCTGCGCCGGCCGCGGCGCGTAGGTGTCGAACGTGCGCGCTGCGCGAGATGAAAAATCGCGAGTCTTTATTTCTGGGACACAAAGAGCAGCGGTCGTTTTGTCCGCTGGATTTGGTGTCTGAGAAGTTTGAGAATGTATTGCGAGCTACCAGGTTGATTAAGGGCTGTAAGGATGGACCGCGGTTGGCTCGCATTTTGTATCGCAATTCAACGTTGCGGAGGTTGCAGTCGCTGCAGAAGATTGAGGGTGATGTTGGGCTGCAAGGGCCTGTGGCAAAGTCGAGGGAGATGTCGCTTGCTATGACCCTAAGGGACTGTACGATGTTTATCAAAGTGAGTACCGCTTCCAACTGCAAAGCAGGATTTGAAGCCATACTCCGATTCTTGATGCTCATATCCACATGATAGATACCCCATGACGAAAAGCGTCCTGTGGAAATCCGCCTCGGCGACCTCGATCTCAAGACTGGGGCCGGTGGAAAGGCTGGATATTGGCGATCCCTGGAGACCCAGTTGATCGATCAGGGCTGGTATCATGGATGCAATAGCAACCAGGATCCGAGTGAGTGCGCTTTGCTTGGTTCACAAAGACCTCCATATTCCCCTTCAACATGATACGTCTATGAACAAGTTAGACCTACTCTAGGGTCTTAAATGTATCGCCTTCTTATCATGTGACTTGTTTGGTTTGTATACTACGTTGGCTTTCACTATTGGCTTTGGTGGCGTTCTGACTTTCTGTTCTCTTTTCGTTTTTCTTGTGTCTTGTTTTGGACAACGGGCGGCTATTCTGATGTATACGTGCGCTTAATGATTGCAGATGTTTATGCATCACTCCTCTACCTAGGTACTTGATAGTCACTGCCACTTTTTGGCTTTCATCTTCCGGTTTATTGCTTCCTTTCCGCTTTTTTATTTCTCCTTGGGTGAAGCTAGGCATGCCCTTGAGCACTCACTCCAACCTGAGAAACTTATCACCTGAGCAGACTGCTCCACCGGGGCACTTACTGAGGGAATCTATTATGGCTTATGCGAGTTAATTTTAGCTCGATTTCAAAGGGATATCTATCACAAAAATCTTGTAATACACCTTCGAAACTCAATAGGCCATTGTGGACGAGCGGTATCTACGTATAATTCAGTGAGATCAGTGTTTAACATATGTCATTCACAAAGTGGGTTCGCCTCTCTCCACATGAGCCTTAATATTACACGTTTTAGTAGAAGGACACACGGAGTACACCTACAATCAACTTCCGACTCTTGAGCTTAAGCAGCTCTCGTTTTTCTGGCACATTAAGCTTCCTACGGGGCCTGCCAGTGCCTGTCTCTGAATTATGTCTCCGAATAATTCAGAAGCAGCTATGGCCTTGTCTTCTTTTGGTGCGCAGCCCCTGAGCGCTGCTATCATCGGCTTGATACTCACGAGTAGATCTATTTTCTGTTTTTACTTAGGTAGGTTCTATGCTAGAAATAAAGCTAGTCTTCATATAACTATTTGCAACAATGACCTTTTGCAAAGAAGCTCAATTATCTACTATTTTATATACCGAGTGCATGCTCACAAGCACGAACCAAAACCGAAAGCTCAACAAAGCAAGCACAACCCTTGAATACACCAGTGTATCCAAAGCAATTCGCACAATTCAATATCTTACACCGTCACCGCAAGACCAAGACCAAGACCAGCCTGAAACCATCAACATCATATAACACCTAATACAAAAGCTTTTCCAACTTAGCCAAAACCCCAGCACTAGAGCTAGGAACAGCAGACGAAGTCGGCAAAGTGGAAGAAGGAGTGGACGCAAACGGCGTACCCTTGGCCTTCCTCTTGAAAGTTGTAGGAATGGGAGTCCATACGGCTCCGGAAATGGGCCAGCTAAACGCTGGAATAGATGGAGTCGGGGCCGGGGTGGATGCGGCTGGGATTGGGGCTGACACGGCAACAGAGGGAGGGTTGGAACCCAGGCCAGTCATAGCCCCGAGGTTGAGTCCGTCCAGCTGTTTTCCAAGTGCTGCACCGGGACCTCCACCGGGGATCTGGGCGAGGGTTGTGCCGGTGAGGGCTGTGAGAACGATGGTAGAGAGGGTGAACTTCATGGTGATAGGTTGGCTTGAGTTGGTTTGAAAGTGTTGGAAGGATGGCAGTGAAGTAGGCTTGGTAGTTGGCTTGTGTGGAGGCTTGCTGGATGAGAGATAAGTTACTGTTGACTTTGGCTAGGGGAGTGGACGAGGTATAAATATACTCAAAGCGATAGGTAAAGGGGAAAGGGGTGAGGTCTGTACTGTACAGATCACATCTTGTACATCTGAATGGGGGTTTAGAAAAAGAGTCAGGATTCCCGGCGAAGATCGTCGCTCTGATATATCTGCTGTACCAAGTCCACGGGTATCATCCTGCTCCTGCGATAGAGTGTAGACTCCAGCTCGTACGGCCAAACCTTTATAGTTCCAATGCATGTTCATGTACATCGGGAGGGACGGCCCTGACTGAAACGGTCAGCAGAGTCTGTAGCATGAAGAATTGCTTTTTGTATATTCTGCTCCCTGTTTTGGTCGATGGGGTTGTGCATATTGCATAGGGGAGCACAGATATTGATATGGAGCCAATCAATTGATGCGGATATATATAGTAAAACCTGATTCCTTAAGCGTAATAAACCGAGAAGATTGTTGCATGACAGTGAATAACTGCGGAGGTAAATACCTAAAACTGCATCAGTCCAGGGGTACAGAGTGTACAGTATAAGTTAGTGCAGATCGACCTGCATATCGACTTATCGACTCCACCTCGGGACTCGATAACAGACACCGCACAACCTCCAACAAACATGGATCCCCAAGTCAGAGTCGGAGTTGGAGTCTTCGTACTCAACTCCCATGGCAAATTCGTCATCGGCAAACGACAAGGAAGTGTTGGTGCCGGTATGTTTCATCCGAATCTCCTCCTTAGCATCCCCGCCCCTCAATGCCTCCTGTATGCTGTACTGTACTACACACGCACCACCTTGTCGCTGCTAATTATAACACCTATTGGTCAATGCAGGCACATGGGCTCTACCAGGCGGTCATCTCGAATTCGGTGAATCGTTCGAGACCTGCGCCGAGCGCGAAGTCCTCGAGGAAACCGGGATGAAGATTTCGGATGTTCGGTTCCTGACTGCAGTGAATTCAGTCATGGGAGACGAGAATAAACATTATGTTACTATCTTCATGGGAGCCCGTGTCCATGGAAGCGAGGAACCGAAAGTGAGTTTCAATTTTTCGGATGGCATTTTGCGTTGCTGTCTTATTGCTTTTTCTTTGCTTTTTCCAATATACCGTACGCAGGTGTGCTTTTGCTTTTTCGTGTTTATCTTGCGGCTTTGTTATTTTATATTGCTTATGCTGCATTAAGCCTTGCATGGGATACAAGACTTACGTTTACTTGTTTTCAAAGATTCTTGAGCCGGAAAAGTGTGAGGCCTGGGAATGGATTTCGTGGGATGAGATGAAGGCTGGTGTGGGCGAGGGGTGGAACTTATTTATGCCTCTTTCGGAATTGTTTAAGCAGCGTCCGGAGTTTTGGGTATGACAGCTTGGTATGAGACACAGTTACGATGTTTTCTTTCCACCCGGTTAAAAAGGAGAGCATCCATGCCCTCTTCATATGATTTTGACGGAACACAAGCTGGAATAGACCAGCAAGATAATGAAGGACACCAACTTTTAGAAGGACAAGTTCAAGTGAAGGAACATGATTTTGCAGTAGAGGAAGTTGACAAAGATCAGCTGTGTACCTGCCAAGCTAAGAATAAGAGCTGGAATCATCTTGGCGTTTGCTTGACACGCTTGGATATGCTTAGAACAATGATTAACGTTACTTCGACCCAAACACCCAGTCAGATACAATGACTGCAATAGTCGCAACCTAAGAAAAAAGGTCAGTCTACACATCTACAGAACAGGAAACATCCACACTCACCAACGAGATATCCACGCCAGGCATTACAATAACATCCAGCGCAGGCCGCCACCCCTGCCTAGAAATCAAAGCCAATTTCTCATTATGCTGAATACTCTCTTTGATCTCAGCAACCTTCCGATCCCCATCAACAACGTCAAACGCCGCCAATGCATTCCCATGCCGTTCAACCCTTAAAGTAAGCATCTTCTCATCAACCCGCTTCGCCTCAAAGGCAGCAGCGTTCTCAAAATTGAGATTCAAATTCCCAGATGAACCGCCAAATCCACCCACGCGTGGCGTACCCGTTGCTATCGTCGCCGTGTCGCATCCGGGCAAACTGACCGACCAGGATATCGTCCAGCCCCATTTCCGATGGAGCTCGAATAATGGGAGACCTGAGGCATCGCGGAATTCTCGACATGAGCGATCGCCGTATTTGCGACCGCTCACGGTGAACGTGGGTGTGCCGTCATCCTCGGTGATCTTATATGCGAATGCGGAGTGGGGGCTTCCGAATGGTTTGAGCACGAGGACTGTTTTTGTCTCGGCGATATACTGGTTTCGGAAGGCTATGTTGCGTTGGGGTGAGCGGAGGGTCTTGCGAGGTTTGGAAGAGGATGTGTGGAATAGTCTGGCGTCTGTGTAGGAGGTGTACGACATGGTGGGGACTGGAATGGCTTCACTTGCGGCTTGTCAGGGGGCTCTTGGATAAATAGCATTAATAGCTTGGGTTATTTGCCGGGAGTACTCTTGCGGCATTTAGCCCGTCCAATGCCCGATGATCTCACTGCTGAGCCACAGCCAAGAGTTCCTGTTCCTTGAAGCTATTCTATACTTGGTCAGCGGGGTAGATAAGTGGCTTTGGTGGGTTTCATGAGACATTTTCATTCGTGTTACAAATATACGAATCAGCCACTTCCCCTCACTTGTACAGAGTAAACAGAAGAAAAGGTGGTTTGTATACATGTAAATGCAGTAGTTGTCAACAACCTCGGGCCCCGCGGTACACCGAAGTCGCCCGTATGAGCTGAGTCATGCCATTTCACTCCCACTTGGGATCTTCAGGCAACCACCAACTTACATACACATTTTATGATCTGGTGAATCAATGGCAAACAAGTTCGCAGTAAAATCCCTGGACCACCTGGTCCTCACAGTCCGCTCCATCCCCAGGACGGTGGCCTGGTACACAACCTACCTCGGCATGCGGCATGAGATCTTCACATCACCCCTCAACCAGGCCGTTCAAAGGTATTATCTTCCAAATAGGGCGTCCTGTATCAATACTGACAGGAAAGGCACGCTCTGATCTTCGGAAGTCAAAAGATAAACCTCCACCAATCAGGCAAGGAATTCGAGCCCAAAGCCCAGGATGTCATGCCAGGAAGTGCCGATTTGTGCTTTTTAACTGATGAAAATGTCGAAACGGTCCTGGCTGCATTCGAGGAGGCAAGAATCGAGGTGTGCATTCTTGATTAATTGTGCGGAGATAGGCGGATATTAATGTTTACAGATCCTGGAAGGTGCAAAGATTGTAGAAAGAACTGGGGCCGTTGGAAAGATCCGGAGTGTATATGTGAGAGATCCCGATGGGAATCTTATTGAGTAAGTTGAATTATTTGCTGGATGCAAAAGATTGAAATGCTAATTGGGCTTCTAGGGTGTCGAATTATGCTTAGTTGATTGATAAAAACAATTCAATACTTTAACACCTTGACCACCGTCTCAAAACCATAAACGGACATGAGTTTATGGAATATTAGCGTTGCATGTTATAGCGAAAGTGCCCAGGCAAGAGCCCCCACCAGGACAAGAAGAACAGCATTCTGCTCAATGATCGAAGCAGCGCCTGTACTCGCTGACGCGGAAGTTGTCGTTCCCGTCGCGCTGCCCTATCAAGTCCATGATTAGCCATTATATCCAATCGAGGCCCGAGAATAACATACCGTCGAAGTAGCAGAAGCAGTCTCAGCTATAGCAGAAGACGTACTACCAGTAGCAGAACCAGTGGTGACAGTAGCAGCAGTGGAAGAAGCATTCGAAGTAGCGGAAGAAGAACTGGGAGTTGCATCATCGCTACATGTCTTCGCCGCTGACTTGACATCATCTCCATAGTATTGCCAGATGTTATATGTGAGAGCACATTTCAAGCAGGAGTTGAGATCGGTCGTGAAGGTCGAGTTTGAGCAGTAATCTGTGGTTTGGGAGATCAGAATTACTTCTCCTATATTTCGAGTGAAATTGTTAGCTCCATATAATTTGTATGTTTGTAATAGAGCTTACCGCATGCTTCGTGGCAATTGTATAATGGTGAACCTGGGGTTATATCAGCACGCTTTGAGAGCAAAGTTAGATGGGGGGTCGGTTGGAGGGCGCCAGTCGAAGAGATGAAGAAAGCGATCGAGGCTGTCATTGAAAGCGAAGGATGCATTATGGCGGGAGTAAGCTCTCTTGATGACAAGCAAGCCAGTAGTGTGCAGTTGGTAATGGCCAGGTAATGAACGAAGCACCATAAAACTGCAGCAGGAAGAGGTCTTTTTTATAGCCTCAGCTAAGAGAACGCAATAGAATGGTCTTCCGATGCCTTTCCACCCGGAGCCGGTCATCCTGTAGCCTGCCAATATATTTAGCCTCTTCTATTTAGATTAGTACACGCCAAGCTAACTGGCTGGCTAAGCGTGGGCCATTTTTCTCCCCACCCGAGTGAAGCGGATATCACACTACAGTCACCATGCAAGTCCGACAAATCAGTCAATCGTACGATAATTTATCTCAGAGTAGCAGAGAAAGACAAATTTCGGATACTTGACAAGCTGATGCAAACATCCTTTCTATATGCCCGGAAAAGGAGAGAGGTTGAATTTTCAACAAGAGATACAAGATTTAATAAGCCACGGATCAATGCCAAAAATGACACCTCGAACAACAAAGGAATTCTCATCCGTGTCGGACATCAAATCATTCCGGTTTTCCCTAGACTTCGGAAAATACCGATAGCCAGCGAAGCGAAGGAAGAAAGAGGGTCCAATCACTCGGAGTCAATCTTATCAATCTAATCTCGTCACCCCGGCGCAAGCCCTTCCGGCCTTTGCCCTAAATCCCTGCAGAGTGTTGCATCGTAGACTAAACCAAGTCTTACTCTGGTTAGACGCTTTGGTGCTAGACCACTAATACCCATAATTCTCTCCACTTCCATGTGGCGTCCCACACCGTTCCGTCCGTTGGCAGCTCAGTTTCTCACTTTCCGTGAACTGGATGGAGTGATGGCTACGCCAAGACAGTTCAATCACATGAAATTTGCGGACGTTGACTCTTTCCATTGGTATACTTCCTCCGAGAGATGTGTGCTTTGGGTTAGTAAAGTCCAATATACGCGGAATCGTGGTTCGACTCCACCCCTCTCAGGCAAGTGTAGGTGCTACCTATGGATACGGTAAATGATGCCGAGATGGCCTGTCTTTTCGGAGAAGTGAGGTTTCCGAGGAGAAGTAGCTCGCGCGAATATATATGTCACTGTCAAACTCCTTCGGCATTTCTCGTAAAGTTTATCTCAAAGATTTCAGACTTCATCAAAAGCAGACAACATGCAGCTTTATACAGCGCTACTGGCTCTTGCTAGTTTATATGTGCCTTATGTGAATGCCGCTGAAGCCGTAGACATGGGCCCGGCTGCGTTTCTCTGGCCTCCTGATCGAGCATGGGGAGCAGCGCAAGACAACACTGCTCCCTGTGGCTCCTCTGCTGGAGTGACAAATCGGACCGAGTTTCCATTGAGTTAGTGTCCATAATTCCCTCTTCACTCTATATAATCTATACTGACAGCCCCAGCAAATGGCGAAGTATCCATAGTCCTTCAAGACGAATCATACAATGTCAATCTAGCAATTTCCTACAGCAACAGTCAGTCCATACATCCCCTACTCCCAAACCTTTAAAAAGACTAACTTTTTTAACCCTAACGAGACCCGACCTCAAATACCGACTTCACCACCCTCGTCCCCTCAACCAACTTCCCAGACCTAGACCCAGGCCACGAATGCTACTCCGTCCCCAACCCACCCTCTAACATAACATCCGGCGCAAACGCAACACTCCAGCTCTCCTACCTCTCAACATTCGACACAGAGATAAATAGCACTTTCTATGCCTGCGCCGATATAACCTATGTCCCTCTCGCCTCGTTCACGACGAATGTTCTCTGTTTCAATGTTTCTGAGCCGACGACCACTGGTTCTAGTCCTAGTTCGAGTTCTGCTACATCGACTAGTTCTTCAAATCGCTCTTCTTCGTCTTCTTCAAGTCGAGGTGGTGGGTTGTCTGGTGGTCAGATTGCGGGTATTGTTGTTGGCTGTGTGGCTGGAGCGGCTTTGGCCGCTGTTGCTTTGTTTGTTCTTTGGACTAGGTATCAGAGAAAGGTGCAGCGGGATAAGGTTGTTGCTGTTCGAATGAGTGATTGGGCTAATCAGCCTGGGAAGACGGTGTCAAATGGGTCGAATGAAGTCTGAATGTAAGATTGGATATGGCATGTGTTGAGGATGCAGAGATGATTGGGTACTATTTTGCTATACTTTACATCAGGGGGTCATCAGTGTTTATACAGTGCCACTGATGAAGTCGGACAGTACACGAAAGCCTCGAAGCGACCATACCGTTTCATACCTTGTTTCGCCCTTTGGCCTCTCCTTTTTGCCTTTTTTTTTTTTTTTTTTTTTTGGCCTATCTTAGAGTACCTCGGGGTAATCATGTAGATTGTATAAAGGTGAGGATGTGAAAGGGCTTAAGGCCTATGGCTGTATGTTTGCTCATGATGGATTTTACCTCGCGTTATACTGTTTCTATATAAAGAAAATGATATCATCGAAAACCCTGCCACCAAAATTGCAAGATTATGCGCAATATTCTGTACTGAGCAGTGGTGCAAAGACATATAAAACAAGCAATAGAAGAGCTCAATTCTGAATCTAATGACAGATCTAACTTATGAAAAACAACTCGTGCCTGATTATATAGGCCACGATCCAATATCAATGACGACATCAACTGAAAACAATCAAAACAGGGGTAGGGCCACTGCCCTATCGCCTAAAGAGACCCGTATAAATTGTGAAATGTCTGCGAGAATAATCCTTGCAACTCTGCTCTCATCCTTGCAACCCCCTTGCAAGTCGCGCAAATCGCGCCCCAGCGCGCAATGTACACCCATTTGACAGGATCTCCTTGGAAATCTCTTCAATGAAAACATGATCGCGAAAATAAAAAAAATTCGAAAATGAAAAATGAAAATATTTTCAACGAACATCAACTTGACCACTTACCCAAACAGACACAGAAATCTCAAATGTTAGGATTTTTTTGGGGCTCAGTATCGAAGGATATCTTTTCCGTGATGGTTTCCGCGATGCCCCACTGGGTCGCGGCTGTTTCAGGTATGCCATTCCTATTCTTTGTTACTGTATTTCCTTTTTGTTTCTGTTTCTGGCATTGCGATGATGATGATCAATCATATCTTACCAATCCATGGTGAAATTTGATTCCTTATATGTTTCAAGACGGGTCTCTGAGTCTGCCAAGATATCTTTTGTTATTGCTGTCTACATCTTGTGACCAATGGCTAATTTGATTGAAGTGTTTAGATGTTTGAAGTCAACACAAGCAAATGGTTGGCCACCCGGGCGCACTATTCAATAAAGGATGCATACAATTACGCGTGGCTCTGGGATCGGCGATCGCTCGAGTCGTTCCGTCGGCGATGTGCTTAGGCAGCCTTGTTGCGAGGTTATAGCCGACCTTGCCAAAACGATAAACGCGCCGGCAACTTGGCCCTTAACTCACAGAGTGACTCGTCTCGTAATGACAAGCATTAGATACCCTCAACGAATTAAAATGATTCAAACTTTTACTCTTATCCCAATTACCTTTCCTATTCAGAACCTGTCTCAACTAGGCCAACTCAGTACAGGCAATAGAGATAAATGCCATTAAGACTATCCCCAGAAATACACCAATTGCCACATCCGGTTAAGCTCTGGCTCGTCAGCCAGAACATTTTCTGACAAATGGCGCGCAATTAATCAGCGACGCAAGATCCGATATCCGAAACCCCGTAATTCCGCATCTCCTAGGCTCTAATGCCCCTGTAGCTATCTATAAAACATGGAACATCCCCATCTGACATTTGCCATTCTGGCCTCTACCCCAAATCGACTACTATACATAACCAACATATAAGATGGCATCCCACCTCACCAAATCAACCCTCCACTCTATAACCCGCACAGCCCTGAACACCACCAGATCCAGAGCAAGCACAGGAACCCTCCGACAAATCCAATCCAAAAGACGATTCACAAGCACACCCCTCACCAAATCCCCAGAAAAGATGTCAACTTCATCCCTAATCTCTCTAGCCCAGAACAGGCGCACGATTTACAAACTAGGCAAAGCCAGCCCAGTCAAAGATGCAGACTCCAAGATCGAGGAATTGGTCAATGAAGCCATCCTCCACGTCCCCAGTTCTTTCAACACCCAGTCTACGCGGCTAGTCGTCCTCCTGCATGGTGAGCATGACAAACTGTGGGATATTGCCATTGAGGCCTTTGGCGGGCTGGTTAAGTCTGGGAAGGTTTCTCAGGAGATGTGGGAGAATCAGACTTTGCCTAAACTGAAGGGGTTCCAGGCTGCTTATGGCACGGTATGTTCATGTTTTATATCTTATATTTTGCTTTCGTTTTCGTCCGTGGTAAATGACTTCTCTAATTTATGTGCCCGTTTATTATAGGTCCTCTTCTTCGAAGATCCAGCCCATATCAAACCCTTCCAAGAGAAATTTCCTCCCTTCAAGGATTATTTCGCGTCGTGGGCTGATCATTCTAATGCTATGCATCAGTATTTCCGTATGTATCCTCTTCTCTCCTTCCCTTCCTGGTTTCCTTTATCCAAGTAAGTCGTGCAATGCTAACAATATCATCAGTCTGGACCGGCCTCGAAGCCCTAGGCTTCGGCGCAAACCTGCAACACTATAACCCTCTCATCGATGCAGGTGTGGCCAAGCAGTGGAATCTGCCTAGTGAGTGGCGGCTTGTTGCGCAGATGGTCTTTGGGAGTCCTGAGGCTGGCCCTGGGGAGAAGGAGCAGAAGCCTGTTGAGGACCGGGTTAAGATTTTTGGGAAGTTGTAGATTTTTGCATGGTAGAGATGGGGATTATATATAGAGATAGAGTTATACATATTGAGTAGAGGGCTACTACTTGATGAGTCTCCTCTTTGTTGAGTGTGATTGTATGCTGGGTCAGTTTTCTGTCCCTGTCTTTTGTATTGGCAGAGGGAGAAGTAGACTCGTTCATTTGTATTTATTGACTAGTATCGAAACGTATCCTTGAACACGGGACTCATGATACTCATAGTGATTTGAAGGAAGAGCAAAAGAATCGAAAACCAGACCAGCCTGCGATGCATGAAATCCTTGGGGTCTGCCGCGCCCTTGTAATCGGCGAAAGTGAATGCAGACTGCACTGCCCGCGGCGTTGTCCTGCAAAAAATGAAGAATAAGATATACATAACAGAACAAAGTCTGTCCAGCAAAACCGTTCAAATATAGTCATCGAACTAAAAGAATGACAAACCGAAAGACAAGAACACTCCTCCCTCCAGCCATCTACCTCCCCAAACGATACCACAACTCAGGCGGATCCCCAAGACACTCACCAATAGTAACAGCTAAAAGTCACAAAGGTCAGTTCAACCCGCACACCACAGAAGAAAGAAGAAAGAAGAAAGAAGAAAGAAGAAAGAAGAAAGAAGAAAGAAGAAACTCACGACTCAACCCCCTCCTCTCAACCTCCTCAAGTATGTTATCCACAAGAACAGCAACAGTATTCTCATGCGAATCATGCGCAAGCACAACATTCCCCCCAGCATCAAGCTCAACCTTGAACTTCTCAAAACTGCGCCAGATCACCCCAGGATCATCATTCTCATAATCCTTCGTATCAATGCTAGCGCCGATAACATGATACCCGAGATCGGCCATAGCCTGCAGCACGACTGCGTTCATGTACAGGTATGGAGCGCGCATGTAGGTTGGGATGAAACTAAGGATTTGCAGGAACGCTTCTTCCAGGGCTGTCATTTGGCGAACGATGTCCGTGTAGGGAAGTGTATCCAGTGGGAGGTGGTTCCAGCTGGAAGGCGGGTTAGGTTTGGACTTTATGATGAGATATATTGATTCTGAGACAGGTGAATGTATGCAATGGCAAACAAGTCGAACACTGGAAAAGGAAACGTGAAGGAAGTAAAGAGCTCACGTATGAGACCCCAACTGATGCCCCTCGGAAACAGTCCGCTGAACCAACTCCGGAAACGCATAGATATTGCCCTTATTCTGGCCATTCAGAAAAAAAGTAGCGCGGGCACCGTGGATGGCGAGCGTATCCAGCATCTGGGATGTGTAGATGAATGGGCCGTCGTCGAAGGTTAGGGCGATTGTGCCCGGGACAGTGCAGTGGGTGATTGAGACGCCGAAAGGGAGGGAGGATAGGCGGAGTTGATCATTTGTTGTTTTGATTTGGGGGAGATGAAGGGGGAGGACGGGGATGGTGATTCTGGTGCTTTTGGTACTGATGTTGAAGGTGGGTGTTGTATCTGTGTTTTGGATTGGGGAGGCGTGAGATAGAGCTGCCAGGGCGGCCCATAGAATGTGTTGGGTATGCATTGCTAATGCGTAGGTAAGGATGCTGTGAGATGTGAAGTGGAAGATGGTGAAAGTGTGGGATGTTGTGAGGCAAGAGGCATAGCTTCGTTACTTCCGAGGGTGAACAGGATAAGATTTGCATTGAATAAGATTAACCACGTTGGTCTTGAGACCAACCCCTCCAACACATATGAATACATCTGGGTTTAAAGGTATATCAAAATCGCAGGATAAAACATTCCACTCGCTGTTCTTCATTCAAGGACCGAAGCGAAAGCGAGAAGACAGAAGAAGAATCCGCCAACAAACTGATTTAGCCCTTACGAGTGCTCTTCTTCATGGAACGTCTCTGTCCCTTCTGAGCCTCACGGTCCAGGAACTTGCGTTGCTCGTCAGCGCTCAAGCCACGCAGGATACGCTCACGCTCTTCCTTCTTGACCTTCTCGGCGGCGATGCGGCGCTCCTCGGCCTTCTCTTCTTCCTCAACACGGCGCAGCTTCTTGATCTCCTCCTCACGAACGTTGCGGATCTTGCGCATCACCTCGGTACGGAAGTGGGCGGAGGCAACAAGCTTATCAGCTAAGCGAAGGAACTGGTTGAACAGAGGGAGGGTGGTGGAGTAGCCGGAGGCGGAGGAGGCGAGGTTAGCGGAGAGCTGAATGCGCTTCTTGGGAACGGTCTCCTCGATCCTGATAGATACGTTTAGATACCGGTACAATAAGTGTTCAGCGTGGGACTTACTTCATGGGCTTGTCAATGGGCTGGTCAGTCACGATCAGGAACTCAAAGTCGTTACCAGCCTGTTCAATAGCCTGGATCAACTCCGGGGTGAGGAGAGTGTCGCTGATCTCAGCATTCTCGGACATGACGGTAACCCACGAGGGGAGCTTGGGGTTATCCTTGGAGAAGGTGATGGAAGCATCGTAACGGTCATTGCGGAACTTGCGCATGTGGCTCTTGTGAACAACAGCCCAGATAAATCCATCGTAGGTTGAGCTAGGGACCTTGACAGGAGTAGACTCCTTGTTAAGCACGGGAACCAGGTCCTTCTCCTTGCCATCGAAAGCATACAGCAGAGCCTCGTATTTCTCAACGGGGGCTCCCAGCTCTCGAAGAAAAAGCTGAAGACATACTCCATAAGGTAGGTGATCGGGTTGTAACGCTTAGGCATCTTGAGGTTGACATCGAGGAACGCCACGTTCTGACGACCGGTGGCATACGCGGCGAACTCGCAGGCTGACTTCTCCTTCAGCAGCGATTCAGGGTTGGTCAACTCCACGGTAACGTTCTCGTCATCCTCAGGGGCCTGTCGGGCGATGCCATCGAAGCCGACGACGGCAAACTCCTTCTGAAGGGCAGGGCCATGGGCTTGAGCCCACGCCTTAGCCTTGCTGCGGTTCTTGCGCGCGCCCCAGAGATGGAAGAGGACGATCAAGAGGATGACCGGCATGATCATGCCCTCCTGCTTGAAGTCGCTCAGAGATGTCCGCTCCCACACACGGTACCATGCTGTGTAGGGAGCATTGGCGCCCAGGGTGTTGGCTGCTGGCACGGTGGTCGTATCGGCGAGGAGGGACGCAGGTGACGGGTTCGGAGCTTCCACGAAGTCGGCGAAATCTAGATCGTTAGCGCGAGCAATTGAGCAGAGCTTTGTGCCATACCATCATCAGGTTTGGCTCCGCTGGAGCCAAACACGTTCTTGAACATGCCCGCCATTGTTGATGATGGAAGGGAAAGGAGTGGGAAGGAATCGAAGAGGTCCCAGTGCGGAGCTAAGTTCCTCCTGGGTCTAGCGCGGACGTCTCCAGCTTTTTTACCCGCTCTACGGAGAACTGGACTTAGGACATTTTGGACACTTTTAAGACAAATGAAATTCATATAACCCTCTAACAAAATCCATTATAAAATGCTCAGTGAGTGTGGTATCCTGTAAAAAAAAAAAAAAAAAGAAAAGAAAAGAAAAGAAAAAAGAACGCAGCCCACGAAAAACGCCCAAAGCTGCTCGATGACAGAACCCAATTTTGTACAATCCCGCTCCAAAGAAAAGAAACAGAGCCGAAACGGAAAACAAGAGAGAAACCAAGAATTTAAAGCAATCATCAAGGTCATAAATGCTCGAGACTCGCTCGAGTACAGAATGTAAGATAGCCACTCAGTGGCCATAAGCAGGCGGAGGAGTATCCTCATGTTGACGGCTCCAGAATCCGCTGCATGCGCTGGTCATTAACTTATCCTCGCGCATACGACGAGCAATTTCACCAGCGAGCCTCTCAACCAGTACGGAGTCGACACTGTCATTGGTCTTCTCCTCGGTGAACGGGAGAACAGTGGCGGGTAGTGGCGGGCGCACACTAGATGAAGGGCCCGCATCAGCCTTCTCGTGAGGGTAGCCACCGCGAACGGTAGCACGGGGGTGGCATCTACGTCCTCTTTCGATCCACGAATGGTCTCCAGAGAGTACGAGAGGTCACCGTCCCGACGCTGTGTCGGGCGGGAGAGACTGGCCCTGTGGCGTTCGGGAATCATGGGCAAGTGAGAGTCAGGTTCGGGGGCCAATGGTGGGGTCACAGGGTCGTCAGACTGCTCGTTCACAATAGGCAGAGGCGCCGAGGCGATGGACGGGGGTCGGGATGATTCGGTCACGACGCTCTCGTCGCTTACGCTCATGGCGTCATCGGTGGTCTTGGGACGACGCAGATCCACAACGCGCTTCTTGCGTCGCCGGGAGTGCGCTTTAGAGTGACGACCAGCACCTAGACTCAGGCCGTAGGTACTGACCGTATGACCAGGCATAGAGGGTCGACTTTGCATAGAAACGGTACTGGCAGTTTCATGAAGCGAGGCCATGCTGCCGATTTGAGAATGGGTTCGCGAAAGAGTCGGGCTCAGTGGTGAAATAACACTCGAAGGGAAATCGCTTGTGTCGGAGGGAGAAGTCCAGGCGCGATATACCACTTCTTGGATGGAAGGCGTGAACAGCGATAGGGTCCGTTGCGAGTCCGTAAGAGCGGCCAGGCGAAGAAGGTTCTTCTGCGAGAAAAGGGAATGGGTCTCGACCGATGAATCCAAAGATAGTGACGCGATCTCAGACTCGTTCAAGGCGTTCCCGAGGGAATCGACGGGATCCTGAGGCGGGCTGGCCAATGGATCTTGGCCGGGGCCTTCAGTTGTCGCTTGGTCGGTGTTATCAGCTTGGTCGTTCATTTCCTCCCCAGTGCGGTATTCTGGAACCCATAATCGTAGTGAGAGTCGATGGATAATGGCTGGGAGTTCGTCCATGAACAATATCCGGAGCTGGGCCTCAATTTCTTTCTGTAGGAAGTCGCGCACAAAGGGTATTGAATCGAACGTTGATGATACTTTAAGCGACTCGAGCGGATCATTGCGAAACACGACGGTGATTCCTTTTTGCTTGGAAAAGACGAGTATCACGAATCCAGAGAGTTTAAAGTCGGAGAGAGTGATTTGTAGAGGTATCGTGAGCGGGGTACTATTTCGCGACAGGGTCAGCTAAAATCTGGAATATGTCGCGCGTATATGCGATATCTACTTACGCAGCAGCGAGAGGTACTGGTGACGCGAAAGTCGGTCGTGTGAGGAGAAAGGTGTTGAGCGGGTTTGCTTGGACGCGGGTCTTGAGTGTGAGAAAAGCGTCGCCAGTATAGGACATCTTAAAGATGCCGCGAAAGCGATCTTCGGCCAAGTCTCCGATCTCTAGAATCTCCAGTTCCGGTGGGATAGAGCCCAGGTTCAACTCGGTGACATGGATATCGTCGACGATGATCGGGGGTTTGGGCGATTTATTGAGGGCTGCAGTGAGCAGATCTTGGGCGCGAGTGTAAAAACTCGCGTCCGCCATCAAAGGCGACCAGTTGAAGTTGAACGCCATGCCCGAGCATTGAGTATTAGGTGAATAAGGTAAAAGGTAGAGATAGAGTACAATAGAGAGAGAGAGGCGTCGAAAGGAGGCGATCAGCAGGAAGAAAAACTGGATTGTTCCCGAGGCGCTCGCTCCGATCACGCGCGACAGTCAACTCCTCCAATCTCACTTTTTGATCGGTTTTATATGCGATTTAATTACAGATATTGTTATTTAGTGCCTCGTTCTTTCTATTCTATTTCTCTATCTACATATTCCTCTCTTTCACTCAATTTTGTCGCATTCGAATTGAAGGGTACGTCACAGTGTGTCTTGCATGGGCCTCCACCACTTCCGGTCAGCCCCGGCCTGAAGCCCACAGTGGGTGACATTGGGCCATTCACGGGCATGGGATAGCGGATATTGCATGTACCTAGCCCTTGGTCTGACGGACTATTTTGGACTATGAAAATCTGGAGAAAGGGGCGCCAGAATCATTCTATACGAGACATCTCGGGCCAGAATCAGCTATTATAGCGCAGATCACGGCATACATGAATCCAGCCCACGTTCGACTCTTATGTGAGGAGGGCATTTCAATATCATTGCGACAACCACATGGAAATAAGAATTACTTGCACGCACAGGGAGGATACAGTAGTGGTAGGAGTACCATAAAGAGTAGACCAGAAATGACCCCTATGGCCTCGTTGCTTGTTTGGGCTATTGTTCTACTCCTTCCCCTGAATACCCGAATATCTGTTTCAATTGCATGTAACTGTCGCATGGTTCTCGTGGTGTTCCCTGCATCTGCAGCTCCGAGTACAAGGCACGTGACCCCATAGATCAGCTTTTGCCTGAGCAACCCCACGCTAGCCGGATTAGGATAAAAATCAATACTGAGCTCGCGGCGGTCAAATTCCTGCCTGGCACTTCTCACTGCACGACATTTCCACTTCCCAGCTGTAGCGGCACCGGCATCAAACTAATATATTGGGTGCATATCGCCACTCCGAAGAAATCAACCAAGTCAGCCAGGTCACCGTCCCGCTTGGAGGTCACGCGACAATGGAGTCCCGATCCAAGGCAAAGTCAGTCGCCCAGCGACGAGTCTATGGCAAACGGAGAGCCAATGCGCCGAGAGCAGTATTCGACCAGGCTAGCCCAGATAGAGATACAACATCCAAGAGAACCCAAAATGTCGATCCAGTCGAATGCCTAGAAGCGAAACTGGCTCGAGTGACCATCGATGAAGACATGGCCCCCCAACACGACGAAGAGACCGGATCTCAAAAGACGGAGGAAACTGAGGAACAGCATCAATTGATCGACACCTCCTCGGAACAATCGAGTCCTTATCCTGAAGCGGAGTCTCCAGACACCTCGATAACACCATCTGTCGAATCCACCCTGGAGCAACCGGAACCGAAGCAGTTCGAAACGATGGTAGAGGTCAGGATATGCGAAACCAACACAGCTGATTCATCGGATGCCACGTCAAAGTCCACCACCACCATGCCCGATACCACGCCAGAGTCCACTGGCGAGGACCAAGAAAAGAAAAACGCCTCGGAAAAGAAAGCCCTAAAAAAAAACCCCTGCCTCTCGGCGGTCGTCAGGGATTATTCATGACAACAAATTCAATGACTATGTCCGCCCAATTCTCAACGAAGCACTAGCTCCGATTGCTGCGCAAAGTATCCAAAAATTCGGCTCATGGGCCTCTCGATCCGCAAACATGTTCGACGTTGCAAAGCTAGCCGAGGGCTCCTACGGTGAAGTTTACAAACTTCATCTGCGCGAAGAAGCCTGCAGGCCGGTGGTCTCAAAGTCTAGATTGGCCAAATTGAAATCATATGGCGATGGAGTCTTTAAGGTCGTACCTCTGCGAGCCAAGAGTGGCCCTGGGTCCAAGAAATTCACCAGTATCGAGGAGATTGTCTCCGAAGTCAAGATGCTGAAATATCTTGACCCTATTCCTGGATTTGCCCGTTTTAGAGAGATCCATGTTGTTCAAGGCCGTTTCCCAGAGCCATTCCAGAATGCGTGGGACCACTACAAGAAAACCAAAGACGACTGCATGAATCCTAACCCATCCAACAAGAGGGCATACCCCGATACACAACTTTGGGCAATCATCGAAATGGATGATGCGGGATGTGAACTGGAGAAGTTCGCTTGGTCCTCGATTTTCCAGATCTATGATATCTTCTGGGGAGTTGCCATGGCTTTGGCACGGGCCGAGGAGTATGCCCTCTTCGAGCATCGAGATCTGCACTTGGGAAACGTTTGTATCCGCTCTACTCGGCAGGATGGCTGCATGGATCCTCCCACAGAGCAGGACATTGCACGCCATTCATGCCCCAGCGGATTTGGGTTCAGCTCTATCGAAACCACCATTATCGATTACTCCCTCTCTCGAGCGGAGCTGCGGTTGACCGATGACCCCAATGGAATGATTGAGGTTGCATCGTCTGATTTGGATAAGAAGCAATTATTCGATGCTATTGGTCAAGATGAGGATGAAATTATGCAGCGAAACACCTACAGATAGTATGTTACTCTATGCATCTGATCCATGCTTTTATACTGACTATGACAACTAGTATGCGCGCAACACTTTACACTGGAGACCCAGCAGAAACAGAAAAGCCAGCAAATATTCCTGGCATTTGGGCGGAATACTCCCCGCGCACCAACCTGGTTTGGCTACTCTTCCTGCTCCAAAGCCTCTTCAAGAACCGAAAACCTGAGCCACCATCTGCCCTTCCCCAGCGTAAGGCTCTCGCACCTTGTTCGCCAAACAAGAAAACGATCAAAGCTGAAACAGCCAACGGGAAAGATCAGAAGGTGACCAACTCTTTGGCTAAGGGGCAACAAACTCAGGCCTGCATCTCTCGTCTCAAGTCAACATTAGAGGATCGGCTGAAGACTGTCCTTAAACTTCTTGATCTAGAACATGGTCACGAAGACATGTGCTGTGCTGCTGATTTGGTGGCATATGCCATGGACTCGCAATGGCTGGGCGAAGAGGACTTTTTCTGATTGATGATTCCGCATACGATAAGCATTGGAAGATTGGACTGTGGCGTTTTATTTTTATTCAATATATCTAGGGCCAGGAGTTTGCATACATCTGTTGTTGGAGTTGGAATTCTGGGCATTCACATTGTTTCGGATAAATCAAGAACACTCGCCATATGAACATAGAATATCGTCTCCTTTCTAATTCCCAGTATGCAAATAAGATACAAAAAATGTTGCTCAACATGGAAAGGTTCTACCCATCTATTAAATTCAACGATTGATTGAATTCTATTTCCAGCCAAAGAACATGCCGCAACCACGAACCCAAGAGGATCCCAGTCAACATCTTCGTCCCCCAACATTGAAGAATAAGAATAAAAGCCACCTAATCACCTAATCTATCTCTATCTCTCCCATCTAATCCAAAGTCTTCCAAACGCACGACTTTTGCAGTCCGAGGATAGTAATCCCAAGACCAAAGAATAAACCTAGAAATTGCCGTAAGAAAAGCAATCCCAGCACAGGGTATCTGATCCCCACACTGTAAGGTACATATTGCCTTCAATTCTCCAGGGGCGAATGAACTGGTTTTCTCAATATAGCTTGACCGTGGTATACGTATGTGGACCCATGATATGCCACGAAGGAGTAAGAGACACCCAGCAGGATTCTACAAAAGCCTGGCAAGACATATAAGCTCCAAGCTACTGCAAAGATAGTAATTTATCCAGGGGGGAAGCAAGAAAGAAAGAGAATTGATCTAAATGGTTGATTATCAGGCAGAATGGCCGGTTTGATATAGGAAAGCTTGCTGCAGTAGCAACAAGAGCATTGTAAGTATTGTACACATCCAACATGCGCTAGTAACGAAGACGACAGGGATGCCACTGCCTTCGCTCTGTCCGAAGCCAAGATGGCATCAATCAGAATTTGAGACATTGACCAATTATCCAATCGGGCCAAAAAAGCCGTATGCAGAACTCCAGTGCGCGTCCGAAGCTCATCTTGCCCTGTCATGCATGGGATGCTCCAATGCGGCCGAACCTTGGAGCGAATTAGCACTGGAAAATGCCAACGCCAAAGAAGAAACAAAGTGCAAAGCCGCTCAGGGAAAGAAAATGTGGCGGGGAAAGAAAATGCAATGGTGAACCCGAAGGGTCACACACGGACACTCTTATTATGTACGCTGGGAAATTCAATCAAACACGTTAATCGTCCTTCGCCCGCTCATGTGCGGAACCCGATCCTGCCGCGAAACCAGTCGCACGAGACCTGCTCGCTGCGGCTACAGAGGGGCTGTTGAATCGGACGGATGAGGCTGAGGAGGATGTGCCCTGCTGTTCAGACCTCCGTGATGTGCCCTTAAAAGGACTGGGGGAATTTCGGCCGTCTATCATCCCATCGTCCAACTCGATTAGATCGTCCATCCGCCACTTATTGCGACCCCGGCTGGGACCCTGCTGATTGGGGGTTCCTTGCTGCAGTTCATTGATGCCGGCTTTGGCTCGCGTTGCTACGTTGCGAATCCAACCCTCGAACGCACCACCAATGTTCTCGAGACCAGTCGATGCATAGGACGTGGCGGTTGACGCAGACTCGAAAGAAGCTTTCCGAGCATTTTCCGAGGGCGGTAGTGGTGCTAAATTTGGCATATGTTGCGCGAAGAACTTGGTGAACCCATCCAATGCGGGCCCTGGTCCAGTCGAGGTAGGATCAAGGGTCCCTACTCCAGTACCAGACAAATGGAGACTACTGCGTTGACGGCGGTGTCCGGGACGAGTAGGACGCGCGGCCTTGGGTTTAGCTTGGTCGCCATTAGGTCGAGCGCGTGGGAGTACTCCCGATGATAAAGGTGGTGGCGGTGAGCCGGTGGGAGAAGGAGGTGTGATGGTTTCGCGGTAAGAACCAAATGGTTCAGCGTCTGTGTAAGATACTGATTTCCGACGGGTGCGAGGAAAGAATCCCAATGCCCTTCGAGGGACGCGGCCAATTTGTACTTGGTCCGGAAACCCATCCATGTGCACCCATTTCTCATGTTTCCAAATTTGATTGTCATCCGTTTCAGGGGTAGCCGCAGGCGTCTCTTCTGCGGAGGAATTATCGGTAGAGGTATCCGCGGGGACTATAGAGCTGTCTTTAGGGTCTTCAGGGTCAGGACCCAAAAGATCCACGGGCTTCGTTGGGGCAGGCCGGCCTTTTACAGAGCATGCATCGACCGGGAGAAGGACAATGTTTCTGCTCTGAATGTTATCGTTAGGCCAGAAGCCATTTGCCTTTCGAAATACCGCAGCCTGGCAGCCGTATTTAATTGTCACACCAGTGATAGTATCTGTCGCTTGCACTTTGTGGATGTAGGCCAGGGCATCTTCGTCGTGTTCCGGATCCGGGGCTCCATGCGATGCATCGCCAGAGTCGCGTCGTTTGTGAGGAAATGTGCGGCTCGTGATCGGGTCGCTGTCAGCTAGAAGCAGCGCTTCTCTCTTTTTAGCTTGCACCAAAGCCTGCCGTTCCTCCTTCGTCCCGGTTCCGACCTGCGGAGAGGTCGGTGCCGATGGTCCCCACGTTGAAAGCGCCGACCGAGGGGTACTCTTGATATATACGTCTGGGCGAGATGGCTTCCTCGTGTGAGCTTTTGTCGTATTATTTGGGGTGGCTCGTCCAGTATCGTTCCCAAGCACCGAAGATGCCAGACTCTGGAGAGATGACCATGATGAGTCCAGAAAATCGGCGGCGCCGCGCGATGAGGAGGCCTTTGATGATCCATTCCAAGCAAATGAACTTGTCTCGTTGCGAGTGCCACGATTGATCGATTCGGTCGCGCGCGACGGGTGTTTCATTGGTAGTGGGGAGGCCCCCCGGGATGACAACGGCGAGGGGGTTGCTCCACGAGATCGGGTCGTGCCACCTTCGGAGGGTGCAAGAGTCGTTGACAATGCAGAGGAGAATGGTTGGGATTCATTCTGGTAGGAGTTCGTATTATTATTGCTGTCATCTTCGTCGTCCATGAATGAGACTAAGCGGCGAGGGCGTGATCGGACCGTAGAGGTTGACGTTGTGCTTGCGCTGACAGAGTTGAAGCTTGGGGAAGCATTGACAAAGCTATTTTGGGAACTCATTCCTGACAAAGAACCAAGTGAATGCCAAGTGTGTTCTTCTAAGAATGCAAGTGAGCTCCCGCAGTGTGTGCAGCAAAGGCACCAGTTGCCATTAATGACCTAGAAACCCATTCGTCCACCCCGGGGTCGCATTCGTGATCTGAAGAGCGTAGGACAAGCGACTTGACCATATAGTTTGAGGGTCCAAAATATAAAAACAATAGCAAACGTTCCACGGAGGAGAGTGAGGGAGGGTGGGCGATAGAAGGTCAAGGAGGCGTAAGGTGATGAGAACGACCCGCAGGACTCTTGTGGACAATGAGAATGACGCAGAAGAGCCCAAAAATAAAGAGAGCTCGCGATCTGTACAAGGACTAGAATGCAGCCACAGTTATGTAGGAGTAAGTTCCAGGTTCGGGGGCGTAGGTTGATCGGCAGGTGACTTCGCCGCTCGGCAAAGTAGCAGTACATGACGTTGCCCGGGGACAGCCACCTATTATGGGTACCGGTACATTCCTCCCCACAGGTCGGTCTTCTATGTTTTAGTTACTCTATATCAGTTTCACTTTGATCACTCTTACTCTTTATATTAGGTATCCAAGCAATTGTACACAAAATTCTATGGGTAAACACAAAACACAGATTCTAGGACCATCAATTAGCAACATGGTCTGGCAAGGGTCTCTTCCAGTAGATAACGTCCAGTCTTCGCACTCCGGGGGAAACAATTATCAGATATTAACATCAAAAAGAAGTCTGTTGTTTATTATTCTGGAGGTTCAGCCATCACAGAGTGACGAGCCTCGGCTTCTGATGCGGCCTCAGACTCAGTGCTCCAATCGCCATCCTCCTTCTCGCTGACCTTGCCAGCTCCAGTGGGCATTGAAGTAGGCTGAGGAATGACTTTGACACCACCAGCGCGAGAGAAGAAATCTTCCGTCCGAAGGCCCCGAACTTCCTGAGGGTTCACAGCGTCCATTTGCATTCCATTCGCCTTCTTCTGTCGAATCAACTCCCGCACAGGTACCATTGCTGCATCCCGACAGGCTTCCTTGATATCACTGCCTGACATACCAGCCATGGTGTTCACCAGATAGTGCAGGTTAAAGTTATCGCGGTCAACCTTGGTATCCTTGAGGATCAGGCCGAGAATGCGAAGTCGCTGGGGGTCGGAGGAAGAGTAACGGGGAACTTCTTGGGCATCCGGCGCAAAATGGCCTCGTCAATATCTTGAATGCGATTGGTGGCTCCGAGAACAACGATGCGCTGCGGCTCTCCCGTGGAATTCGCTGAGGTGAGACCATCCCAATGTGTCATAAACTCAGCCTTGACCATGCCGCTTGCCTCGTGCTCACCACTTCTCCTGGTTCCGAGCACGGCATCGATCTCATCGATGAAGACAATGGCGGGCTGCAGTTTGCGCGCGAGCGAAAACACTGCATTGACAAGCTTGTTGGAGTCACCATACCACTTCTCCGTCAATGTTGAAATGTGCAAGTTGATAAAGCATGCGCCACTCTCAGATGCCAATGCTTTGGCAAGCATGGTCTTTCCGCAGCCAGGCGGACCGTACAGTAGCACTCCGGAGGGTGCCGTCAGGAGAGATGATGTGGAGGCATAGAGGTGAGGCATTGTCAATGGATAGATCACCGATTCTTTCAGCTCCTCAATGATTTCGTCAAGACCGCCAATATCCTCGAATGAAACTGCAATATCCTCTGGCGCAACGACATCCATCGCAACCGCTTGTTCGTATTGATTCAGGGTAAGCTCCTTCTTTTTCTGTCCTCGCCCCCGCTTCCCATCACGTCGCGGTGAGTCTTCATCTGAATCATTTCCTTCGAGTCGACGTAAGATGGCTGCCGACTTCTGCCGTTGTTCCTCTTTCTTCTGACTCTCGGGGTCGAAATCAAGGCGTGATAGAAGGTAGCGAACTAGGAAATATGCGGAGGCGGACTATAGATAGCGTTAGAATAACCGTCGCGACTTGAAAATGAAGAATTATAGACTGACAGTGCCTGCGATCATCACCATCTCTTGAAAGAACTGCTGCCATCTTCGGCCACCGGCTGAAGCCATGGTGACGAAAAAAATAGGTATTAGATAGGTAGATATGACAAGTGGCACAAACAGATATCAGAAGAAGTGAAATAAGATAGATAGAAGTAAATTAGAGAAGATTATAGAAGACCGAACCCCGGAGATCGGGCAGCTGTGGCGGGAGCCGGGGAATGTCACATGTCGCAAGGCGGAGAAGTGTTGTTTGTTCGGCGCGTCCCCACGACTCTGTCTCCGCACAGCACCCCATTGCACGATGCCCAAACGAAAAGCCCCCTCTAAGATCTCTGGCCTTTTGGGCTCAGATGATGAGGATATAATGCAGATCAAGCAAACAGAGGCCCAAGAGACACATGATGAGCCTCCCGCCAAAAAGCGCAGAGGCAGACCGCGTACTTCACATGAAAATGTGACCACCGAAACCAAGCCCAAGCCCAAACCAGCTACGCGAGCGAAGAAACAGAAAGAACTGGCTGAAGCTACAGAAGAAGGCCCCGCACCAAAGAAACGAGGCCGACCACCAGGAGGCAGTCGCGTATCACAGTCGCAAGATCCTGAACCAAAGACCCAGACAGCTGTCACAGTTGAAGAAATGGAGGCGGACGATCGTACTCAAGACCAGGAGAATGAAGACCCTCAGCGCGCACAAAAGACCAATGCCACAAAACCAGCAGCCACCCGTCGCGGACGAGCTGCAGCCAGCGTGAGGAAGGAGCTTCAAACAGACAATGGATTCGAGTACACTCCACGCGACAACCAGAAAGCCAGCGTTTCAGAGGATTCTCAAGAGCAACCATCACCCAGTCCTCATCCTCGGGCAAAAGGACGAAGAGCGGAGCCTGAGATAGAGGAAACACAAGAAGCCGATGAACCTGCCGCAGAACTCGTAGATGAGACGATCATTCCCGATGAACCGGCTTCTAATCGCTACATCACATCTCCTGTGAAGAATGCTCGCGCCCGAGCGTCCCTCCTGCGCCATCCACCGGATGCTTCTCCTCGGAAGCGCAAATTAGGAGAAACTGAACAGAGCGGTGACCCAGAGCTAAGGCGTAGGCTTGGTGAACTCAACAAGAAGCACGATGCGTTGGAAGTCAAGTATCGGAACCTCCGAGAAATCGGAATTGTCGAGGCCAATGCCAATATGGATAAACTGCGGAAACAGTGTGAGACGGTTACTACAGGTATGTTCATTTCCCCTGTAGCCGTCAAAGCAGATCGATTGACATACGACTAGCTTCGAACGAATTGGTTGCCTCGCTCAAATCAGAATTGGAAGTCCAGCGTAAGCTTGGGCAACAGAGCCGTGGTCTGCAGAGGCAACTCAATGATCGTGATGCCGAGATGGCCAGGTTAAAGTCTCAGGCCGATGAGGCTCAGGCACAACTCGCCTCTGCTCAAACTGAAGTCAAGGCCCTACAGACGAAGCTTGCTGCGGCGCGCAACACAGCTGCCAGCATCGAGGGGGCTGCGAAGATTCCCGGTAGTGCCATCAAGGGTGGCCCGGGCAACCGTGCTAATGCGGCAGCCAGCGCTGAAGCGGCGCAAGCTGCACAGCTGGCACAGCTAAAGGAAGATCTTTACAGTGACCTTACCGGGTTGATCGTTCGCGATGTCAAAATCACAGACACGGACCATGTGTACGATTGCATCCAGACCGGAATCAATGGAAGTAAGTTGCTAGATCTCTCGGCAATCTCCTTCTCTTGTCTAACCTCCTTGCAGCTCTTCATTTCCACTTGGCCATTCCCAAGGCATCGGCTAATTACGACAATACCGAGATTCAGTACCTGCCTCTCTTGGATGCCAACCGGGATCGCGACTTAGTGAATATGCTGCCGAACTTCTTGGTGGAGGATATCACCTTCAGTCGTGGACAGGCCGCCAAGTTCTATACGCGGGTAATCGATGCCTTGACCAAACGCCGGTCTCTTCCAGCGCAGTAGCAGAGGGTTATATAGTGCTTTATCATATATTGTTAGGAGTTGGGGCAGGTCAATGTTATATGTTTTGTGGTCTACTTTGCTCTAGTGTAAACAGTGGGTTCTGCCGTGCGCAATTGAAACTCTGTGATTGGCTCTCACCGCCCCCAAGGTTCCCCAATGCGGACAAAAGTTGACGTGTTGCGTTTGACATGCCTGTCATGCTTGTCTCCTTTCAATTGCTTTGCTCAATTCTTTTCTAATTTTCTTTGTGGCAGGGGACCACTTCCACTCTTTTGGCCCTTGAGCTGGACCTGAGAGGAGATACATCATGGCGCGTCTCGGCCGCGTCGGGTTCCTGGCCCTCGCGGTGGTCTTCCACCTGATATATACATACTCAATCTTCGACATCTACTTCGTCAGCCCGATCGTGAGTGGCATGCAATCATATGGAGTCGAGCGATCCTCCGAAGCCGCCGCACCAGCTAAACGTCTCGTCTTATTTGTCGCCGACGGCCTACGAGCCGACAAGGCCTTCCAAGCTTTCCCCGATCCATCTCCAGAAGCCGATCAAGAAAACGACGATGTGATTCGCCTGTCTCCGTTCATCCGCTCGAAAGTTCTCTCCGAAGGCACCTTTGGTGTCTCGCACACCCGCGTCCCCACCGAATCACGACCTGGCCATGTTGCGCTTATCGCTGGACTCTACGAGGATGTTTCCTCGGTGACAACCGGGTGGAAGATGAACCCGGTCAACTTCGACAGCGTGTTCAACCAGAGCCGACACACATGGAGCTGGGGTAGTCCTGATATTCTGCCCATGTTCAAGGAGGGCGCGGTACCGGGTAGGGTTGATGCGGAGATGTACAGTGAGGAAGCGGAGGATTTCACTGTCGATGCTACGCATTTGGACACCTGGGTCTTTGATAAAGTGCATGGGCTCTTCGAGTCGGCGAAGACGGATCCCGAATTGGATCGGAAGCTGCGGGACGACAAGTTGGTCTTCTTCCTTCATCTGCTGGGCTTGGATACCACGGGTCACTCTTTCCGACCTTATTCGAAGGAATATCTGCACAATATAAAAATTGTGGACCAGGGAGTCCAGTCCATCACAAAGCTCGTGGAGGATTTCTACGGCGACAATGAGACGGCATTCGTGTTCACTGCGGACCATGGCATGAGTGACACTGGCAGTCACGGTGACGGTCACCCGGATAACACACGTACACCGTTGGTTGTCTGGGGCTCTGGTGTTGCGAAACCACAATTTTTCATTGACGGAGTTGCCCCGGGCCATGAAGATGGCTTTTCGGCCGATTGGGGATTCGACCAGGTCCGGCGCCACGATGTAGCACAGGCCGATGTGGCCGCGCTCATGGCTTACCTGGTTGGTCTTGATTTCCCCGTCAACTCGGTTGGCCAACTGCCGCTTGATTATCTCGATGCCAGTCCCAAAGAGAAGGCACTGGCCGCGTTGGCCAACACGCAAGGAGTTTTGGAAATGTATCGCGTGAAAGAGGAGCAAAAGAGATACGCGGTGATCCGATATGTGCCTTACGAACCTCTGTCCGGATACCACGAGACCTCAATCGAAGGCCGACTGGCAAGAATTGAGGCACTCATTGCCAGTGGTGATCACGAAGTGGCCATTTTGGTATCCTCTGAGCTTCTTCGGACTGCCCTCGAGGGACTGCGTTACTTGCAGACCTACGACTGGGTTTTCTTGCGGACTATCGTTTCTGTTGGGTATTTGGGCTGGATTGCCTATGCTCTGACCACGGTGATTGATCTGCATGTTTTGCATGGAACGTCAGACTCTCACCGGACGACAGCGAGCATTTCATTCTTCTCATCCATTTTGGTCACTCTGTTCTCCGTCTTCCTCTACCAGGGCTCCTCCTGGCGCTACTATTTCTACGGATTCTTCCCAGTATACTTCTGGGAAGAGGTCTTCGCGCGCCGGAAGGCTTTGATTGCCGGTCGTGAGATTGTATTGGGCCACATGCGCTCTTTCACCGGATACCTCAAGTTTGGTCTCCAGCTGCTGGCATTTCTTGGAGTGATGGAGGCCTTAGTTCAATCCTATTTCCACCGGGAGATCTTCACCGTTTGCTTCGCTCTGGGTGCATTGTGGCCTGTGGTGCATGGATTTGGTTTCATCCGAAGTCATGCGCTCCTCTCTGTGACTTGGGCACTTGGTTGCGGATTAATGAGTACATTTACTCTTCTCCCAGTCATCAAGATGGAAAATATTGACACAATGTAAGCTTCCCTGTTTCTTCAATCGGTTGCCACTTATTAACACTTTTACAGCACTTATGGTGGACTGATCATGTTCCTAACTGGCATCTTATATCTGTTATTCGAGGACAATATCATTGGACACCGTGATGGCAATGCCATTGGCCGTGTCGGGTCGCGCGTTATCATGGGAGTTCAAATTGGGATGGTTCTTCTTGCCCTGATTGTGACCAGATCAACTGTGTTTTCTTTGCAGGCTCGCCAAGGCGTGCCGTTTGGAAACATTGTCGTCGGATGGATTGTACTAGGTAAGTTCGATTTATCGAAGACCCTGGGAATGTCATCTTTGAGCAATGCTAACTAGTTTCAGTGGCCTCTCTCTCCCTCCCATTCTTCCACCGGCTGTATCCAAACAGTCACTATCTTCACCGTCTTATGGTCATTTTCTTGACCTTCTCACCAACCTTTATCATTCTCACCATCTCATGGGAGGGTCTGTTCTATTTTGTGTTCTGCATGACCATTGTAACATGGGTTCGTCTGGAACACGCAATTTACGTTCATACAAAGGCCAATACTACGGCGCAACAAGCCGGCAATGGGTCTGTCACAAAGCCTTCGACTGGCACTGCCACCGTTGACGGCGAAACCTTCCATTACCGTGCTCTTACGCTCTCCGATGTCCGTGTGGCACTATTCTTCTTCTTCCTCTTGCAGGCAGCCTTCTTCAGCACCGGAAACGTCGCCTCAATCTCGACCTTCTCCCTCGACAGCGTCCGCCGTCTTGTCCCCGTCTTCAACCCCTTTAGCCAAGGCGCTCTCCTGATCCTCCAAATTCTCATTCCCTTCGCCATCATCAGTGCCAACCTGGGCATCCTGAACCGCCGACTGGAAGTCCCACCTAGCGCCCTCTTCATGGTCGTCATGGCCATCTCAGACATCATGACTCTCAACTTCTTCTTCATGGTCCGAGACGAGGGCTCCTGGCTTGACATCGGTATGACAATCAGCCACTTCTGCATTGCCAGCGCCCTCTGCACCTTCGTGGCAGGTCTGGAATTCCTTAGCGAGCAATTTGTCAGCGGCGTGGACGTAAGTCCTACAATAGGAGCTGTTGGATCGGCCGTGGTCCAGGTCATGGATGAAGCGGCTGAGTGTGGCCACGAGGCAGTCCGCAAAGAGCCGGAGCCCAAGAAGACTCAGCCTAACGGAAACGGGGCTAAGCAGGGCAGGTCCAAGTCAAAGGGCAAGGCCAAAGGCAAAAAGAATGGGTTCTCATAGCCCACTTGTGGATGTAGCCGGGGACCACCCTGCTCCCCGAAAACCCGCAGGAACACTACAGATTTAATTGCGACATTTCAATGTATTTTACATGTATCACATGGCAATATATCCATCTTGTCAATATCGTATCGAACGCGAACACGCACACGCTACAGTATGATATAGAGTCGATCAAAACTTGCCCTAGCAAGCCTAAAGTTATATCCAATGGTAGAGTACTGTATACCTTGCAACTCATCCCCGAACCCACAATTTCTCCTCGGGAGACAAGGAGATCGGACTTCCATTCCCCTCCGATCACCCCCTAACCAGCCTAGCCTACACACACAATATAACAGGCACATCCAATAAACAAGGATCTCGACCCGGCGAACGGGCCCAGGAACATGGTGCCTGACCGAAACAACTGGCTCTATACCCAAAACATCAAGAGGCTTGCAGGAGGATCGTCTCCTATGTGGAGCATGTGCTGTGATTGGGTGGAGCTCTCTCTTTGTGCCGAGGTATCACAAGATTGCTACGAGATGTACAAGAGCGAGAACACCAGGACTTTTCTAAGGATCTGGGGATCGGAATGAGATGAACAGGTTGGATGGGATTGGATTAGATGTTCCCCGCGTTTTTCCTCGCGTTTTCGCCCCCCGTCTGCCGCCCCCGCAATATCGCCTCTGGTGAATGTGATGCTGTAGATGGGCTGGGCTGGATTGAGGGTCTGAGGGTTTGAGGGATCGGTTACAGAAGCATGACCTACATTATCTTCTATGTGCATCTATTTTGTCTGAAACAGTTTCTATGTAACTAGCCTCTCAATCATGTAGATGTACATGAATATAATGTAGAGAGTAAGTCACACGGCCATACTTCGTAGATAGAGGTATATAGTGTCTATAGAGGTAACACAACACAAACCCTTTCATGCCACCCAAAAGCTCATATGCAAACATATATGTCCGAATGCAAGTACACTGTGCAAAGTGCAGTGCAGTTTATGAAACTCCCCGACTCAAACCGTTGCCTCCGCATGCTGCGTGGCTGTAGGCTTCCACTGGCCGTGGCTATTCTATCTGATAACGTCATATCCCACAGACGAAATGTCGGTTGAGATTAACATCTATACAGCCTTGAACGATGAACTAAGTTCTATACCCCGTAGTCATCGCTCAATTCAGATTTAGTAGAATTCATCATCCTCGCGCCTATTCCATCTTTGACTATAACTCCATTCCTTGAAATATCCAATCCGGGAAGCAAAATGAGCAGCATTTCTGGCAAAACGGACCCGAAAGGGAATACGAGATAAGGAAGCTGCAATTATGGCATATAGCCCAAGGTGAATTCGAGGATATTCTTTGGACTGAAGGTACTTTTCCGCATTGAAACGGCACTGCGAATGATATATTAGAAAGAGGTAGCTATCACGAAGAATATCTAAAAAGCTTTCGAGCGCACCCCTACTATGAGCTAACGTGAAACGCTTGCGGCTCCCAAAAAGGATTACTAGTCGCTTAATATGGCTCTAGGATTTTAGACTAAACCAGTACTCGAGCACACTAGGCCTCTCTGAGTTGATCGACAGACGGATACGGTTTGGGCTGTGGCCCCGTTGGTGTATAAGAGAAACTAGATCTATGTTCAGTGATTCAAATTTGGCTCTTGTTATGTTCTAAATTCTCTCTCAATCAAAATTACTCTCTGCACTCAAATTCTGATCCTCTCTATCTCTCTGCCTATCTCCGTCAAGATTCTTAATATATACGACCTTGTTGTCGAGGAAAACAATCAGTCTTAGGCAAGATCTTGCCATTCAGCTAGGCTTTGCAAAATATCCTATGTAGGAGAATAGACTACTTCTCCCCTTGCATCATGATTGAGACTTATTAAATAGAATATTAAATAGAATGTCTGAGTGCTTAGGTGAAGAACCAACGCCATTAGGGCATGTTCAGCACCACGTGACACTCAGACTGAGAAATACACGGTCAAAAAGCGGCATCACACGTGCCAAGATAGGCAAGCCCCAGAGGGAATCGTCGTCTCTTTTCCGCTCCACCGTCTCCCCTCTGTAGATCATGACCCTGCCGCCCTGCAAGATTCAGTGTGGGTGACTACTACCTGAGACCTAGAAGCTATCGGAATGTCTAGGCTACATGTACATATGTAGGTAGTGTACCTATAGTAGGTGGCACCCATCTATTGGAGTGATGTCTATGATATTTCCAACTCAATTTTTAGGACCCTTTTTTGTAGCAGACCTAATGCAGACCAAAGAGCGGAACATAGACAATAATGGAGACGTAAACCGTTGAAACAGCAGCCTATAAATTGTACCAAATTGCTGACCAGGGGGAGATCTCCACCGTGACGATTATTGCCACAGCCCTCCCCCAGATATTCCCTCTCTCTCTCCTTCCCCCTCTGTGTTCCGGTACTTTTTCTTTTGATCGCGTGGCGTCCTCCTTATTCTCGGTGCCTACCTTGTTACCTCCAGGCCTATTGAGTCTTATATTGCCAGCTCCTTCCCTCCGCCCTCCGCCCTCCGACCTCCCTCCTTTACCTGCGACACTCTCCATCTGAGAGGCTGCATGGAGACGGCGCTATGAGTACCACCGAATTTCACACCGAACAACATTCGGACAACTCGCACCCCAGCCCAGCTCCGAGTAACGCGGGCTCGACGGGGACGTCGGGCATCACCGTGCGCAATGGGCCGCAAGGCCAACCGCTGAGTTTCAGAAGGTAAGTCTTGGAAGATGTGATGATCGGAGATACTGGAGATGCTGGAGATGGCGATACAGCTTTCTGCGATATGTGCAATCTCTCGATGCTATATTGGTTGATGCCGGGAGTCGCGGGGGTTGTGCGGGCGCAACCCAGAGAGGTACTGGGTTTTCCAGGACCTCGCACCCCCGTTGCTTTGGGAGAAAGACTATGCAGAGTTAAGCATTTAAAGGCGCTTGCTGATTTGTTTTATCTAATCTAGGCAACGTGCATCACGCGCGTGCGAGGTACGTTCTGGATTCTCGAGGGGCGACGCGACTGGGGTGCCGAGGTTCTCTCGCACCTCGGCTCGGTTGCTTATCGGTGAACTGCATATACTCCCCCACGATAGCTTCGAACTGGACGAGATGGCTGACTGTGTTTCTTTGGGAATTAGACTTGTCATGCTCGAAAGGTGTGTTTTTCTCTCGGTCGCATCGTACCTCGTCGTCGCTAACCCCTTTCACCGCCTGTAGGTCCGATGTGATGCTGCTAGTCTCGGGGTGCCCTGCACCAATTGTGTCGCCTTCTCGATCGAATGCAAGATTCCCTCGCCGAAACGAAAGAAGAGCCAAGCCAAGAGCAAGGATGAATCGCGGTATGGTGACAGCCCCCCACATACTGCCTCCTCGCTCGTCGATGCCGCCGTTGCTCAGTTTCGACCCACCGAGGAGCCGGCGCGCTCTGGGTCTGTGTCTGGATCTGTCTCAGCACCCCGGGAAGCGGAGCGGAGCTCCGACTCGGATGAGAAGGATGCTTTTGGATACAGGAAAAACCGCATGGCTGCCGAAGGCATGCCCGTTACCTCTCTTTCCGAGGCTGAGGCAGCCCAACAAGCGTCGGCCAATAATGCCTATGCTCAATTTATGAAGCCCAAGTTTGCCCGTGCTCCGATTAAAGATGCTGGCCGGGTGGCGTACCTAGGCGAGTCGTCAAATCTGTCCCTGCTGGTTCAAGATCGACATGGAACCACGGATGTCGTGCACTACCCGCTCCCACCGAATATCAGAGGATCTCGTGCCCGCTTGACGGACTTGGACAATTTGGAAATCGACATTCTACACCAGCGAGGTGCTTTCTTGCTCCCTCCCAAACCGCTGTGCGATGAGTTGGTCGATGCTTACTTCAAGTGGGTGGCGCCCGTGGTGCCCATTATCAACAAGAGTCGCTTCATGCGTCAATACCGGGACCCTAAGAACCCGCCTTCGTTGCTACTCTTGCAGGCGATTCTGCTGGCAGGATCGAGAGTCTGCACCAACCAGCAGCTGATGGATGCCAATGGGTCGACCACCCCCGCTGCCATGACTTTTTACAAGCGTGCTAAGGCGCTGTATGATGCCAACTATGAGGATGATCGTGTCACCATCGTGCAGGCACTAGTGCTATTGGGCTGGTACTGGGAAGGACCTGAAGGTGAGTGATTGACCAGTACATGCCTTTCTTTCTATCTCTAATGAGTTATAGATGTCACCAAGAACGTCTTCTATTGGACCCGGGTCGCGATGGTAGTAGCACAGGGCTCTGGAATGCACCGCAGTGTGGAAATGTCACAGCTCAGCAAACCAGACAAGAGACTCTGGAAGAGGATTTGGTGGACTCTTTTCACCCGTGATCGTTCTGTGGCTGTCGCATTGGGACGTCCAATCGGGATTAATACAGACGACTCGGATGTTGAAATGGTGACAGAAGACGATTTCATTGAAGATGAGCTTGATGCTCCCGCCGATATTCCTCCAGATCCCGTCCATGTTCACTTCTTCCTTCAATATGTCAAGCTGTGCGAGATCATGGGCTTGGTTTTGTCGCAGCAGTACTCTGTGGCTTCGAAGTCACGGCGCATGAATGCAATGGACCTCACCCACTCAGATATGGCCTTGGCCGATTGGCTGCAGAACTGCCCCAAGGAAGTTTGCTGGCAACGGTCTAAACATCATTTCTGGGCTGCACTTTTGCATTCAAACTACTAGTATGTGATTTGCCCTCCGAATCACTCAATTGAAACTAACCATCCTAGTACCACGCTCTGCCTTCTTCACAGGGCTCACATGCCGCCCGCCTCGTCTGCCCCGAATAGTTACAGGGTTGAAGAAATGGCATACCCATCACGAACCATTGCCTTCCAGGCGGCAGGAATGATCACTTCTATTGTCGAGAACCTACACGCTCACGGAGAGATTCGATTTGCCCCCGCATTTATCGTTTACAGCCTGTTTTCAGCCTTGATCATGCACGTATATCAAATGCGCTCGTCGGTCCCTTCAATTGTGACGACCTGCCAGGAAAGAATCAATGCGTGTATGCTGGCGCTAAAGGATGTATCAAAGGTTTGGCTAGTGGCGAAGATGGTCAACACGCTCTTTGAGTCTATTCTCGGAAATAAGATTCTAGAGGAGCGACTCCAGAAAGCTGCAGGTCGGAAACACCAGCGAAACCGGCACGAAAACGCGGCCCCTTCGAAGAAGCCAGACCCGCCGAAGCGCAAGTTCGACGACATGGACCTCGGACTGCCGAACGGCGGTCCTACACCTCCTGTCTCGTACGAGCGCTCTCGTCCCCAGACACCTGCCGTCACACCATCCAGAGAGCTGAATCAACCCACTTTGGGCCACCAATCACCCAACACACACCGCGGTCCCCACGATCCAATGACAGGCACAGGCAACTCCCGAGCCAACACCCGACCAACAACTCCCTTCAACGGCCAATTCTCCCTCCCTGCCACACCCCCCGACTTCTTCCTAGTAACGCGCGCCTCGCCCAACCTCTCCCCCTCCCTCTGGGAGAACTTCCAACCTGACCAACTCTTCCCAGACGGCACAGCTTTCTTCCCAGAGCTGACCTCCCCGCCACCACCTGGCTCTGTCGACCCATCCCTCCAAATCCCATCCAACCTCCCCCCGAACATGTCCCAGCGTCCAGGCCCAATGATGAACAACCAGCCCCAACCCGTTCCAGGCGGCCGCAGCATGTCCGTCTCCCAGGCTAGCCCACAGGTGATGCAGGGCATCCCCGGCGCCGTCGGCATGCAGCCCACAGGCCCACAGCAACAAATGTTCAGCATGGAAGGCCAGCAGACATGGCCCCCGATGCATGGCCTTGATGGAACGATGAGCGGTGCGGCCATGGACAATGCCAGTCAGGATGATAACTGGAGTAGCAGTTCGCGCAGTGGACCTACTGCGCCTACGACGCTGAATGTCGAGGACTGGTTCCAGTTCTTTGGTATTAACGGTGGCTTTGGAGATTTGGCTGCGTAATCATGTCCCCACGCTCGAGAATTATCCATGACGTTTACTTTTGGTTTCCTTCTTGGGATGCCGGCTTGGGTTTTGGCTTCAGTATTGGATTGGAATAATGTACTTCCAATCCACTTTGCGCACTCTAATCTAATTGCTATGCTATGGTATGTTGGTATATACTATCATCCCTATCTCTATCTCTATCTCTTGCACCTTTCCTTCCTGCTATCTGCGTCTGATTTAACAAAACGGATTACGAGGTGGTTCTGGCTGGGCGTTTTGGAGTGGGATTGGTTGATTGGCCGGGTTGTGTTTTGTGTTCTATGTCTGGGGTTGATCTGTTCTTTGGATATCCTTGGAGGCTGGTTGCTGTTTTCATTTATTTTCTCACTTATTTCTTCCCTTCTTCCTTCTTGTCACTTGTTCTCTTATCCTTTCATCTCTTTTGGTTATGTTTTTTTTCTACATTTTTGTTTGTTGGTCATTAGGTAAAACTTCACGGACTGGAATCCAGAGGGAGTTGGGAGGAGTAGGAGTATATACATTTTCAATTCCAATTGCTTTTCTCTTAAGATAAAGTCAGATCACTAGGGAAAGCGGGGGTTGTTTGCATAAGAACTGTAATTGAGCTCCCCTCTAACATTGATAGTCTCCATTCTGGGAATGTATGCGGTAATGAACCGGCGCATACAGGGTGCAATTAACTGGGATATATGGTCCTACTTTTTATGTCTGCGTATTCCGTTTTAAAAAAAAAATCAACTAAAATATGTACACGGATAGCTAGATACCCCATACACCCAATGGATCAGGGCCTGAGCCTGAGTCTTTCCTGGATTGCTGTAATTTCTTTACCCGTCTGACCAATGTTCCGACCAGGATGGGACCAATTAGTGTGCAGAGTGAAATTGCCCATATGACTACAAGGTAGATATCGGATGAGCCTTCAGACGATGATCCAGAGAATATCCCTTGGCTTTCCGCAATGGAGGCGATGAGATATCCCACTTCGCCTCTGGCGACCATTGCCAATCCGAGGATGAATGGTGGATATAGAGATTTGGGTTTAGGTGGAAGAGACATGTGAGACCTGGGTCTGAGATTGGGATTGGGATTGGTTGCAGATGGTTCATTCGTCGTTCGGGGCTCCTCTTGATTGGAATTGTCCGGACTCGAGATTCCACCGGTCTCAGTCCTATTTCGACCCTCTGTCTTCTTTGAGCTGCTCTTCTCTCGCTTTGAAGGCTTGCTCGTAGCTTGGGGTTTGGAACAGCAGGATTGGACGTATGCAAATGGCCTCTTGAGGATCGATACCAGACATGTCAAAGGATTCGTGGAGAAGCGCACGAGCCATAGAGCTGTGATCATTTTCCCAATTGCCATTAGGATAGCGTAGATTATTCCTCGCCATACGATTTGGCCTTGAAACATTTTGGTTATGGGGATTGCGAATCCAATTGACGCCTATGTGGATTAGTTATTTCTCGCCAGTTGAAGGGGACAGGGGGCTCACGAAGAACAGAGGTAAGAGGATTCGGTCGGTTGGTTCTTTGTAATACTTGCTGTAGATAAATCCACCTGTCGGTGTACCGTCATGCGATGGGTCATTTTCTTGTGTAGCTTGTGTACCAGATGGCACTGCAGTTTGAGATGCCTGATTTACGGCATCGCGTGTAGCACCTTGATGACTGCAAGTCTGCTGGTGGGATGAAGCAGTAGCTGAATGAAATGTTTCAGACTGTGAAGCAACCACCGAAGGCTTAGATTGAGTCACCAATCTATCAAACCAGGAGATGATCACTCCGGCAAGGTAAGCAGCAAAAAGACTCGAGGTACCAGCATATGTCGCGCTGGCTACAATGCCCACGAGAACACATATGTGCGTGAGGAATGCAAATTGTGCAGTTCCCATATAATCAGGGAGCTTGCTCTTGTGGTCAATCACTTTCTTTAGTATCGGCCGGAGACAGAAAGCACACAGTACTAAGAGACCAACAGCAAACCCGAGGGAAACAAAAACGGGCCGGATGACAGTCACAGGGCTGAACGACGTAGCGCTTCCGCCAAGGTTGGAGATAATCTGGACCATAACTAAGCCAACGACATCATCGATCATTGCAGCACTTGTGGTGACCGTTCCAAGACGTGTAGTCGTTAGTTGAGTGGTTGAAAGGATGGTAAAGGTAGTTCCAAGACTTGTTGCGCTTAGCGCTGCACCAGCAGCGAATGCTTGGAGCGAAGTTGCGGATACAAGCCCTTTGAGAATGAAGGATAACCCCATTGGTACACCAATTCCAGTGAGGGCAACAGCTGTTGAAAGAAGAATGTTTGCTTTGAGGGACTCGATCGAGGTTGATAGACCACCTGTGTATGTTAGATTGTATGTTGTTATAAGCAAATTGGTGTATGCGTACCTTCATAAATTAGTAAGATCAACCCTAGATAGCCAATTTGCTGAATGACGCGTTCTGTCTCTTGGTCAAGCCATTGTGCTCCTGGTGTACCCCAAATGATGCCGATGAAGAGCTGGCCGATGAGCCCACAGTACAGGAGTTTGTCGAGGCAGGTATTGGCTATGTTGAGGATCAGGAGAAGCCCGGTGTAATTCAAAACTGTTTTGATGGATGGCTCGTGGTAGGCAAATGCTGCTTCCGATTCCGACGTCATTTTGTTCTTAGCGGTGAGGTGAACGTATTCCAGTTATCATGGAAAAAGTAAAAGTATATATCTTGGAAAGATAGCAGACTCCATAGGTTATGTAAAGGGGTGTGAATTTCTTTAAGCCTTTTGGGATTAGGATAAATAAGGTGGAATGATGAGAATGAGATGGAATTCCAAAGCGGTAACTTAGTCTCCTCCGGGCTGCCAAGTCGATGACTGATCACAGCGGTTAATGAAGGTTTTGCCCTACTAAGACTCTCAATATAACTTTAGACCTGATAGCTTGTTCATGGTAGAGTGAGACTCGCGAAAGGACTAGTATAAAGACATAAAAAGCTTGTTTTACCAGGTTTAGGGCGTGAGATGTAACCTATAGATCGGATCCCTCAACTAAATGCACTTGATATCTATCCAACTTTGCATATCAAGATGTAATTATACACCTACCTATCTATATCACATACATTTACCAATATAAAGCTATATTTCTGTATCTCTGTAAATAAGTGTCGAGAATGCCTGACTCACCCCAGACCGCCTAATCGGGACTAGTGAATGACGAAATCGCAATCTTGGCCTCTCGACCAATCACAGCGCGGCCGAAGAGTCAGTTCGTCCGGGGGAGAAAGACGTGAATTATGTGTGACTTCTTTTTCTTCTCTTCTTTATTTTGATTCTCCCATTGATCCATTAACTTCCACTCTTCGACTTGCATTTCAAGTATTGCTGTGCATTAGCATACCCTCAATATCTCCCTCTATTCGCTCCCTCTTTCTGCCCCGCTCTGCAGCGATGTCGGCCTCAAGATCCGGAGTTCCCAATGCTGCGTCGGGGTCGACCAGCACCGGAAAGAAGGCTTTCCCTCCTGTTGATCTCGAGGGAAATGACCTGCCACCTTCTCCAGCCCCGTCCAGTCCTCACCCTGGTCGCCGCTACAACATTGCCACCGAATTGGTCTTCACCGAGGGCAGTGACCAATACAATGCCAGCAGCGTGCCGATCTACCAGGTACACATTCCACAACAACCCAATGGCAATTTCAATGGGATCTTAATGCTGACCATAATTAACTTATAGAGTGCTACTTTCAAGCAAACCTCTGGCGGTGGTGGTGGAGAGTATGACTACACTCGGTCTGGCAACCCGACCCGCACACACCTCGAGCGACACTTGGCCAAGATCATGTCGGCACAGCGTGCCCTCGTAGTCTCATCCGGTATGGCTGCTTTGGACGTGATCACCCGACTCCTCCGTCCTGGTGACGAGGTCGTCACCGGTGATGACCTCTACGGCGGTACCAACCGACTCCTCAAGTACCTCTCGACCAACGGCGGCATCATCGTGCACCACGTCGACACCACACAGCCTGAGAAGGTCCAGGCAGTACTGAGCGAGAAGACCACTATGGTGCTGCTCGAGACCCCTACCAACCCCCTCATCAAGATCGTTGACATTGGCCGCATTGCCACCGCTGCCCACGAAGCTAATCCCAACTGCATTGTCTCAGTGGATAACACTATGATGTCTCCGCTCCTGCTCAACCCTCTAGACTTCGGTGCGGATGTCGTTTACGAGAGTGGCACCAAGTACCTGTCGGGTCACCACGACCTGATGGCCGGTGTCATTGCCGTCAACGACCTGGCTCTCGGAGAACGTCTTTACTTCCCTATCAACGCCTCAGGATGCGGTCTGTCGCCTTTCGACTCTTGGCTGTTGCTGCGTGGTGTGAAGACCCTCAAGGTCCGCATGGACCAGCAACAGAGCAACGCTCAGCGCATTGCCGAGTTCCTTGAGTCGAACGGCTTCAAGGTCCGCTACCCCGGTCTGCGGTCGCACCCGCAGTACGAACTTCACAACTCCATGGCGCGGGGCGCCGGTGCTGTGCTCTCGTTCGAGACCGGTGACACCGTTATCAGTGAGCGCATTGTCGAGAGCGCCAAGATTTGGGCCATCAGTGTCAGCTTTGGCTGTGTCAACAGTTTGATCAGTATGCCCTGCCGTATGAGCCATGCCAGCATTGACGCGAAGACGCGGGCGGAACGCGCCATGCCAGAGGACTTGATTCGTCTCTGCGTAGGAATTGAGGATGTGGACGACTTGATTGACGACTTGAGCCGAGCGGTATGATTCCCATACATTCCCCCATTCTGGTGTTTTGGAAACTAATTCTTTCACAGTTGGTGCAAGCCGGTGCTGTCAATGTTACTATGGAAGGAATCGAGGCTCGCTAGAGGTGAATATCCGGCGTTGGGGATTTAAAACATGTTAGCTATAATGAACATTTCTGGACTTGCATTTATCCGGAGCGTAGATCTCGGGCCGGCATCGGAGACCCGGCGCCGGGTCGCGCCCGGGTCATTCTCGTCCGAAGCTGGGGTCGCGATAGTCCTCGTCTTACATTTGTAATTATTTTTCCCTAATTTGTTCTTCCCCGGGGTTTGTTTGTACAGTACTTACGCATTGTGATGCACTCTCACCCATACCCTTGCGCCCGATTATAAGACCCCATAAGAGTATGACTCGGGATGCAACCGCAGAACCATTCAATATGTCGACAGTAAAACAGAGCCCAATTGCGCGTTCTACAGCAGCATGGAACACGAAAAACCTGGGCAAGCGACTCGGTGTCGATGTCGCCAGCGCAGCAACCGCAGGCGCGCTGACCTGTCCGTTGATCACGATAATTGACCGGTAAGCTCAGAAGTTACAGAGGAGCTTTTCAAGACGCTAACCTGCTGAACAGTGCCATCATCGAGAAAGCATCAAAAGGCTTCCCTATCCAGCGAACAATAACAAACTGCCTCAAGTCCATGGTCTCCCGACCAAGCGGATTCTTTCTCAGCACTCCATTCCTCCTCATCTATACCCTGTACAGCTCGACCTACCTCACAGCAAATGCAATCGATACACTCACCTCCACGATGCGCAACCAGTCCTACGACACCGTAACACCGGGCCCCCTCAAATTCATCGCAACGACAACAGTCAACATGGCAATCTGCGTCTACAAAGACGCGCGCTTCGCCAAAATCTTCGGCGCCTCTCCTCCATCTCAACCGACAACCACAGCAACAGGCCAACCTCAACAACCACCCTCCGCTCTACGCGCCCCAGCTCCAGCACAGGCCCCAGCGCCTCCATCAACATGCCATCCGCACGCAGCCCCCGGCTCGACGTTAACAATCCCCAAATCCTCCTACACTCTCTTCTGCCTCCGCGACAGCATCACAATCTTCGCATCATTCAACATCCCAGCCCTCATCGCACCCTCAATACCGGATTTCGTCGCCTCAACGCCCGGCATGAAATCTGCCCTCGCGCAGTTCTCTTGTCCTGCTCTCATGCAGTTCGCGAGTACGCCCATGCATCTCCTCGGCTTGGATTTGTTTAACCGTCAGCCTGCTGGTGGTCTACCCTGGACGGATCGTGTGGCACGCATTCGTCGGGACTATGTCCCCGCCTGCTTTGCGCGTATGGGCAAGATTGTCCCTGCTTATGGTATTGGTGGTGTGGCCAATGTCAGATTGAGGGATTATTTGATGAAGCGCGTTGAGAATCGGGCTTGATTGAATGGATGCTTTGGTGCTGCTGTCGGATCGGACTTATGACTTGATGATCATTTTATTTTTCATTTCTCTAGATCTGCATTTGTTGTGGTTCATCTCTGATGCCACATTTCGTCTTCTCTCTCCACTCAGATTTGCATTCATCATCTATTAGGGGACTATGGTTGGAGTTTTTCTTGGATTTGCACGTTTGGCCTTGTTCAGGCCTAAGACGAGCTCTTTTCTATCATTTGGCCGTGGTCTCGATTGATTTTCGGGTACGTTTTCTCCTTTGTGTTATTATTCTTTCTTTGCTAGACTGTGTGATACATATTAGATACAGTACAAACTCGGGCTTTAGACTGGTTAGATTGTCTTTGCCGTTAATACTATGCAATTTTTCTTGGATCATGTCTTTTCCAATGTTCTCTGTTAGGATACTTCATAGCTGTAAAGGCGGACACGCACTTATGCAACGAGCTCAAAGGCACGGTGTCAGTGGCGTTTTCGATATGCGAGGCTAGCCAGTAGTACCCTGCAGGCTGATCAATACCGGACGTATGAATGTTTGGGCTACATAGTTTGCCAGATTCTCAAGCCTCAAGATCCACGTACGTCAATGCACTGTGATATCATCTCAGGCTCGTATCTAGTTTTCCATATTTCGATAACAATACATACATCCAATACAAAGATCAACAAAGATCCGAGCATGCTCCAAAATTGGGGGCTGATATTGGGTTGCATTAGTTTCTTGGCATCTATATTGTCCTAATTAGGTTTGGGGCACAAACTATACCTAAAAATGTCTCCGAGGTATCGAAGATATAAAGGAAAGAAAGGTAGAAGTTCCGATGGTATTATATTTGAGTGACACAGACAGTTCTGTCAGTATAACTACTGCAAATTTTCATTTACAGCCAAATTCCCAGACAAAGGTACCAATAAACAAACTATGTCTTGCCCTTGAGTTCCTTTCTAAACCAAAAGTCAAGTCAGCAAAAACCCAGCTGCTGGTTCCAACGCTGGCCCCGTCCACATCCATATCCAGCCCCTGTCCAACCGACTGGCCGACAGAACTATTCCTCCTCGGAGCCCTCGTTTAAATGGTAAGTCTGGCTTGTGCAGCAGTGAAGGTGAGTACCATAGCCCACAGACTTGGCTTGCAGCTGATAACTTTCAAGGTCTTGGATGCAAGAACGCGTCAGTGGCTTCGATACCACCGAGTCCCCCAGGGGCCTCAAGGCATCCAGTGTGATGGTATACCCTAGGAAAAGGAATGAACCAAAGGTTCAGAAAAAGAAACATGCAATTAGAAAAAAGATACCCCACATAGTAGAGGCCACCTCACGAATCTCGCTCCAATAGACGCGTGCCATGGGGAAAGCAATGGATGAAGAGAATCAGTTGGCTCCCGGTTAGGAAGTTGGATATCCTGGATTTCCTAATTGGGCCAACGTAGTAATTGTCGATGTTTTGCGAACCTAGGGAGGGAGGAGCCCAGCAGTCTGAAGGAAGGCGCGTCAAGATTAGATCAAGATGGATTGATTAGATCTTAAACTATTTGAGTTGTTTGCTACCCCGGATGTCCTAAATAGGCGGACGTGGCAATTTCGCGATGTTTTCCAATTATTGGGAGGGAGGAAATTCAGTTGCTGATGTAAAAACGCGTCTTGATGGTTTGAAGACGCGCCGAGTAAACTTTAAATCATTTAAGCTTTTTGAATCGTTTGCTACCCCGGATTTCCTATTTGGGCGACGTGGTAATTTCGCGACGTTTTCCAATTATTGGGAGGGAGGAAATTCAGTCGCTGACGTAAAAACACGTCTTGGTGCTTTGAAGACGCGTCGAGTAAACTTTAAATCATTTAAACTATTTGGCTTGTTTGTTCTCATCGGTCACATGTTTGTACATACACCCTACACTTCCAGGACTCCATGGATAGATGGCTCTTTTCTATTGGAACATCAGTAAGAGCCATCCCTAGCTTGCTCCATCATATGCTCAAGTTGAGCTACAGACTCCCGTGTCTCTCCCTGGCTAGGGAGATTGGCCACCATAAGATACAGCACGTCTTTCTGCATAAGCTTCTTGATCAGGCGCAAGCCAGTCTCCGGCGTACCCTTCAGTGCATGTCCAGAAGAGCGACGTCAGCATTCCCACGCTGCCTCTTCGAAGCGAGCATCTTGTCAAACCCCCGCACAGGAACATGGCCACCGGTAAGCAGTGATATCAGTGACCGCTGTTTGCTGCTGGGTGATTGGGATTGTTCAAGCGTGACTTCAACGAGGCACGATTCTCAGCAGATGCAGATAGAGCGAAGGAAGAGCCAGGATGCTCGGTCTCCTGTTTTATTGTTAGCATCATCACCGTCATATACGAATGCACGGCTCACGTATATGACTTCCGCTTTTCTATTCATATAATCACTGACCCATTCCCCAGCACCCTGGTACTTTTCTTGAAGTCCATTCATACCGGATGACGTTCCCATATCTCCCTCACTTCTGACTGCCTGTGCTGCCACCCGATCTAAATCTGGATACACCAACGCCGCAGCATCAGACAACTCCAGCTCTTCGTGCGTCTTGCCACTGACTAGTCTGACAGAATCAAGACCTCGTTTAAACTTGGGCTTAGTAGGAACGGGATTGCTGTACTCTTCAAATGTCTAATTGATGTCAAGCTTCTCCTTCGAAAAGAAGGCTTGTCCGATGGAGTTGGATAGTTTGCCTAGAAGACCCTGCTATTGACCGGAGACTTTATCTTTGAACACCACTACCATAGCAGAGTCCGCGTAGCATAAACAGCTCCTGATTGACTGGTCGAGGAGGGTGTTCTTCTTCTCCCGGTGTCGCATTTGTAGTCCGCGAGCTGTGCCTGCAATGACTTGCACCACGATTCCGACTGCTATAACCGCTGAAGTTGGGATGTTGCTTACAATCCCTGCAGCGATAAGCACTACTTCGATCCACTTTGAGGCTTAAAGGAGTTGTTAGCAGCTGTAAGTGTGGACTGTGAGAACAGGTAACGGAACGAACCTCATTTGCCTTGTCTAGATTCTCCAAAATTGCAGGAAAAGTTCTTGGCTTATGCCAAAGTCAGCAAGAACAGGTGCATATGCACGCACAAATCCGCGGATCTTCTTTCTCGTCTTCGTTGAGGGATGATCACCCGACAAGGAAGACGTGTCTTTGATTGGACTGCCCCATCATCTGTTCATGGAAATCTCGTCCAGACTGAATTTCTCGCCGAATCATGTTACCCTGGTCCAAGTTACAACACTCGCGCATGCCAGGAACCAGGAAATGAGTAGCGAATGGGGAGATCCAGACATCATGAGCCAAAAGCCGGCCGGGTATTCTTATCATATGAATCCAGCCTACATATCTGCACCCGAAGAACTCCCATTTACCACCTATAAAAGCGAGTTAGTAAATCATCTCAAGACCAAGACCAATGGAATCTTACACAAAGGGCTCGGAGTGCAAATACAACTCCTCAACCTCACCACCAAACACACGGCCCTGCGCAACAGCTGCTGCGTTCCGGGTATCATGCAGCATAGAGGCAGGGCCACAAACCAAAACCCCAACACGTTGTTTCTTCTGCATATGCGTCCCTTGAACATGAGCCATAGCTACAGTGCGTGCAACCAAGCCAGACAGATCGGGTCGTGCATTGCGGTAGACGTTCAGGCCGAAACTTCCTGTAGTCGTTACCTCGGTTGGAGGCACCTTGCCCCCTGTGCCGTTGACATCGTCAGATTCCGAAGATGAAGAAAATCCAGAGTTGCGTTGAGCTGTGACGTGGACAGAAACCGAAGTTTCGAACCCGTTGTCCGGTTCTGTTGATAGCATCGTTGACTGCGAAATCCGAGACTCGATTTCTTCAATGTACCAGTCCGCCATGGTGTGATCGCGAGTTGAGAATATAACTTGGAGAATTCGGCGGTGACTTCTGTCTTTCTCGTTGGTTGAAGATGCCATGCCCGTGAGACGGAGTGCTTCGTCTACCATGGCAAGCGAGAACCCGCCTCCCGAGCCGCCCGCGATGACTAGAATAGTGTCGAATTGGGCCATGTGAGGCTCACTGACGCCGCCGTAAGGACCTTCTATAAGGATCTTCTTTGTGCAGCCTGGATTCCGCTCTGCCATCGCTCTCAAGCGTCCCGTAACTCCCCCACGGGGCTTGATGTAGAAGACAAGTTCTGAGGATTTGCCGGATTCATCGTGTGTGCGACATGCGGAAGAGATCGTGAATGGGTGGGCAGTGAGTAAGTGCAGATCTGAAGTCAGAAATCGCACGAATACATGTTGGCCGGGTGTCCATTTCATAGTTGATGAAACGGAGACTTTGACGAGACCACATGGCAAGAGCTCGAGACTGGCGTTGTGGAGGCCGTACTTCAAGTAGGTTCGGGCATGTCCTGCAATCAGGCTGGTTATATAAATCGCACCGGAAGCAATGAAGTAGTCCCTGTAACATGTCAATATAACTTCATCAAGGAATCGTTCAATTGATCATACCAGGAAGAAAGTCGGAAATCGCAGTGAATGAAGAAGAATACGACAAAGACCACAGCCACGGAGATATGAGTAGCCTTGAAGAATTCATAAAATCGATTCCTGGAGCGTGTCAGACTCTTTTCTTTCTTCGCGAATCAAATGTAATCTAACCGAATGAAAGGCAGCGACATGAGGGTCAGATATGCCTGCGAGATAAGAGCAGTAACACCTGTCCAGTAAGTCACGCTTGTCTTCCATTGCTTGACCATCTCCCCTTTCCCAATATCGTAGATTATAAAAGGAAAAGTGTGAACCAAGGCCAAAACGAACATCGCATAACTGGTCCAATGGTGGAAAACTTGGAGTTTCTCATGCGGAATACCAGTCAAGGCTGAAATCATATTGGCTTTTGTGCTCAGGGCCCTGATGTATAGTTAGTGAATGAATTTTAAGCGGCTTCCAAATAATATAGCTCACAGCACAAATGGCAACAGCCCAAGGGCCATCCAACCTGCCCGAGTCGCAAGGGGTGGACTACCTCCATACGAGGCGTCTGTCGGCCAGTAGTAGGGTTTCGGCCCGAGCGTCATTGCTATGATCGTCAGTTAGCTTCCTCATGTATCCCGTAACTCCATATAAATCTACCGAAGAAGAAAATAGCGCCGACCGCGCCCAAAATCACCACGCCCAATGCCGGCGACCAATACCGCAACGTGCGGGATCGCAATCCGCGATAAGAAAGGTATCGCGAGACTGAAGTGAACATACGCCATGGTCTTGTTCGCTTCACGCAATCCGGGGCAAATCTAACCAGTAGATTGGAAATCGTGAACACACCAATCACAGCACACATGAAGTATACCGTGTTTAGCGCATAGACGTGATCGGCTTGGTACCTAAAGATCTTCAATGAGCACACGCATATAATTTCCGAGTGGTAAAGGCGCATACCAGTAACGCCAACTATAATTGCGATAGCGGCATTGAGCGTCTGTCAGCTTGCATTTGTCTGCACGAGATGAGTGCAGCATCACCGGCTGATCTAGCCAGGGGGCCCCGGACATCTCCATGTCCATCATCTTGTGACCGAGGAGAACTTGCAACCATTGAGAAGAGAAAGTCAAATTTTAATATGAAAAGGGGACGTTAGTAGCTTTGGAACGGCCATCTCAGTGGATGGTTGCGGAACCGAAAACGGGAATTGTGTTCTATCAAGGACTCAAGGGTGTTTAGACATTCCCGGGCCCCGCCGATCACCCCGGGAGATCTGCTCACAATTGAGCATATTTCCTGGAGAGACGGGGCTGTAATCATCATTTGGTTGTTGGTCCCACTGTAGACTGAGGTTGAACTAGAGCACATTTGCGCAACAAGGCGGTCTTGCCGCACATGAAACCCACCGTGCCTGATTCGTAGGCAGATTCGTGTCACTACGCTGATCTTTCGCATATTACTTCTTGTTTCGAGTCTGCAATATTCTTTTTTCTGCTCGAATCCGAGCTATTCAGCGCATATACGAGTATGCATCCGGACTCCGGAGACCCCGGGCTCGAGCCACCAGGACTCTCTAATGTAGTGAGGGGAGAGGGCTCAAACGAAAAACTTTTAAATTGGAAGAGTCATGGGGTAGTATTCGCCAAATAATAAAACGAGTCGATGAAGCAATAGAAACATGGCAAAAGACAAAAAGGAAAAAAAAAAAAAAGAAGAAAAAGGGAAAGCAGTATATACACCGCATCAGGACTAGCGCCTCACATGGCAGATCCAACCCTACATTCCGATTGCGTTGTCTATTCAAGGGGCACTGGCGCGACTGAAATAGTAGCCCCAAGCGGCTCCTTGGCAGTGATCGGACTCTCATTCCCGATGCCGTACATCTTCAGCGCACGGTGGCCTCCGCGCACGCTGTCTGCTTCGACACCCTTGGCCCGAAGCACGCTGGTAGCCACGCGTGCCGAGTCCCCATCGTAGCAGACTACGAGAATGTGATATCTACCCAGATCTGAGACCAAGACGTCATCTGTGAAAATCTTCTCCAGCTCCACCCATTGCGCCTCCAACACCCCCGGATCTGAAAACGGTGATGGGGTGTGAGGCCCGACGCTGGACAATGGCAGGTTCATCGAACCAGGGAGGTGCCATGCATAGAAGTCGAGGGGTTTTCGCAGGTCCAGAACACGATTTTGGCTCTTCAGTACTATCTCGCTCAGCTGACATTGGGTGAGGGTTCGTGGTGATCCATAGAATTGCGGTAAGACCTCCAGTGCGTCCCGCTCCCAGCTCTCGTCGTAACGGTGCAAATCGACCTTTGTCAGGCGCTGGAGGTTAAATTAGCTTTTGTGGAAACAATAACGCAAACACGTCATGGAGTTGGTATTTACCTCATTCCGGATTGGGTGGAATTGCTCGTCGCCTAGCTTTTGGAAGTACTCCCCGATGTACTGGTATGGCAGGTCGCAGCAGAGGAAGACGCAGTGGGTTTTGCCATCTGGACCTGAAAGCTTAGACAGGGTTTCCTCGGCCTTGCGCTTCCCCAGAGTCTGGAACAGCCCTTGAAGATTGAACCCAGATGATGGGCCACAGACCAGTCCCTCTCGACAGAGGTTCAGGGACAGGGTATATGACTCCAAGGATCCAACTTCCTCAATGGTATCCACAGCCTCTTTCCAAGGAAACTCGACAGGGCGCATCAGGGCGTATGATCTGGGGCCAGGTACCCGATCACCAGGGGCTGTACAGACTCCAAGTCTGTGGACAGATGGTTTAACTCCCTTGAAATAAGTACCCAGACCGGTCATAGTACCTGACGTACCCATGCCAGCACAAAGAACATTAATCTCAGGCAGCTGCTTGAAGATCTGAGGACCGGTCCACCGGATATGAGACTGCCAGTTGTTGCTGTTCTCATATTGGTTTGGGTTGACAATCTTGTCAGACTCCATAGCCTGTCTCCGGGCGCTTTGAATGCCACCTCTCTCGTCGAGTGGCTCTGGCTGAGATGGACCACCAAACAAGGTAATATCCAGGCCAAAGAACTGCATCAGCTTTAGCTTTGCATCACTTGTCTTGTTGCTTAGGAACGCCCGGGTATCATTCACTCCATGCATGACACGGGCAACCATCGACATCGAAATGACTGTTGATCCGGAGCTGTACTCGATGATTCGTTCGGTCTCGCCAGGTACCACGCTGGTTTCAAGCATGTTCATCGCTTGTTGCGTGTCAGCAGATATCTCAGTGAACAGTCATAACTTTTCATACCTGGCATTGCTTTGACGTTGTTTGCTGGATGCATGGTCATCATCTTGGCATATATCCGCACCCCATCTTCATAGTAAGGGTTCAGATGAGGCGGCAGCTCGACAAGAGGTAGGGGAGGCTGCGAGTCAGGGTCAAAGTATTTCTTCAAGGAGTCAGGACCAAAATAGGTATTGCCCTCATTGATGTTGGTCATGTTGGCAGAAGAAGTGGCTAAGTTATTGCAATTTTCAACTTTTGTGATCTGAACGAACATCGAAGTAAAATGATGGGTCTCTCAGGGAAGTTATAGGGCTACAATGGCAATCATTTGCCCCTCTTCCTGTTGCGTCTTTCTTGGCGTCCGAGAGGTAGATTGAGATTAGTCGCTCCACAGCTCGTGAATGTCCTGCCACACGACTCAGAAATGAGGGGCATATCTTTCGGAGCCAGTCAGACGTGGAAGCTGCATGCGCCGGAAATTTGAGGCTAGGAACAAGGAAACTGCGTGGAGCAAGCTCCTAGATGTCATTGCGGCCAATTGTAGATCGGATTCTGTTTCTGCTCTCTTCACGGGTATTGGATATCAAATTGAAAACGGAATGATCAACAGAGCTGCGTCATGTTTTCCTTTGGTATTTGAGACGTCTTACTCGGCAATGTTCTAGAAACCGTGATTATTCGTCCTTTGTATGTATAGAGGGGCATTTGGCAAGGTCCTCAGAGGGAAGCAAATTCATTCTCGCATGTGCTTTGCTTGGCATAAATAATGGTTAGCTGATTGAAAATATCCGATTCGATATTCACGCGAGTATAGAAAGGGGCGGGTACCTTGAGAGCGTTTGAGAAGGTTTGCCAACCCTAATTTCTGCAGATCTTCTGTCAAGGTGCTCGCTTTGTCGATCGGTCGGATTCAACCGATCCTTCGGCAATTGCGAAGCTGAGATTATATTGATTTGGCTGAGTTAGCTTAGATCTTTTATTTCTTCTGTTTTCTTCTGTTTTTCCTGTTTTATTTGTCCTGCGTTCCTCGGAAAGGGAGTCTGTTCACCATCCCTTCACATTCTACTCGCAATGGCAGGGGTACTTGCAAACAACTCAGGGCGATCCACGCCCCAGGCGGATGCCGCGGTTGAGAAGAATGGAGCCCATGTTGAATTCAATGAGCAAACTAATTATGTGCCTAAGCGCACCATCATCACGGTTAGTGTGCCCAGCAAGAAGCAATATGGCCACTAAGCTAATGCCGACCCAGATCTTCCTGGCATGTTCCACGGTCGATTTACTGGCTTTGATGGACCAGACAACTCTGGCGGCCAGTTTGTCTATTATTGGGAATGCATTAGGAGCTAGTGATCAAACTTCGTGGATATCGGGCGGTTATTTCGTGTATGCTCTCCCATGGTTGTCGATGCTTGCCAACACTGACACTCCTGTAGAACATCAACATGTTTCCAGTTACTATATGGCAAACTTTCTGACATCTGGTCTCGCAAGCTGGTTCTCTTCGTCGGTCTGGCCATCTTCTTTTTCGGGTCACTAGCAGCCTCTCTTGCTCAGACTGCCACACAATTGATCGTCTTCCGTGCTTTCACTGGAGTAGGCGGCGGCGGCCTTATGACAGTTGCACAGATGATTGTCAGTGATGTTGTTCCACTTCGTGAACGAGGTAAATATCAAGGTATCCTAGGTGCCGTGGTTGCTATTGCCAACGGCATAGGCCCTGTCATCGGCGGTGCATTAGCCTCGATATCGGAAGACTCATGGCGATGGATCTTCCGTCTCAATCTGCCTTTAACAGCTTTGACTACCCTGGCGGTTCTGTTCTTCATGCCTCTTCGCAAGGTTACTGGTGACTGGAAAGTCAAGCTGAAGGCGATCGATTTCTTCGGTGCGCTTTTGGCTCTAGGGGGAACCTCAGTCCTGCTTCTTGGTTTGACTTGGGGTGGTGGTGAATACTCATGGAACTCAGCTCATGTTATTGCAACTTTGGTTGTTGGATTCGCCATCTCTGTTGCTTTTGTTGCGTGGCAGTGGAAGGGAACGTCAACGCCGCTTGTTCCAATGCATATTTTCAGGGGCAAGATTGTGAACGGCGCCTGTTTGACTATGTTTATCAATGGGTGGAACTTTTGGTTCAAGTCTACTATATTCCCACCTTCTATCAGTTGGTATTTGGATACTCAACGGTGAAGGCTGCAGCAATGCTGCTACCCATCACACTCATGCAGAGTATGGACCTGCTTTCCTCATTCAATCCCATTGCTAACGCCGCATACAGCTGTCAGCAGTACCGGTTCTGGCCTCATTGTACATTGGGTTGGCCGCTATCGAGAATGTATCCTCTTTGGATGGGTCATCTGGGCTGCTGGGCTTGGGCTTTTCTCGACACTCGATCAGAACTCGGGACTGGGAAAGCAGATTGGATATGGTATCCTCACAGGTGTTGGAGTTGGAAACACTCTGCAGCCGTATGTTGCCCTCAAACAATTATTTGCCGCAGACTGATCATTATAGTGCTCTCATTGCCGTCCAGGCTGGTGTCGAAAGGCGAGACATGGCTGTGGTCACCTCCTTCAGGAAGTAAGTATACCTGCAATATTTGCATTTCATCGCTAACAAGAACAGCTTTGTACGCAATCTTGGTGGCACACTTGGCCTTGCTATAGCGGGAACTATCATGTAAGTTTCCCGTCAAGTCTGTCTTTTGTTTTGCTAACAAGTATAGCAACAACATCGTCTCCTCGTCCATCTCAGTCCTTCAACTTGACGAGACTCAGTCCCGTTCCCTCCTCTCCAGTCCACAAAATTATCTTTCAAAGCTACCTGCAGAAGATGCACAGCACGTGCGTGATGTTCTTACCCCGGCGTATCAAAAAGGCTTCCGCATTATCTTCATCATTGGTGCATCGCTTGCAGCACTTGCTTTCTTCTTGTCTGCTTGGCTGATCCCACAGCTTGGTCTAAAGCGAGCAGATGATGAAAAATTGAAAGAGGAGGGAAAGAAGAGGATAGAAGGAAAATTGGACGAGGAGAAGAGATAGAGCTTCTGCTACGTCTGTCAATTCGCTGAATATGAATTCCACTTTTAGTAGGAGAGGGACGACTTTTGTCGGGAAATCACCTGTGTCGTAACCAGGGCATCTTCCAGCTTTATATGGAGTTCTGCAAGATTATCGAAATACATTGTACAATAAAATGATACCATTTCAGGCGAGCAACTAGCCAAATTCCTTCATACTTAAGGTCAAGCAGAGGCGGTCGAGAAGATCCATAGAGAGGAACGAGATTCAAGTTTTGACAAGCATTGTGGCTCGTCAAAAACATGTATATAATTATTTTTAGAAAAAGAAATAGAGAATCGAGAGAAATTGACTGAAATAACATAAACACGCAGATAAACACGTCCAAGGAGCTATGTGAGCCGAGTCTTATGTAACAATCCTTCATTCTCCAGGCTTCCAGGTTCTCCCCCAATCTCCCTGCGCAGACAAAGTCCCTCAACCATGTAGCGACGTCTGCACATACCAACATGGTGCTCTCGCTGCCGGTCCCCAGCTTCTACAGATCATCGGCCTCATCCCCACACCCCGCTGACGGCTCACCCGCTCAGTCCCGACACCGAAGTTCAACCTCCTCCTCCAGCTCCTCCTCCAGCCGTATCTGGAAACCCGCTGCTGTGAGCCAGACTTCCTCTTCTTCAAATCATTCCATTACCCTCGAAGCCCTACGCAATAATCCTTTCGGCAGTTCACGGTCCCGCGGCTCCGCCCAGCTCTCGCTCAGTGAGACTGAGGAACAAAGGCGGGAGCAGGAGGAACTCAACACGGCACTTGAGACTCTGGTACGCGTCTTCCCTGATGTGAAGGTTGAAGTATTCCGGGAGCTACTGGTGCACTTTGATGGTCAGAGTCGGGTGCAGGTGTGCGTCGAGGAGCTACTCAGGAACAAGAAGAAATGGGTTTCTGGGCGGTGGAATATCCCCGAGGGGAACAGTGAAGCCGATGCAGATGGAAATGCTCGCACAGGTTCTTGTGGCTATCCCGACGACGATATTACTCGGAATGACGCCGACCAGCGTGGTCTCGTGCCACCCGAGGAGCGGTTCCGGTCTGATGAATACAAGGCTACCGTGCGGATCGCCTTGACCAAAGAATTCAACAGTCTAAGCAGGAGTATTGTCGACGCCGTGCTGGCCGAAGCGAATTACAGCTATGCTCGGGCACGGCCGACGCTTCGGGATCTATCGCGCCGCACCTGGCGTGCGACTATCAACAGTCTCCTCCCCTTTAGGAGAAAGAAAGATCGCGAGGAGCATCCCTTCATGGTCTGGCATCGTCGTGCAGATGGTGAGATGGTTCCCGGTCTGAGAGAAACAGGATGCAGTGAGCTGGATGGTGAGCTCCATGAGATGCTGCTTGCCCCCTTGATACGGCAGAAGCGCGAAGAGCAGGAGAACAAGGACTTTAGATTTGCTTCGGAGTTGAATGAGAAAGAGGCTCACGCTGTTGATGCCCTGTACGAATGCGAGTGTTGCTTTGCCGACGTGACATTCGAGCAGATCGCGACATGTTCGGCCGATACTCATATTATATGCTACCACTGCATCCAACGAACGGTCTACGAAGCACTCTTTGGGCAAGGCTGGGGCAAATCTGTGGACTTGGAGCGCTCTACTTTGAAGTGTCTTGCGCCGCTTTCAGTTGGGTCCTGCGCCGGATGTCTTCATCCCCAGATTGTCCAACAGGCCATTCTTCTCGATACAGCTGGCGTGGAAACGTACCGCAAGTTCGAGGACCGGCTTTTCTCTGAAGCGCTTTTAAAGTCTCAGTTGAAGCTCATCCGATGTCCGTTCTGCTCCTATGCCGAAATCGATCCAGTCTATCACCCTTCATCCCGTGGTGTCTGCTGGCGTATCCGCCGTGATGGCGGCATCATCCCTACGATTTTAATGGCCCTCCTTCTCCTTGATCTTGTCCCGCTCCTCTTGATACCCGTCCTCATTCTTCTCATTCTGGACCCTGCTGCCGTAACAACAGTCTTCGGCAATTCTATACGTACCCTCTGTCTCAAAATGCGCCCCAAACGATTCAACTGTGTCAACCCCTCTTGTCTGCGCATTAGCTGCATGACTTGCCAAAAACCATGGCGAGATCCACACGTCTGTCACGAGCCTCTGCTTCTAGACTTACGCGCCACCGTCGAGGCTGCTCGCACCGCCGCCGTAAAACGCACTTGTCCCCGCTGCTGCCTTTCCTTCGTCAAATCCTCAGGCTGCAACAAGCTGACCTGCGTCTGTGGTTATTCTATGTGCTACCTCTGCCGCAAAGCGTTAGGCCCACCTCTCCGGCAGTCCATACCCGGACGTGAAAACGCCCAGCATCCACATGGTCTCGGCGCCTACGACGGACCCGGCGATAACCCCAACCCCTTTGACGACGAGCGAGGCGGCAACATCTCAGATGATGACGAGTTCGAAGAACCAGAAGGCTACCAGCACTTCTGCGAACACTTCCGGATTAACCCCGGGTCCCGCTGTACCGAATGCACCAAATGTAATCTCTACCAAGCCGAAGACGAAGAAGCCGTCGCCCGCCGCGCAGGCGAGAAAGCCGAGCGGGAATGGCGGATTCGTCAGGGAGTTAGCACTGACAATGCCACGGCTTCCGCTGTTGGATTCCGTAATATCAACCAGGATCTTTCGGCTGCAGCAGATGGTCCCGCTAACCGTCGCGCCTCGACTTCGATGTGGGATATGCAGTTTGGAACGTCCAGGAAGCCTTGGGATTACTGGCTTATTGATGTATGGTGTCATGGTCGGTGGAAAATTGAGGGTCAGGCTTTTGTGGATTGGGTCGTGGAACGCATCGTCGTGATCGACGAAGAATGAGACTTTTTTCTCCCTTGTTTTAAGAATTTTTGAGATTGCTTTCTCATTTTGGATTTAAAGTTGCGACTTTGGCGCTGTTGCTTTTTCACTCTCCCCTCAGGAGAGTTTGGCGTCGGTTGTGTTTCTTTGGGGGGCTTGGATGACTTGATGATTGATGACATTCTCTTCGGCTTTGGTTACGCGGATCTTCTCTGCTCATACGATATAGCGCGGACCTTACTTTCTTTAATACATGATCTTGAGGCAAAGCCCTCATTTAAGTAGAAAGAGTAAATGTAAGTTAAATGTCAAGTTCGGAACAAGACACGAAGAGGAAGATAAAGACACCAAAACAACGTTCACCCAAGTGCAAGCATGAAGAAACATACTTAATATCAATATCCCGGATCCGCACTACACAAGTGCTTAGGACTCTTAAACCCATCCATATTAGCAGCACTAATAAATTCCTTCGTCTTCTGAGCATCACCACTGCAAATAGGACCACACCAAACAGGACGACTATCATGGCCATACGGCTGCAAGATGTATTCCTTATCCTGGTAGTCGAAGTCGACAGCAGCGCCAACATCACACACCGGAACAGTGAATATACCCTCCCAAGACGCACCCTGTGAACCGGGGCTAGCCCAGGCGCTGGAGATGGCATCTGATGCACGGCTAGCGGCTGTGTTGGCGTCGTAGTTGTACCCGGCGACTTTGTAGGCGTCTAAAGAGGAGTTGATGATATCCTATGGTCATGTTAGCAACCCTTGAAGTACAGTATGTGGGTAAATCTGCATGTATATCTCACTTCTACTTTAACACCCTCATACTCATTCTGACCCAATTGGTCTACACCAGGTGGCGAAGCAACCCACCCCCACTGGTGCGATGTAGTCGAAACAACATCATTCTCCTGCCAATAATACAGATACCAAGCCTTGCCATCACGGCACACAGTTGCTTCCTGGGGACCAGAGCCTATCCCCTGGTTATCACCACAGGCACCACCGCCCATTATGAAGATCTTCTGTGTGCGGTATAGCTGATTGATGGAAGTACCGACTAGCATATTCGTCATGGCGTCTGTGACGGCGTTCTTGTCTACGCCTGGGTAGGCGAGGAAGGCTCCGCCAGATAGGTAGCTGCGGATGTCGGCGTTGCTGTAGGATTGGCCGCTCATTAGTTGGTTGTTGGCTGTCGTGAAAGATTTCAGGGAGTCGACGACTATGCTACCGAGGATACCGCCTAGGTCGGCGGATTTTTGGAATGTGTCGTCCGTGCTGGGGTGGGTTAGTATACGGTGGCTTGGACTTGATAATAGAGTGATGGACGTACTGATCAGGCATGACACTGTTCGCGGCACCGACAGCACCATTGGTGAGGGCATTGCCAGCACCAGCAATGGCACCAGCGGCAGCACCGCCCAACCCAGCAAACGAGGCACCAACCCCGACAATGGTAGTCACCAGAGTCAACACCTGCTTAAGGGCACCCACACTTTTGTCATCCTTATCCTTATAGAAGGTCGTAGCCCAAGAATCCTTTGACAACGCCGCTCCTAACGCAGTAGTAGTAAACGCCTCTCCAATACCAGTAAAGTAAGTATGAAGACGATTCACAGACTCCAAGACGTAGTATGTAGAACGGATATCGTCGCCCCGGTCATTTAGTACTCGATTATCACAGAGCTGCAGATCGCAGTCCGAGTCCGAGCCATCGTCGCGGCATGACCAGTCCGGGTTGCCCATTGCCCATTGACCAAAGGCGCCGGCGAACCCGGCTGAACTGTTGGACATCAGACCGCCATTGTCGTCCCACCAGGTGTTGAGCCAGTCGCCCGTTTTGTACGTGTCCCAATCGGAGGTTTGTTGGTTATAGTATTTGGAGACTGCACCACAGCGTCTGTAGATGCCGCTCGGGTGGTGGATGGGCAGGTGGTTTGAGGGTGCTGCTTGGACGGCTGGGAGGAGGGCAATAGCCGTAAAGGCTAGAGAGGGAAGCATCTTTCGTGCTTTGATGATAGATAGCCAGGATGAAGGACAAAGTGGAATAGAAGATGCCACCTCTTATAGAGATTGCTATCCCAGACCTGAAGCAAATGAATGATGATCTCTCGTCACATCCGGGATATGGTCCAACATTGATACAACTGAAGGAATCCTTCAGTCAGCCCTAGTGAAGTCTCTCCGTGCAGATGACCCACTGGAAAGTCCAGGGCGAGGGACATCGGAACAAGCACCGCCATCGGGCCCTGTTGCGAGTCAACCATTGGAGCCCGTCTCTTAACAGGCTTTAAGCACATATGCCACATCGGGGTGATCGCCAGGGACTCGGCGCCGTTTGAGTATTAGTGGCTGGTCTGGTCGTGGGGGCCGTTGTGACATTGGAGACTGACGATCTTGACAGCCCCCAAGTTACCTTTTTGGGAAACTGGTAAACGGAATTGTTGAGATTTGTTCAGGGGGAGTTGGAGTAAAAGCAGGGATGCTGCATTGTTTCATGTTTGCTGTGGGGATGAAACCTTGGAGGATATTGCGAGGTTTATAAGATAATGGTAAGTTCTTTCCGGTACACTTTCGTGGGTCTCTCAATATTCCTTCACGAAATGGCCAATATTATTAGTGATTTGGGCTGCGGAACGAGGTGAAGTACATTCCCATCCAAAGTTGGGGATGCCGGTTCCTGAGAATTGATCTTGTAAGGTCTCTAATTCCGGAGTAATTGCAATTCAGATAGATCTCATTGATCTCATTATGAAAATAAAACAAGGGAAAGAAACACAGGTAGTATATACAAACAAGAAGCAGCAATCTGTTCCAAAAGATCCGGCTCGCATGCCAACAGGGGATATCGCTTCAACCAAAGATTTTGTACTCTACAGCTTAGCCTTGGCGCCCTCCAGGAGCTCCGCACCAGCTCCGGTGATGGCGGGCTTGCCGGTCTCGACGACGGTGGTCTGGAAGAGAACGGTGTTGCCCTCCTTCCACATCTCAGTCTTGAGGGTTTGACCGGGCAGAACAACACCAGCGAAGCGAACCTTGAGGTTCTTGTAGGCACCAAACTTGGAGAAGACGTGCTTGCCGGACACACCGAGAGAGCACAAACCGTGCAGGATGGGGGTCTTGAAGCCGCCGACCTTGCTAAACTCGGGGTCGATGTGGAGGGGGTTGCGGTCGCCGTTCAGGCGGTACAGAGCAGCCTGGTCCTCGGAGGTCTTCTCCTCGATCACGGCATCGGGCTGGCGCTGAGGCGCCTTGTACGCAGCCGTGGCAGCCTTGGCGCGGGGAGCGGTGGGCTTGGGAGAGCCACCGAAGCCACCACTGCCGCGGACAAAGACGGTAGACTCGTTGTAGAACAGGTCCTCGCCGGTCTTAGCATCCTTGGTGGTGAAACCAGCCACAACGATGGCAGCGTTGCCCTTGTCGACAACGTCGATGAGCTTGGGGTAGGTCAAGGTGTTGGCGGTGGTCGGGATGGGGAACTTGCGGACTTCCATGTACTGCTCGCCGTGCAGCAGCATCATGGGGGAGAAGTTCTTGACAATGTCGTCCATGTTCCAGGGAGTAGCAGTGTTGAACCAGGGAACGACACCGTAGGAGGGAAGAGCCTGGAAGTGATCGTTGTTCTCGTAAACCAGGGATAAGTCAGTGCGCTTGGCACCCAAGCTGAGGTTGTAGAGGATCACATCGCGGTCCTCGTAGTCGAAGGCAGTACCCTCGGTGGACAGAGTCTTGGCCTTCTCAATGTTCTTGAGGATGTCGCTCTCGCTGGAGGCATCGCCGTGCACACGGTTGGACATGTTAGCCATGATCTTCTCGGTGCCAGCCTGGCCATCCTCGGGGTGGTCAGCGCGGCCATCCTCAAAGTTGGTGATCTGCTTCCAGTTGCGAAGAACCTCCTCGGGGGTTAGCTTGACGTCCACGGGGAATCCGTGACCGCCGGAGCGCTGCCAGCGGGTGCGGCCGAACCAACCGCTCCCACACTCAAATAGACCCTTGGTCGAGGGCTCAGGAGCCATGTCAGAGCACAGCAGGACAACGAGAGGAGCAACGTAGTCAGGCTTGAAGGCCTGCACCATCTCCTCAGGCATGATAGTACGGGTCATGTTAGTACCAGCGTTAGGAGCAATGGTGTTGACCTTGATGTTGTACTTAGCACCCTCCATAGCGAGAGTGCGGGAGAGACCGAGGATACCAAGCTTGGCCGCAGCGTAGTTGGCCTGGCCGAAGTTGCCGTAGATACCGCTGGTGCTAGCAGTGTTGACCACACGACCGTACTTCTGCTTGAGGAAGTAGGGCCAGGCGGCCTTGGTCACCTTGTAGGTACCACGAAGGTGGACATTGATAACAGAGTTCCACAGGTTGTCGTCCATGTTGGTGAAAGCCTTGTCGCGCAGGATACCGGCATTGTTAACCAGGATATCAATGCGTCCAAAGGCATCGATGGCACTCTTGACAACAGCGTCACCATCTTCGCAGTTGGCCTTGTTGCCAACGGCCTTACCGCCAAGAGCCTTGATCTCCTGGACGACAGGCTCGGGGTCGACGAGATCGTTGACAACGACAGAGGCACCGAGCTTGGCGAACTGCAAGCAGTATGCGCGGCCGAGACCCGCACCACCACCAGTGACCAGGGCAACACGGCCCTTGAAGTCGGGCTCCTCGCCAGCAGGAGCGCTGGGCATCTTCAGGCCGTCCTCCAAGAAGCTCATGAAGTCGGCAGGGCCAGTGGGGTATTCGGGCTTAGAGAAATCATTTACATCGTTCCACTTGCGTGCGATGGCACCAGGGGTCAGGGAGTCGTCGGTCTTGAGCAGAGCACCCTTGGCTCGCTCCCAGCGGAGCTTGGCAACGTGTCCACCACCGACTTCGTAGATACCACCGGTCTCGGTGGTGTTAGATGAGTGCACTAGGGCAGCCACCAGAGGGACAACCCAGTCGGGCTTAAGGTTCTCGAGGACATCGGGGGGCATGACAGTTGCGGTCATACGGCTGGCAGCTAGTTCAAAGTTAGCTTTCCAGTTTTTAGTTCGAGCTTAGACAATCAACTTACCGATGGGAGCAATAACGTTGGCAATAATGTTGTACTTGGCACCCTCCTTAGCCAGGGTCTCAGTGAAACCAACCTGTCCGAGCTTGGCAGCAGAGTAGTTGGCCTGGCCGAAGCTACCAAAGAGACCAGCAGCCGAGGCAGTGTTGATGACACGGCCGAACTTCTGCTTCCGGAAGTGAGGCCATGCGGCTCTTGCACACTAATAGAGCATCAGTTTCGGTCACATGAGCAGTATTTTATATCCACGGATTCTCACCTTGTATGCACCGTAGGTGTGAACTCGGTTGATCAGGTCCCAGTCGGCATCCTTCATGTTCTTGAAGCTAATGTCGCGCAGGATACCAGCATTGTTGAGGAGGATATCGATACGGCCGAAGTTCTTAATAGCGGTCTCGATGATGGCTTCGCCGTTCTCGACACTGTCGTAGTTGGCGACCGCCTTGCCGCCGGCCGCCCGGATCTCTTCGACAACATCATCTGCGGCCTATGTACCGTCAGTCCCTGTCGGTGCAGCTGGAGAGAGATAGACATACCTTGCCTGACTTGCCCTCACCCTTGTGAGAGCCGCCGAGGTCGTTGACGACGATATTTGCGCCCCTTGAGGCGAAGAAGAGAGCATACGCCTTCCCCAGACCACCACCGGCACCGGTGACGACCACCGTTTGGTTATCAAATCGTAGCTCGGACATGATGTGTGTGTTGTCCGAATATGTTGGAGAATATAGAACCAAGAAAAGAAGGGGAAAAGCTGGAGAAGAGGAGGAGGTTAAAAGCGCACTTGAGCAAGCTCGGCTGGTTTGGACCTCGGCCCATACCGTAACGAGGCGTATTGTTACATGGCAGATTACCACATTCACATGCCGACGTAAATGTTATGCTATACAATTGTGATATACAAATATACATACGCAGAATGTATCTAGCGATTTATGATGTAACTACGAAGTAACATTATACTGCAATAGAGTAAACAGCCTGGCGGCCTGGCGTCCGTATACTTACCTAGGTAGTAAGTACGGGACAATACTTTGACTAAGCATTCACTTTCCACTGAAATAGGGGGATCTACAGAGTGTGGATGTAAAATCTATTTTACTCTACTCTGTACTAAGTTATAACTTAACTCACAGATTACTACTTGTATACTGAAGGTCAAAAGGTTTCACGGGTCCGAGTACTATAGAGGCATGTGACGACCGACGTCATTGCCATGTGCCCTCAATAGGTACGACAATGATGTACAAGCTAAGTGTATAAGTCAGAGTATCTACAGTTCCAGCCTTATATACTTATATGCTCACTCTTATATATTTATATATTCAATGGATAAAAGTAGCGGCTGAACTGATACCCCGCGCACCCCAGATTCCTCACTCGGCCGATCGGGGGAGAGTTCCCGCATACCGTAGCCGATACAAAGACCAGCCATGAAAGCCAGTCGGTAGTTAAACCACTCCAAAATGCCTGAAATCATAGACGACAAGTCGCAGCACTGCATCCCCTTCCTCCTCGAACGCCTGCGCGTCCACACCGAGCGACACCGCGGCAAGTCTACCCCGCCATTCTTCATAGGTCTCAATGGCGTGCAGGGTGCCGGCAAGACTGTGTTGGTAAGTCGGTCCGGTCGGTTTTTTATGCCTCGGGATTTCTGTTTAGGTCCCTCGGCCAAAAAAGCTCTACCTAGTCGGTTCTAACCTCATCTGCAGGTGTCCGCTCTCAACGACACTCTCCGTTCAGCGCCGTATTCTCTCTCCGTCGTGACGTTGTCGTTGGACGATATCTACCTCACGCACGCCGATCAGGTTGCTCTGGCCCAGGCGCATCCTACCAACCCGCTTTTGCAGCATCGTGGTCAGCCCTCTACTCACGACCTTACGTTGGGTGAGGAGGTCTTTGCTTCGCTGGCTGCTGAGCAGCCCACTGCTATCCCGCAGTACGATAAGTCTGCTTTCGAGGGCCAGGGTGATCGTGTGCCCAAGGCACAATGGAAAGTGGTCAATGAAGAGGGTCAGGATAAAGTAAAGGTCGTGATCTTCGAGGGTTGGTGTGTCGGATTTCGGGCGTGGGATGACCAAACCTTACGCACGAAATGGGAGGCCGCTGTGCGTCAAAAGGAGTCTGGTGATTATAATGGGAGGTTGGGTCATGTCAAGCTTGAAGATGTGAAAGCTGTCAATGATGCCTTGAAGAAATATGATATCTTGACAGAGTGGGTTTTCTCAATTGGAAGTTGCGCGATTTAAAAAATTGCTAACATGTTTCATCAACAGCAAGTTGGATGCATTGATTCATATGTATCTGCCATCTGCTTAATTTTGATTTTTGAATACTGACATTCTCCAGTGACGCCGAAGACCCCCGCTTCGTTTACGAGTGGCGCCAGGAACAGGAGCGCACTCTTCGTGCTGCCAAAGGTACTGGAATGACTGAGGAACAAGTCAACCACTTTGTGGACGGCTGTATGTATAAACGCTTGGAGCCGATTGAGCGTTGGCAAGTACATGGAATTATACTAACACGCATAGATTATCCATCCTATGAACTCTTCACCGAGACTCTCCGTGAAGGCGCGTTCAAGCCTGCTTCGCACAGCTCTACGTCGGGCTCTGATTGGCAAGGTAGACAGCTTCGTCTCGTAGTCAACCGGAACAGGAGAGTGCAAGAGGTTATCAAGATTTGATACGGGACTGATTTAGAAGACAAAATATCTTAAGTTGAACACTGCGTATAACTTATAGGAATGAAGTTGTACATATACTCCGTACAGCTGAAAATATAGAACAGAATTTACAGAATTTTGTTTTTGAGCACCTGGAGCATTTAATGGGAGTCAGCAGCTGTATTTATTCAGCATATATATCAAAACAGAAACACACATCTTGGTCTTCAATGCGCAGCCATGAAAGCAACCTATATGTATAACCGTACCAGCGTTAGGTGAAACTCGGACCTCGGGACAAATTCCGGCCTTAGAAAAAGGCAAAAGGACGGATCAGAGAATGCCCAGATGACACCAATGAAAAATGTGCCTATGCTGGCTGCAGGACATCTACAATATTTACAAACTATTGTTGGAAGGTCGTTGACCATGCAATTGGGTTGCTTGAAGCATTAAATTGATCGGAAAACCCAGACCATCGTATCGCTAAAATTGACCAGAGGATATTAAACAGCCCGTGCAAAAAACAACCCAAGACAGTAAAGTCGTAAAATTTTGTGAAAGTTTTTGTGGCGGTGCAGTCAGAGAGTGCCCATACCAAAACCCCTCATGAGAAAACTCAATCTAGTTCATCTGGCGGATGAGACCGTTGATGTTGTCCTCACGGTTACCGGTGTCACCACCCTCGATGTAGTGCTTGAACTTGCGGGTGCGGAAGCCACCGTTGGGGTTGGACAGCTTGAAGGGCCAGAGGAAGTTGTTGGCTTGCTTGAAGTTGGGGCCAACGGTGTAGATCTCGTGGATCAGATCCTCCATGCAGACAATGCCGTACTTGCCGAGGTGCTCCTCGATGATCTGGTTGTCGGTGAGGGGAGTGCGCTGCTTGTCGACCTTTCCGTAACCACGCTTGTAGAGGAGCTCACGGACGGACTTCAGGTTGGGGTAACCGTAGGCAATGTAGGGGTTGACGATGGTCAACATCTCCTGGGTAGCCTTGGTGAGACGGATGAAGGTACCGCTGTTGATCTGGAGCAGACGGAGCAGCTGGAGGATCTTGCGGGGCTTGGGAGCGATCTTGTTGATACCCTTGATACGGACAACGAAGACCAGCTTGGGCTCATCCTCAACGTAGAAGTTACCCTCCTGGCGGGCAACACGGTTGAGGCGGATCTTCTCGCGCTCAGCGTTGCGGTACTCCTGGACGTAGGACTCGGCGCGCTTGAAGATAACACCACGCTTCTCCTTGTTGGCCTATGAAAATCTCAGTTAGTTTTGAGTTTTCAAAATCTTGGGTGTGAAAAATTCCAAGTGGCATGAACAAAGTGTCAGACCCGAAAGATGGTTAACAGACGACAGCATCGACCCATTGGTAGTTTGGTCTAGTCGTGTGAATGGTATTTATGCATCATAATGAACAAGGGGAGAGAGGGGGTATGAAGTAACAGGGGAGGATAAACAAACCTTCTTGACCTTCTCGGCCTCAGCACGGCGCTCAGCGCGGGCAGCCTCCTGGGACTTGCGCTTCTTCAGAAGGGTCTCGGGAACGAGGACCTGGTTCTGGGTGGGGACGGAGCTGTATTACACATGTTAGAACAGTCTGTTCAAAGGAACAAGACTGAGACAATTCGCCGAGTGAAAGAATTGCAGCATATAGCGCCACATTCTCAACTGAAGGCAAAAAAAATAAAAAAACTCGACGAAATGTCTTTGATCAGTGAGGGCCATTGCAGTGTGGCTGGTTGATAGCGGCCAAATACTAGTTGCACATTTTCAGCGCAGTGTTCTCGTAGCCAACCACCCACAATCTGCAAATGATGCCTTCATCCGACAAAACCCCGAACAATGTCAGGAGGAAGTGTTGACGCTCTTCGAATCAGAAGCAGGATGCTGTTACCGCATCATGAACAACTGAGACGATAGCTCACAACAATATTTTTGGAAGAGAAGGCGCAAAGCGCTTTCAACCTCAAAACTCCATCACCCTCGTTCTCTACCCATGTTGTGTTCTGCGACAGACAAATGTATGCGAGCCATTGGAGTGGAGAAAGAGGGCAGGAAGGATCGAGCTGGTGCCTGGCAACAATCGTCGAGGTAGACGATGGCTGTAGCATCTCCAGCGAGAAGTGCGACTATAGCTGAAACCTTTCAATCTCGAGGAGATCGAAGCAGTCACAGAAGTCAGAGGGAATCATACGTAGTAGGGGCCATTTTGAAGGTCCGAGGTCGAGAATCCGGTGGTTGTCGAAGGTTGTCAAAGGAGAAGAAAAAGTTCGCAGACAAGAAGGAAAAGGGAATTCGCTTGTGCGGGTGGAGTCTCCACTAGCCACATATGGTTAGAACCGCGAACTTGTTCGATCTAACCCAATGTGGACCTAGCCCTTATCGCTCCCCAGATAAGGGCTTCAAAGATGACGCCTAGTTGATGCCCGATGGTGCCTGAATTGGGGTAACCCCAGGGCTAACGTCTAGAATCAAGATCTGTCAACAGAACCTACATCATGTCGCGTCGCGGAGTCGGCCTCGGGGCCTTTGCAAATCGCACTCAAGCAACCCAATCATATGCTACTCATGGCGCAAACCTACGCTCTACCCATACAGCCTCTCTTCAGACCCAGCTCTCGGTCTTCCAGTCCCTGCTCCATACCTTTGCCCTGGAACATAGCTCCACTATCAAATCCGATCCAACCTTCCGAGCGGAATTCGCGCGCATGTGCAATACCATCGGAGTTGATCCTCTTGCCGCAAGCAACATCAAAGGCAAGAATGGTCGCCGTGGGCTGGGCGAGGGAGGTAGCTTCTGGACCCAGATACTGGGAGGGGATATGAATGATTTCTACTTTGAGGTTGCCGTCCGAGTCGTGGAGCTGTGTAGAGAAACAAGGAGTGAAAATGGCGGGCTGATTGGTGTGGAAGAGTGCCGCAAACGAGTGGGGAAGGGCAAGGCGATCGGGAGCGGGCTCGAGGTTTCAGAGTACGAGCTCCATGTGAGGAATTATATATGCTATTGGCTAACCCAAGCGTGTGATTTGACAGTGACGATATCTTACGTGCAGTCCGGTCCCTTGAGCCTCTAGGCTCTGGGTTTTCCATTGTCAACGTGGGCAGCAAGCAATATATTCGATCCGTTCCAAAAGAGCTCAACACTGACCAAGCAACTGTCCTAGAAGCTATCCAGGTTCTAGGATATGTCAGTGTCTCTATGCTGCGATTAAACCTCAAGTGGGAAAAGGCTCGAGCGCAAACAGTAATCGATGACCTGATTGCTGACGGTTTAGTCTGGGTGGATGCCCAGGGCCCTGAAAAGGAGTACTGGTCACCTCAGAATCTGCTCGATGATAGCGGGTGAAACTTTTTACGCTTTGTCGTACGACAACTTTCCCAGCCACAACCAGACCTACCAGGGGGCTATGCGCACCTCAAGGCCTACACGTAGACATCTTGCAGCGTTGCAGTATCTTGCCCATGCGAAAGACAATCAGATCATTGTCGGCCTATGCAGGCCAAGCCCGTTTCATCATATTACAGCGGTTCACGAAACTGCGAGCTTGGCCTGCACAGAATTTAGAAATACCGATCGGATCTACAGAGACGGTCGATTTTGTTCTGAGCACCGATTTTGTTCTGAGGTGCTCAGATATTTAGGTGGCAGGGTGCCTGACATCGAGTCATTGCCAATGGCACTACGACTTGCGGTCAAGAGTAATCAAAAGTAAGACGACGCCGGGGTTATGACCAATGTGGAATTAATTGCCTATCGAATTGCATCACCACAAAGAACTACCAATATTTGGAATACTACTTGTGCTATTGGATCATAGTCCCAAATCTTCAGTGGTGGTGAATACACTTGGAACATATCAGGCATATCATGTCAGAAGTTGGAATAAGCACATCATCCGCGGCATTATTGTGTGATATACACTCCACTCGGCCGATAAATGTAAGACCCTTTAAGTTCATCTCTAATATAAACTTTGAGATCGACTCAAATTCATGCTCCCCAAGGAACCGTCCTGAGCCCGATCAGCACTCAATCCAGACGATCGCAGTCCCGACATAGGGCTACTCGCCATCGTCATTGGAAATTATGTGATATAGAATCTATATGACGGTAAAAAGGAGAATATATTCATTTAGATAAAGCTCTTAGATCAATCCTCCTCCGCCATGCTTAGCTCCACTGCTTCCTGTTCCTCAATTGACTTCATTGTTATACCACCATCGAGCAACAATGGCCTCTTCAGCCACACAAGACTCCCTTAATGGGGAAAAGAGACCCGACAATTCGATTGATATCGAACAGCAAAATGTCGGCACTTTGAAAGTCGAGACTCCGAAACCCTCGGCGCAGGTGTAAGTCTAGTACTTGCCTCGAGTGTGATATTAGATTCTGACTCTTTATTATAGTCTGCCCTTGCCCTTGGTGCATTCGGAACTACTCTTACAACTCTGTCGCTGAGTCTGATGGAGTGGAGAGGCGTCACCACTGCGAATGTCTTTATTGCCAATTTTTTCTTTATTGCGGCATTCGGTTTGGTGGTTACTGCTCAATGGGAATTGTCTATTGGTAACGGATTTGCTTATACTGTATTCAGTGCTTTCGGTGAGTGAACCTATGACTCTGCCCTGGTAGAGATGAGCAGCAATTGATGGATGTTTCAGGCTTGTTCTACGCCGGCTATGGTGCGATCTTGACGCCTGCGTTTGGTGTCGCCCAAGCCTATGGCGGCGACAGTACCGCGGAATATAACAATGCGGTCGGGTTCTTTATGATATTGTGGACGGTCTTCGTTTTCACATTCTTGATAGCGTCGCTTCCGAGCAACCTTGCGTATATCCTGGTCTTTTTGTTTGTTGATCTTGGTTTTCTTACTGTTGCGGCGAGTTACTTTGCTTTAGCTGATGGCAAATCGGCTTCTGCGACTGCTCTGAAAAAGTCTGGAGGTGTGTTTTGTTTCCTGGCAGGATTGGTGGGCTGGTATATTGTTTTCCATTTGCTGTTGAAGGAGTCTCTGCTTGAGCTACCCCTTGGCGATACCTCACGGCTTTTTGGAAAGAAGAAGAAAGCAAATTGAATTGGGAGTTAGAGCTTATACTGAGTGTGAGCTATACTACGGTTAATGTATGGATACACGTATATGTCCGATGCTAAATCGTATAATATGCGTTGACAATATTAATCTATAAAGTTATCTAGACGGAGTGTTCCAACTTACTGTAGAAGTAAAGAGTGCATAAAATGATACGAGACCAGGGAGAGTGAGACAAAGTGCAGATCAGAAGATCTTAAGGTTAATGAATAGACTATCACAATTCCATCCTAAGAAATAAGCTATTATAATCCAGTGGCTGATCTTAGAAATGATAACGACATGTGCTCCCAGGTTGACGAAAAGCGCTCAGATCTAATTTTTGGGCGTGCATGTTCATTGCGTGATAATCCTGGAGTAGCATGTAATGAATTACTCGCCCGAGAGATGAGCATTATAGATATATTGTTTGCTTTCCCTATAGATGGAAGAAACCAATCGATTTTAATATTCTAAATTCCAACTTCAACTATGGCCCCAGTTCCCGAGACAGACCCTGCTGTCTATGCGCAGTATCAGACCAAATGGTCCGAGCTTCCAAGCACCGAAGATGCGTGGCTGGCTAGAGCCCAGGAGGTCGCCAAGGTGCTGGCCCAGGACGCTGCTCTGAGAGACCAGGAGAACAGGTCGCCGCGCGCTGAAGTTGCCTTGCTCAAATATTCCGGCCTACTGAAACTTCTCGGTCCTAAGAAGTATGGCGGTGGCGAACAGCCCTGGAGTGTTGGATATAAGGCTATTAGAGAGGTTGCAAAGGCCGATGGGTAAGAATTCTCTGTCTTACTATAGTCCTACGTTAATCTAACAAGGAACTAGATCTATCGGCATGCTGCTTGGTTACCACCTCCTCTGGTCTACCACCGCAAATGTGGTCGGCACACCTGAACAAGCCGATCGAACCCATCAGTTGATCATTACAAACAACTACTTTGTAGGTGGTGCAGTGAACCCCCGCGACAGTGATTTGAAGATTACGGCGGATGGAGACAACATTGTTTTCAGCGGAAACAAGTTCTTCAACACTGGTGGTGTTGTGTCTGACCTGACAGTCCTTGAGGGTGTTCTGGACGGCACTCAGGATCATATATTTGCCCTGGTCAAGACCCAACAGCATGGCATTCAGTTTGCGCACAACTGGCACAATATCGGGTTGCGGCTTACCGAGTCTGGGGGCGTCAAGATCGACAATGTCCGGGCACCGTGGACAGACGCATTAGGATGGGATGCATCGACCAAGCAGCCGCGTGAAGATACCTTGAAGATTGCATTTGCGACCTTACTTCTGCCAACGTAAGTATTCTTATATGCCCTACTCGCTGTCCCAATACTGAAGTGCTTTCCAGCATTCAACTCGTCTTCAGCAACTTCTACCTCGGCATTGCTCTCGGCTCATTGGATTTCGCCTCGAAGTATACCACAACCGCAACACGCGCTTGGCCCTTCGGAGGTGACAACAAGGAATCGGCAACAGACGAGTTCTACATCCTGGAACGATATGGCAACTTCTTCGCACACCTACGTGCAGCAGAAGCCCTCGCAGATCAAGCCGGTAATCAGATCTCGGGATTGTATGCTCGTTATTCATCTGATAAGGCTGCTCTCACACCTCGCGAACGTGGGGAAGTTGCCGAGTGGGTGGCCAGTGTCAAGATTGTCACCACTGACGTTGGACTGCGGGTCACTTCCGGGGTCTTTGAGGTCACTGGGGCTCGAGCCACTGCATCGAAGGTCGGCTTGGATCGATTCTGGAGAGATATCAGGGTCCATACCCTTCATGACCCAGTGGCTTATAAGAACCGGGAAGTGGGGCGATATGCGCTGTTGAATGAAGTGCCGGAGCCCAGTTGGTATACCTAGATATTAGGATGAGGTATAAGGACGCAATGCAATGAATTATGTGTAAAAGAAAGAATGAAGATGTAGTGTTAGCTTGGCAGTGTACGGAGCATATAGTAGTAAAAGTGGCGGCGATACGAGCGGGCCGATACCGAGAAAAATTTCCCCTCCATTTTCTGTGGGAACGGCGCTTGACATTTGACAGGCCTTTTTTTCTCCAGGATCGTCTCTATACTTTTCTCTCCTACACACCTCAAGTCCTGTCCTGTTCAACCGCCATCATGACGCAAAAGGTCTACGTTACTTATAACCAGGTATGATCCCATATGGAATGGACCGTTTCTTCTTTCGCACAAGGACAGGGAATTTACTTTCCCTGCGACAGCGCAGACTGTCCTATCACAGCCTGCAAGACTTTTTGAGGCTAAAAATGCTAACAAACCACCCTAGGTCCACAAGCTCTGCCAGACCTCGGCGGACCAAATTCTCAAGGACTTCCACCCCAACCTTATGATCGCCATCGGCGGCGGTGGTTACGTTCCTGCTCGTATTCTCCGGTATGCAACACTGCACTACACCCGCAGTCTGCAGTCTGCGAAATCCACATATGCACGCCATATCACAGTTGCGACTGCCAGACCACAAGTCCAAGTATACTAACGTCCACTCTAATACAGATCCTTCCTCAAGCGCACCGGCGACCCCAACATCCCCATCCAGGCCATCGGTCTCTCCCTCTACGAGGATCTCGGCCGCGGCGATGCCGAGGAGGTCCCTGGTACCAAGGTCACCCGCACCCAATGGCTTGACATGAGCTCTCTAGAGATGGCCAACTTGATTGGCAAGAACATTCTGATTGTCGACGAGGTTGATGATACCCGTACAACCCTTGAGTACGCTGTTCGCGAGCTCCAGAAGGATGTGGAGATTGCTCAGAAGCAGCTTGGTCGTGAGGGCGAGAAGACCAACTTTTTCGTCTTTGTTCTGCACGTATGTGTTTCCCACCTCCCCCACCCCCTTCCTTCTCTTTCTCTCCTCTCGAGAGAGTGTCGGGTTGATATTGGTGCTGACAATTGGAATAGAACAAGAACAAGGAGAAGAAGGGTGTGCTGCCCGCTGATATGATGGAGGGTGGTCGTTACCACGCTTCCGTTACCACCGATGATGTCTGGATCTGCTACCCCTGGGAGGCTAAGTATGTTCCTCAGACTCAGATCCTTTCTGCTTGATTGAGACTAACATGGTTGCAGGGACATTGATGAGCACGATGCTCTGGCCAAGGAGAACCCTCTTATCTAAACAGACGAGGGCATTTGCATATAGCATTCTGGTTTGCGCGGCGCTCTAAAAGCCTGCATTGGCGGCCATTTTGGTCGTCGATTTTGCTTTCCATGCTCAAGGTTCAAGTGCACAACCCTGAGCATGTACTTTTTACGATATCCTTGATGAATTTATAGAAAAGTTCCTTTTTTTTTTTGGCACATCGGCAGATTGCCCCGGAAGATTCCCTAATTGAACTGCACTTCCATACTCCAAACAACCCGAGCATACTCTTTATAGCCATCGAGAGACTTGTCGTAATCACTCGGAGGACAACCCTGGTGGCCCGCCTGGGGTTTAGGAAACACATTCCTCGCGAACCAATTGAATTGTAGACGGGTATCAAGAGAACATTGCATTGATAGCGAAACAAAAGCTGGAGCATAGCGTATTATATCGGATTCGGGCCGCGCCTCTTAAACGCCGCGTAGACAACTTCCGCGTCCAAGCACCAATCCACAGCCAGAACTCTCCTAGAACTCCCCAGACCCTATTTGAGGGTAGGTTAGGTTATCTGGCTACCAAGCTAACCTGTGCACATAGACACAGGAATTGCGCATTTAATCGACCTCAACCTTGCCCTGGCGCAGCTCAATCTTGGCCTGCTCGATCTCCTTCTGTAGCTCGGCGTGTGCCTCGGGGACATCGTTAAACGTGAAGATCGCAATGCCCAGACGACCGAGGAGGTAGCATCCGAAAACGATGACGGCGTAGAAGGGGAGCTGGTTGGAAGTATGGATGTTAGCTTTGGTTTCATTGACAATGTGTATTTCACGACTGCGGCGGGCTCGAGGGGTTGACGGAGCGGGCGACATACAACTGGGATGACTTCAGTCTGTACGGTCTCATTCAGAGGGACGAGGCCCAGGTAAAGGACGAGGTAGAGCTGATCAATTGTTAGTAAGGTGCAGATGGTACTTGGTTTCTCCTGGGAGGGACTTGGAGCGTACGGAGGAGACAAGGAGGAGGACGGAGAGGGTTTGAATAGCGCGCGTCATGGTGGGTAGGTTTGAGATGTTAGATTCACAAAGGAGAGAAGGTTGGTCAAGTGTGAAGAGACGAAATGGTTAGGCAAAATGAGGGACTTGGAGATGTTGTATGCGGCAGAGGCCAGCTTGGGGGTTCTTGGCGCCCGGATCAGGTCACTGGGTCTACAGTCTACAGTCGGAGCTGGGCAACTATAGGGCTAATTGATGACTACATGATAGTTGGAACTGCAGTTTAATCCATTCTAGTTCTTTGTCTTCATTAATATCTCTTTAATATAGAGAAACAGCGAGAAGGTGCATGTATACCTTCTCCGCCTAACCTAAATGGTGTTGATGCCTGAATCCCTCAGGCAGCACCCCCCGTCCACCAAGCTAAACGCTAAACATTTGTGATATTCCTCCCATAAGTGCTTCCACTTCTGGTCATTGTTGCCTGCCTTCGTCTAGTGGATCACTGCTATCCATAGCCCCAAGCGGAAACCAGGCCGCCCTCTAGGCTCCATCTACAATTTGAGAGACCGTTTCCAGTTCGGGTAAGGAACTCTCATCTGGAGTCCACACAGACCCCTTCTGGTCATACAATTCTCTGGAGGCAACTATCGGTTCTCCATTTGGCAAGATGTCTTCCCAAGCTGGTATATCTACCGCTCAATCCGGCCATGGAGCTGCCAGCCAGTCAGTTTCAAAAAAGGGAGATTGGGACCTACCTCCCGTCAAAGATATCCTCTCGGATCTATCTGGATTCTCTTCTTCTCTACCAGCACGAGGCTCTGAAGCCGTTGACTCGGAAGAACAACAAGGGATGTTTCGTGCTTTGCGGGACATCATCGAAAAGGCCCAAGAGAGCGATGAAGCTGGAAACAACTTCGATCTCAAGGAGCTCCATGCCTCCCTTGAAGAGTCAGATGCTACCACAAGAAGAGGACGCCGAGATGCAGAGACTTTACAGAGTGTGATAGACACGCTGAACAAGCTGTGGACCTGTAACTCGGAGTACTTGGTTCAAGCTACTGAGATCATTGCGAATGGGAGCAGAGATCGTGAGTCAATGTGATGTATGTGTCGACTAATTGACTTGCTAATTTCAATTCAGCATTATGGCGTGCTCCATTTGGGCAGTCAGGTATCTTGAAATTCTTTTTGGATGTGGTCTCCTTGAAAGATGGGGTCGATACCAGCTTGCTACTTCATTCTTTACGAGTTATCGGCAACTCCTGTGCCGATACGGGTAGGCTGCCGTTTGTTCCTCTTATTTATTCATAAGCTGATGTCTATTCAGATGAGAACAGAGATATTGTCGTCAAGGGAAACTACACCCTTGCTATCATCCGATACTTCCTTGATCCACAGTTGGTTTTCATTGCCATTCCGGTGATTTACAACATCTGCATGGATTATGGTGTGTCTCAGGAGCATTAGTTGGTAATACATTTCTTGCTGACATGGTTTTAGAACCCGCACATACTCAGATTGCTACTAATCGGACTGCCTATATATTGTTGAAGTTGATCAAAGACGGAGAGGTCGAGGGTAACGAGGCTCTGCTCAACTTTTCCTACGACTTGATTGAACTGGCCTCAGAACAAGGTACGATTTGCTCCAGAATTTAGTACATTGAGCCCGGATCTGACATGATGCATTTACAGCCGAGGGCATTGAGAAATCACCTGATGGCACCATCTTGCTGCTGATGGAGCTTGCCCTCGATGAGACTCTTGAATTTTCGCACTTCTCATCCTTGGTCACTTCTCTTACCACTTACTTAGAAAAAGAAAAGTTCCAGGCTGTTTGTGTATCAAACGGCATGGTAGAGGGCGTACTCGACGTCTTGCGTCGTTCGTTCTCAATTGAGTTCGATCAATCCTCTGCCGAAGATGTCAAGGCTATCGCCCAGCTTCGGCTTAAGATCAACCAAGCCTTGGCTGAGGTATCTGCGTCCCCGTTGTTCGCTCAGCATTATCCCCTCGACTCCTCTATTTCACAGTTGTTGAAGTCTTGGGTGGTTGCAGATGAAGACCAGCTTCAGATCTGTGCCTGTGTCATACTTGGCAATCTGGCTCGGTCTGACGAGGTCTGCCAGGTGATGGTCCGAGATCTGAAGATTCATGAAGAGTTGATCTTCGTCTTGAATGGCGAATCTCGGGGTGCAGTATTGCACTCTTCCCTTGGCTTCCTAAAGAATCTGGCAATCGCTGGTGATAACAGAGTCATTCTTGGAGAAGCTGGTATCATTCCTGCCGTTTCGCGGTTATGGGCATATGAATCTGTTCCGCAGGTTCAATTCTCTGCCGCGAGCATTGCGCGCCAAGTGATCATTTCTTCAATTGATAACATCTCACACCTTCTTGCTCCTCTATCACAAGACCCCGACTCTCCGGCTAATCAGCGGACATATCTCTCTTTGCTATTGTCTCTTTTCGAGAAGTCAGATTCTACGCCAATCAAGACCGAGATTGGACGTACGGTTGCTTCGATTTGCCGTACTCTTAGCCCCAAAGCTCGTGATGGAGATGAACAAGCAAACACTTTGCTCGATAAGCTGTTTACTCTGCATGATGGTCTTGCCCTACCATTGGGTGCTATGATCACACAGGCTCAATGGCCTGTTGTCCGCAGTGAGGGCTGGTTTGCTCTTGCGTTGATGGCGACGAATAAGCTTGGGTGTGCCGCGGTTGTGGACTGCTTGCACAAGACTGAGGTCACCGAATTGCTCAAGACGACGCTGGGCGCAAAGACTTCCCGTCAAGATGGCACCGAGGAAGAAACCGACAAATCTCAAGAGAGCAAGGACCGAGACAACGCATATATTCTTGTGAAAGAGCTGCTGCAGAATGAGGTGAGTTTGGTGTCCAAAAATGATGATAAGCATATACTAATTGGATAATAGGCCGGTGCACTCCCTGTCGGATATAGAGATATGCTACGGGATTTGGTGAAAGCTCATACTTTCCAGCTGGGAGCTACTGCGGACGCTTAGTTATGTACTTCAACATGAACTTTCGGATGCACCCTTTGTCACGTTCGTATACCAAGCCAGTATAGATTAAGCAATACTTATAGACGAAGACCCAAGAAAGAGTCTTTCTTCGGCTCTTAAGCTGTAATGAAAAAAATATCTTCTCCCTTTTCCTATTGTTCTAAAACTGTAGAAGAAAAAGTGGTTGAAATCGAGGTGTGATAATTAAGAGGCCATTGATAGCCGGACAAAAACATTGGGTATTTGTATATACATCATCTCTTCCCTCCCCGACACACCCTTGACTCGTGCTCGTCAATATTACTCTGTCTGCAAGCACACTCGCTCTTCTGCATATGCTCGATAACGAGCCAGAAGATCCGTAGCATCCAAACCAGCCGCACCTTGACGGGAAGAATAATGCGAAACGAGACCCTTGCCATCAATTATGACATGCGGGCGATTTCCATCCGGTTTCTTTGGATGAGAAGTTGTTGTCTTGCTGTTGTGGCGGAACATATGGTGCACAGCCACCGCATCATTGCCCCAGAAGCATCCAAAGTTTTGGCTGATGGGCTCAGTGGGATCGACCCAGATCGGGAACTTGTAACGTCCCAAGTCATTGTCTTCGAGGTGGTACAAGAACGAATAGTGCTGCTGTGCACCGACTGTCCAGTCGTCTAGGGTGGGACCAGTGTCGGTGTATACTGAAGCGGAGATAGGGTCTCGATCAATGCTCTTATCGCTAGGCAGCAACCAGCGGTGGCCTTCGAAAGGCGGTTCAAAGTCTTTGTCGATTCTGAAGCTCAAGGGGCCTTGCCAGTGTGGGAGACTTGAAGCTCGCCAATCTTGATGCAGTTCAGAGTTTGATCGGGATGGTTGGTCGACGTGGTATAGCTCTGGGAGATATGGAAGTGCAATACCCGGATGACTGTGAAGTGATGCGAGAGCTGCCTCGTTCACGACATTGGCTGACACCATAATGGAGCTGGGATTATTAAGTTTCGTGTTGACAATTGTTGGAATGGTGTGATCTTCCAGGAACACGGTGTCGCCGTCAATTCGGATGTACATCACATTGTTCATTACAGACTTCCACTCCATGTCCTGGCCGGCTGGAGCAATAGCATATTCGGGTGTTTGATTGACGATTGAATACAGCCATTCCATGCTAAGGGCGTCATTCGCCTGCGGCACAAAGACAACCTGGTCAAGGAATCCATCATTATGAACCAAATTTTTCTGGGATATGTTAGATAAAACCATAATAGAGATGCAAAGTGACTTACCTGCAGATAGCATTCCAGAATTGATGTAGGCTCACGGTTAGTGAAAGGAACCAGAGCGACAATCTTGAAGCCCTGGGGCTTGGAGTAATGGTTCGATCCCTGCGAGAATGCGAAGAACGGAGAGACCTCCTTTCGGAACAGCACTGAAGTGACATCGAACGGTAAGATCCCCGGATTGAAGTAGGTTAGCACCGTCAAGATGATGCACATATAACCCAAAAAGCTCCACAGGAAGACCAAGACCCAGTCGCGCCAGTTGGCAGGCTTCTCCTCTTTGTTGGCCTCGACATCGCGGAGGTTGCGAGTGTGACGCATAATTAACCGTTCCCGCGCCACCTTACAGGTGCTTTGCTAGCCGAGAAAGTTGGACAACCCATTGTGAGACTCTGGGGTATCAGGGCCCATTTAATGGCGGCCAAGACTGTCTTTCCGGTCGTTTGAATAAAGCTTTGTGATCCGTTTTCGGGAGCTTATCACCCTCAGTCATTGATCGAGTCCGCTGTCAACCCAAGATCGACCATCTCAGCTCTTTGTTCTTGACAAAGCAGTTAGGATCAACCGTGTACTGCCGGATCGGGCAATGGTTGACGGCGGCAAGCGGACAAAGGGTGAAGAATGTGGCTGTGGAATGTGAAGTGCGACGACTTCGGAAGGGGATCAAGTCGAGATTGAGGGCATAATTACTTGATCCAATGCATCTGTGAAGTATGCACATCTCTGTCTCTGTGGTGCTAGTCAATGCTTATGTCCATCTCTGTGGGTCAGGATGAAGTACTCAAAGTGGACCTTGATTGTTTGAGAAATACAAGTCATATTGGATTAAATTGATTTAGATTCAAGTATTCCAGCTTCAGAGGAGTGAGCGACGTAGTCCTCTGGTATAAAGTGTAGACAAGTTTAGATGTGATGTTCTTGTTCCTCGGATATGACGTCGCCAGCACGTGTTTATGCACATCCGAGCTCACTTCACACTCTCTACACTCTACTCTACATTGCAGTATACACTCTGTTCCATGTTAACATATCTCTACATGGAATCATGAGGACGGCCGTCCTATTCGGCCGTTTCTGTCTCAAGCGCGGTCTTCCGCGTCTCCCTCGACACCATTTCGGTCGCCCGTCATGGCCTCGGCAATTGCCCAAGGGCACCTCGCGCCGGGGTCCCATCATAGGAGGGCTGTTTATGACTGCCCTGGCTCCAGTCGCATTCTTGAAACTAGCAGAGGATAATGATGGTCAAGGCAAGACCGCTGAGATGCAGATGCTGGAGGCCTCGCGCGAAGAGGTTCGGAAGACGGTTTCGCCTGACGCGCAAGGTCTCTCCAAGCTCTGCCAGACAATATGGGTCTACTTCTACTACTACGTCTATGACCCTATCGCCACAGGGTTCCGGTTTATGCACCTCGCCATCATTTTCATTCCGGTCGTCGCCGCGGTGCCGGCCATTTGGATTGGACGAAAAGTCCAGGATCACGACAGTGCGCGGACTGGCACCCTGTGGTGGTATCGCTTCTTGGTGAAGGCTATGGAGCGGGCTGGGCCTGCATTTATCAAGGTAAGCTCTCCTGCCTGGCAAGCCGTTTACTGTGTACTAACCTGAACAGCTCGGGCAATGGGCCGCATCGCGAACCGATATCTTCCCTCCTGAAATGTGCAACATAATGTCGTCTCTACACTCGAACGCGCCCGCTCACTCACTTTGGCAAACGAAACGAATTATTTGCAGGGCATTCAATGGACTGCCGTTCGAGGATATCTTTGAAGAATTCCAGGAGGAACCTCTCGGGGTCGGCGCGATTGCGCAGGTCTACAAAGCGAAGTTGAAGCCGAGCTTGGCTGCTTCTAGTGAGCAAGAACTGGGCATTGAACCGGAAACGCTGGGCGCGAAGGTTCGAAAGAATGTCGACGTACTGGTCAAAAGTTCCCCGCAGCGAGTGCCATCCTCGTATGTGGCGATCAAGGTTCTGCATCCCCGGGTTGAGCAGATGATCCGCAGAGACTTGAAGATTATGTCGTTCTTCGCCTCGATGATCAATGCTATCCCAACAATGCACTGGCTATCCTTCCCCGACGAGGTCCAACAGTTCGGGGAAATGATGAAGCTCCAGTTGGATCTCCGGATCGAGGCTACCAACCTGGTTATGTTCCGTCAGAAATTCATGTCTCGTACCACTGCCTGGTTCCCGTATCCGTATCTAGATTACACCACCCGCGAGGTACTGGTCGAGGAGTTCGCGCAGGGTATCCCATTGGCCACCTTCTTGGATATCGGAGGAGGTGTGTACCAGCACGATATTGCCAACGAAGGCCTAGATGCTTTCTTGCATATGCTTCTCATTGACAATTTCATTCATGCGGACCTCCACCCGGGAAACATTATGGTTCGGTTTTACAAACCTAGCGAGCTTGACCTTTCCCTCCGCAAACATTCCCGTGCATTTGATGCCCCGACACGGGCTGAAGTTGACGTGACGGAAGCAGTCCTCAGACGTTTACGCCCACACTCTCATAACCGCGATGATTGGAACGCTGCTCTTTCCCAGCTCAATGACGAGGGGTATCGACCGCAGCTTATTTTTATTGACACAGGTCTCGTCACTCAATTGAATGACCTCAACCGACGGAATTTCCTAGATCTGTTCCGGGCTATTGCTGAGTTTGACGGCTACCGGGCTGGTCAGCTCATGGTCGAGCGATGTCGGACGCCCGCAGAGGTACTCGACCCAGAAGTATTTGCACTGAAAATGCAGCATCTAGTTCTGAGCATCAAGTCAAGAACGTTTGCTCTAGGAAATGTCAAGATCGGCGACGTTCTAAGTGAAGTATTGACTATGGTCCGCGGTCACCATGTGCGGTTTGAAGGAGATTTTGTAAACGTTGTTATTTCTTGTCTTCTTCTTGAAGGTATTGGACGCAGCCTCAACCCCGACCTAGATCTGTTTAAGAGGTGAGTGCTTCCCCCGTGAGGTTTCAGTCTGCCTCTTGTGGATTGTAGTGACTGACATTTCTCTAGTGCGCTTCCCATTTTACGACAGCTGGGATCTGGCAGTACATTCTTGCAGACTGTACGCTCAGGTGACACCTCGATGCTTCGAGTTTGGGTTGGCCTAGAAGCTCGTGGGTTGCTGCAGGCTAGCATTGAGAGTGTAGAACACTGCGTCAAGTACGACCAACTGTCGCCTAATATATGAGCCCCTTCACCCATTTTGTACTATAGACATGTTCCTTCTTCACAGTTGATATGAGTGATTAGATGAAATTACACGAATTCACCAGAGACATATGTTTAGTTTGTATCTAACGTTGGAAAATAAGCTAGTAGATGGATCAATAATATAAACATCTAACTCTGGTCAAATTAATGCGAAGATCATTATCATGCGTGTGCTCACATAGCCTAGCAAGACGAAGCAAGGTTGTATAAGACAAGAGGGAAGAAAAAGAACATAATACAAGCATAAGCGCCGAAGATGAATCATGGAACGCCTGCGCCATGTCTTCAAAAGTGTACAAAGTAGAGTGGAGAAGTAGTCAGCCTGATCAACGGTAATTTCAGTGTTGACGCGAAGCCTGTGCAGCCTGTTCACGGACAGAGGCGCCGCTAGCCCTCCACCAGACATCACCGCCCCATCGCATTAGTCGTTCAACAGCGGCTGTGGGCGAGTCCAATGCGGGACGGATGTCGAGGTAGAAGACGGGCTCTCCGGTGGGTTCGGGCTCGCCGGAGTAGTAGTCGATCACGTACCGAACTTCCTTGGGGCCAGCAGGAGTTTGGCGGATGACATACCAGTCGTGACGGTCGAATGGGGGTTTTGTCCTGTTGAGATTGAAGTCAGTCTCTGCCTCATGAATTTGCATGGATATTTGAATCGCTTACTCAAATTTGCTTGGGTATGCCCAACCAAGGGCCTGGAAGATCTGTGCCTTGGGAGTCAATTCTTTCGGCCGTCCCTGGAATCGGAGCAGACGAGGCTCGGAAGACTGATCGATTTTACCAGTCATTTCATCGTGGTACAGGTCGAAGCTCAGGTTTTCCTCGCCGCGTCGGCACTTTTCCCATCCAGCCATGAGACCCTTGGCAAACACGCGCTCCCATCCGACGATCTCGTTCCAGGCGCCTTCATTCAGGAAGTTGTGAACCGCAACCATCGACTCGACGGCATCCTGGGGAGTGTCGGTATGTCCTTTGCGCAGCATCGCATTGTACATTTGTTGGGGAGACGGGTACTCCCAGTTCCCTTCCGCGTCACCCCTAGGAATAGAAGAGGGCTCACGGTCAACAGGGAGGTCGACAGTCTGGTTCTCAGCGCGCTCTTGGGAGATGGACGCGAACATATAGTTCATAGGGTTCAGTCGCGACAAGGTAGAGGGCTTGGCCGGGGCCGGCGCGGGTGGCTGCGGCGTTTGCGCGGAGGACGATTTCGGTGGTGTATAGAATGGCGAGTCGGCGGATTTCATCGGGCAGGCATCGGGAAGTTCAGCGCGCACTGGCGCTGCTCCAGACTCGTGCATCGGGCATCCCGGCTGTAGACACGGGTCAGTACATATAATCCAAGTATAGTTTGCGCGGGAGACGGACTGGAGGAGCGGCACCTGAGGATCCGTGTGGAGCCGGTGGTGTAGGAACTTTTGGAGAGTCTGCCCAAAACCAACCCATTTTGTAAAGATTTCTTGTTGTACAGAAGATGAGAAAACGCCTTCACGCGATAAAAGATGGAGCAGGCGGACTTTTTCTGATGACATAAAGTCCCACGTGATAGACCTAGCCCAAAGCGGTGAAGTTTAAACAACATCTCTAGCGCAAAGTTATATATATCGCCTTAGTCTCTAGACAGTGTGTATAACTACGAGCGAATACAATTTCTTTAAGGCAAATCTTACCCTATTACCATAGCTGATATCTAAGCATTTTTGTAATCCACTTTTCAGGCCATTTGAAAGCGATGCTAAAATATCTAACGCATAGTTTTATAGCTAGCTAGAGACTATTAGCAGTATTAAGCACGACAGTACAGCGATGTAAAGTCAATTATATAGCTATTATTGTTTCTAGAGGTCAAGATCGAATAGCCGTGCTCTGCACCTCCCGATGTCTTATGAATTGGGGTTAAAGTTGGTTTATAAGCGATGTAAGAGTGGTATGAATTCGCAATAAGTCTACTATCACATGTTTACAAAAAGTTAATGCCAATCCCCAGCTGCAACCCTTTGCGGCCTTCTTCGCCCTTTCTCAACACCAGAGGCAAGGAGAAGTTGAGCTCGAACCGAGCAACAGGGTGTGCATAGACAATACCAAAGCCAGCTGCAATGCTGGGCAGGCCATTTTGTAATTCAGACAATGTGGAGGCCATAGCATCTTGCACCTCACCATTGGTAGTGGGAGTAGCCTTTTGGGATGTTCGCAGAGGCAACAGACGGCCACCGTTCAGGAAAGCCTGGAAGCGCACAGGCTTCTCAGCACCAAGTCGAGGAAGAGGGAACAGCAAGTTGGCGCTTCCGGCAGCGTAGACATCGCCGCCTAGGGAGTCGGCTCCCTCACGGGGACCGAGACCGCAGAGACGGAATCCACGAACATCGGTAGGCCCCCCGAGGAGGAAGCGGTCATTAACACGGGAAAGCTGGGGGCGAGAGTTGGAGTCTAGTCCGAGGGGGTAGAGAAGACCGGCACGGAACCCAGTGGTAAAGCTGACACCGCTATCACCCTTGATGCCGGGGACGGGGATAGGGATAGCACCCTGAGTTTCAATCTCTGACTTCCAGAAAGAGACATCACCCTTCAGAGGGCCAATGCCGGCAACTTCGTTAAAGGCCTTGGCGTAGTAACCGCGAGATGGCAAGAGGGCATTATCACGCTGGTCATTGACCCAGCTGTGGAAGATGCTACTCTTCACGCTGTCACCCGCATCTGCGCGGACGGTAGGGGAGGCATTCTCTGCAAGGCCAGTAAGCTGTCTCCAGAAACCATTGTAGCCCAACTCGTGACGGTGTCCAGATTTGCTGATCCATCGGAGCTTGCTCCAGCCGCCCTTGACGACCTCTTCGTGGCTAGCCCAAGACTTTTGAGTAGAGCTTGCAATGCCACCAACTTCCAGGCGGAAATCAGGGTCACCCAAGATTGGAGTCTCGAACGCAGCCTGGTAAGCGGACCGCGTGCGAGTACCGAGCGAAGCATTCAAGTTCAGAGTCTCGGCGCCACCGAAGACATTGCGCCAGAGAAGGTTTCCGTACGCTGAGCCCTCGGCATTTCCAAGGTCAGTCCCGGTCTTCAGTAGCACGCGGGACTTCTCCCGGGTGGCCAAGTAGACATCGATGTTGCGCATGCCATTCTGGCTCTGCGACTCATCCAAGTATACGGAAATAGGCTGGTGGAACAGATCTTTGTAATTGTTAGCGAGTATTCCACCAATACCACTTTCTCTTTTTATTTTTGAAGACCCATACCAAACCGACCAAGCTTATCAGCTGTAGCCGACACCTCCCGCAACGCCTCCGACAGTGTATAAGGGCGACCCTTGTTCTCGCTCAAAAGCGGGCTCAGGCTGCGCTCTAGGAAGCTGCGACGAGTGTGAGGAGCACTTGTCACTTGGACCGAGGAGATTGTACAGGGCAATGTCGAGTTTTCGTCGATCTAGATGTCGAATTCACAATCAGCCGGGGGCTCCGCAGGCAAGCAAACGCAGATTGACAGCTATATTCTGCTTCCAGGGGTTGGGAAACACACCAATTCTGCAAGTCTACTCTGTGCTTTTTGGTAAATAGCTTGCATACGCTCATTCACGGCATTTTGTTGCTCTTCCAGCACCTTGGGGTCTGCGCGCTGTTGTAGACGCTCGAAGACCTAAGTAAAGGTCAGTAATGATGAGATGTGGCAAATACAGTCTGTCTATATATACTCACGCTCTCATCTCCGGCAGCAAATGAGGAAGACATTATTGCGCCGAATGGCTAGAACCTCCTCCGGGGAAGCATTTCGGAGTTCGCGTGCCGAATCCGCGAAGATACGGGTGGGTAGGCACGTGACCTAGCGGCAGGGCCGTGCCTTATGCGATGGACCATCACTCTCCAACTCTCTTCTGACATCTTACTTCCTCTTCTGTTATTGCTTTACTCTCGGGTCAGACCTTTTTGTCTTTGTCGTTTTTCACGTTTCTAATATTCTCCTTCGAAGATGGCAACAAAAGCAGCCTTCAAACGGGTAAGTGGCGAGCTGTCGCAGACCTATAGTATCAGCCCAATAATGGTCTAACAAAACTACAGCTCACCCGCGAATATCAAAACATTCAAAAGGAGCCTACACCATTCATCGTCACTCATCCCTCTGAGCAAAACATCCTTGAGTGAGTTGACTTACTCTCCCCGCAGTGCAGTGCAGAAATCTGACTTATCTGATATAGATGGCATTATGTCCTCACCGGACCTCCCGGGACCCCTTATGAGAAGGGACAATACTGGGGCACATTAATATTCCCTCCCGAGTACCCATTCGCGCCTCCCGCCATCCGCATGCACACACCCAGTGGCCGATTCCAGCCTTCCACTCGACTTTGTCTCAGTATCAGCGATTTCCACCCCAAATCCTTCAACCCCGCCTGGGAAGTCTCCACCATTCTCATCGGATTACTCTCTTTCATGACCAGCGAAGAAATGACCACAGGAAGTGTTTCTGCTTCAGAGAGCGAACGGAGAGTGCTTGCAGCGCGATCTCGGTGGTGGAATTCAACCGGAGGTGGCTCTCACATCAGCGCCACCGCTGGTGTCACTCGAACTGCCAAGGGAATCAACAATGTCAAGGCAGGAGACGGTGGTCTAAAGTTCCGCACAGAATGGCCCGAACTGGATCAGGAGAACTGGGCTTGGATGAAAGAGCATCGCATCGACACCAGTACCGGCCAGATCTTACCCGACCCCGATGCGCCCATCAAATGTTCGCCTGATACGAGTGCCCTGCGTAGACGACCTAACGGAAGTGTTCCCGCATTTGGTGGCGTTATGGAAGGAGGGAATGTTGCGCGAGAGGCAGGCCAAGGCTGGGCTCGACAACACCGAGTTTGGATCGGCGTGGCCCTCTTCTTTGGCTATGCCCTGATCTCCCGACTACTGAGTGATATGCGTGCTTGAGAGGCTATAGAATACCTTTTGTCTTTTAGCGGGATTTGCATGGCAAGGAGTTTAGAGAATGCAATGCATGTCTGACATGTTACACCGTTGACCACCAGATTATCCCAGGCGATTTGCGCTGGATTCGGCTTGTGCTCACCCCGCATTGGCAATGTAACTACTTCATTTCTCTTCTAAATCCGCCGTCCCCGACTGCATAGTCTCTATCCACTTCTTTATTGGGTCTGTCCCTGTTTTGCCTCTATTCCTTTGCATTCCGAAGCCGTGGCCGGGATGGACCATCTGCAGCAGTTCACCTTTGGTCCCCGTTTCCAGTCAGGTCAGTGCTTGTGCCAGTTGCAGACTGCAGGGGAGCCCTGGTTCCCAACCTCTGTTCATGAGACGCTTCTTTCAGGGCTTCCTTTGGCTCCCGTTTGTCTATTGTCATGGTTGCACCAAGGGGCTCGCTCCGAGTGGTTCTTGTACTAAATCCCCGTCCAGAGCCCAAAATGAAACCTGCGCCGCTTGATCGGCCTTCTTTTACGTTCATCGATCACGATGATGATCTGACCTCCAAGAGGATCAAAGATGTCAATGCTCGCAAAGCCATCCGCTCTCATGTCATGCGCGACGTGCGCCGGCGTGAGAGGCTTGCGGGATTGAAACGAACCTCCAGACGTGCTCAACATGATGCCCCAAAGGTTGCCGAGGACGAGGACGAGCAAAGATTGGTGGTAAGGGCTCAGTCGCAGTCATCTGCCTACTCTTCAATCCTAGACTCAGACAGTCTCAACTATCCTTTATATCAAAGAGGACGTCCAGCGAGGTGGTCTGCTGGTTATCCTTTGCCACTCCACTCAAATCCAAACCCACCCACCTCATGGTTCCTCGATCCGTTCTCTACCTTACCAGGAACCAGTGAGCTTCCTTTGATGGTTGCCCACTTGGTGTACTACTGTGAGTCGTGCCATCTCGACTTCCTAGAGTTCCGGCATTTCCATCTTTCAAACTCCATGAGCCTCTCAGGAATGGAGCTGACTGCAGGGTGAAGGGAAAACCATATTTGTCCCCATGACATTTCCCAACACGGGCAAAAGTTCAACACAAGAGATGGAGTTAATGGTGCGGTCCTCATTCTCGGATAAGGGCAGCTTCTTTGGGTTAATGAGCATGTGCGCTGCACATCGAGCCGTTCTCGCGAGCCAGCATACGTGTACAATCAACCCAGATAGCCGAAATCAGGCACTCGACCCTGATTATTGTATGATGAGGGCAAAATCTATTGGAGAAATGAATGCGAAGATGCAAGATCCGAATCACAGACTCAGTGACGAGGCATTTGATACTATCATCAACCTTCTAACTGGCGCGGTATGAATTGACACTTGAACGCCATTTTGCCGGCTTTCTAACGATCCACAGCTTATCATCGGCGAGTTTGAAGAAGCTCGTATTCACCTCAAAGGGCTTAAGCGTATGGTTGAGCTGCGAGGTGGAATAACAGATGACAGCATTCGTTCGTCTTCAATGTTGTCTGCTATCATTACGTGCGTGTCTCCACCCTCCTACTACCTCATGCTCACTTTTGGGATCTTAGCACCGACATCAAAGCAGCGTCCGGATTAATGACCAAGCCTGTCTTTCCCTTGACTTGGGATGCCCAGCCCATTCCTTCAGATATCCAGCAGCGCATTATGCCACAAGCTTTGTCCCCTCTCAATAATCTCGGATCGGGATTTTTCACCAATTCCTTTATCAGTCCCTCCTTGCAACGTATTTTATATGTGCTACGGGGTATGGTTTTCTTTAGCATCATGAATCAGATGACACCTGCGGCTATTCAACCCATTGATCAGGACTTTTTCCGAGTCCTTAACTGCGAAGCAGAGCATCAACTGCTCAGCTATATATATACAGATGACTCTCCCAATCCACTGGTGCAGCTTCATCCTATTGAAGCTGTCACTAGAGTGGCTTCAATCTGTTTCCTTAATCATTTTATGATTGTTTCGCCTTCATCCTCTGGCCTGGGCCGAGCCCTTACCAAACATCTCACGACGGCAGTGGAGACTTGCAAACTATCTTTTCTACAGGAGCTACCCAAGGAAAACTTCGGTCTATATACTTGGGCACTCTTCGTCGGAGCTCAGGGCTCTCAAGGCCAGGCTGAACGAGCCTGGTTTGTGGAGCGTCTGGCCCACGTTGCAATGATCTGTGTGTGGCAGTCGTGGGAACAAGTCTCAAAAGTAATGGCCAAATATTTCTTTGTTATGACGTTGGATGGCTTGAGCTGGCGATCTGTCTGGGACGAAGCAATGACTGGGTTTGTGATCCCTGAAGCGGAAGAAATGGAGTGTCTTCTCGAACGAGATGCACCCATTAATTAGCTCTCGATGTGAGCCTCTGTATATTTCTTACAGCAGTGCCAGTCTAGTAATAATACTGAAAACTCACCAAAATGGGAGAAATACTTGTTGAACTATGTACATTTATTAAACTATATATATTGACCACGAACTATTTATATAAGGAAAAGAGGCCAAAAAAAAGCCAGTAGGAGAGAATGAGATTAAAATACAATCACAAAAGAGATGGACTGTTTAGTCCATCTGATGGGTTAGGTTATACTTCAGGCCCGGAGCCGGCGCTTAGTAATCACCATTGAGGCCATTTGGAGCTCCGAAGCTCCAACAATCCAAACCCTCACACTCAAGAACACCACAAGCAAATCCCACGCCAAATCGAATCCCGCGACCTTTCACCACTCTATCCGCCGTCCGTCGCGGCAATGGCCCAATACTACCCCCAACAACAAGGCTACGCCCCCCAAGGCTCCGCACAGAATCTCCAGTTCTTCCCGTCGTCCTACTCCTCAGTCTCCGGCCACACAACCCCATCACAAGCATCCTATGGCGGCGGCTTCGGTAGCGCTCCCAATCCCTCAGCGCAGGCCTACCCCGCCGCTGCTGGTTATGGCGGCTTTGGATCTCCGGCTGCGGGCGTTAGTGGACGGATGGGGGAACAGGGCGGCTTGAGGACGGGTTGGTTGGCTGCGTTTGGGACGGAGGGGTACGATGGCGAGCCGCCATTGCTTGAGGAATTGGGTGTTAACTTCGAGCATATTCGCACGAAGGTTAGTTGTGTCTTTGGTCGTTATTTGGAGGGTGTCCGTTCAGGAGACGTGGGGTGGCTTGTTTACCCCGGGTTTTTTGGTTCGATTGGGTTATGACTTGTCTTGGGATAGGATGGGACTTACACAATTACTTGGAAACAGCTAACAATAATTCTTCGGTATCCAGACTTTGACCGTTCTGAACCCCTTCGCTTCAATCGATAACCATCTCATGGATGACAGCGACCTCTACGGAGCCTTGCTCTACATCGTCCTATACGGAACCTTCCTCCTACTTTCGGGGAAGGTTTTCTACGGATACATCTACGGCGTCGCCGTCTTCGGCACCGTCGCCCTCCACCTCATCCTCAGCCTCATGTCTCCGGCCCTAGACACGGTCCCAGCTGCCAACGCCGCAGACCCTACAAACTACAACCCTCACCACAAGCCCTCCATGTCCAACGCCTCAGCGGTCGGCCACTTCTCTGCTACTTTGACCTTCCCTCGCTCCGCTAGCGTTCTTGGCTACTGCTTCCTTCCGTTGGTGCTTACCAGCCTCATTGGTATTCTCATTCCTATGGATACCCTGTTCGGCTATCTCTTGACGACGGCTGCTGTTGGCTGGTGCACGTACAGTTCGTCGGGTATGTTCTGTTCTGTAGCGCGCATGAGTGGCATGAGGGGCCTGGTGGCGTATCCGTTGGCTTTGTTCTATGTGGTTTTCGGTATTATGGGTATTTTCTCTTCGCGCGGTACGGGTTCGTTGGCTGCTAAAACGGGTGCGGCATGAAACGCAGGTAGATTCGTAGGGGATATATAAATCCTCTCTACCGCCCTATTGCTCTACTGCCCTGCGAAATTAAAGTCTGTAGGTTAGTGGCTGCAAAGTCTAGGATCTAGCTTGGCCCTGACTTTGCTTTTAATCATGAATATTATGAAATTCCAGCTGTTATGTATCATTATGCATTATTAGATCGTCAACTATATCTTCACACCGGTCCTATGCTATGCGGATCTTCCCTAAATGCAAGTGTAAATGAGAGCCGCATGCTGAATGCCCAAAATCATAAGAGTTGACTTGTTGATTTGTCTAGCTTTGCGTTGGAGCCCATTTCGTTAACCATTCTCTTGTCTTCTCCAGATCACCACTTGAAGCTTCGGTTCCTGCAATGCACCATGCCAGGTCATATCCTTTGCCCTCCATTCCGGCGCTTTCGGCGGCAATCAATTCGGCCAGGGTTCGACGATGTTGACTTGTCTCATCGGTGCAGAAATAAAAGGGTGCCGTGTTTGGCACATCGGGCTTGATGTTGAGAGCTTCAACAAGCGGACGCGTCACCTTCATGATATCCGCCACGGCCATGGGGGCTGGAGGACCAGATGCATGTTGCTTCTTCTGCTTCGCCGTTTTGCAGTACTCATTTCGACACCAGGGCTTGCCACACCCAGTCATCATCTGGGACAGGTATTTGCGTTCAATACGGCGCCGCAGAGCTTTGCCTTCTGGGTCGTGGGTGTCCACGTATAAAGGTCCGAAACAGAAATTGCACAGACCCAAAGACTCGTTTCCTGCATTGTTCAATGTACGGCCACAGTTCTGGTTCACGCATACGCGAGGGGTGGGCCGAGATAGGCGCTCTAGTTCGTGATGGCGGAGGTGGGTGTTCATGTCTCGGAGTCGGATGATCTTGTTGCAGAGATGGCATTCGGTAGTGCGTCCTCCATCTACCAGCTCGTGTGGGGTGAGGCCGGAAAGCATAACCTCGGGATCGTGGAAATCAGGGTCAGAGTCGCCTTTCTGGGGCACGAGAAGGTGACAAAATTGGCAGAGAATCAACTTTCCTGGACAGTTGCTAGTGCGGTGCTGGGCAAGACCTGGGAGACCTTCGAGGACCAATTCACAGTCGGGACACTGGTGGTTCTCGTGGAAAATAGTGTCATGTTTTTCTTTGCTCGGGGCATCGTTGCCATGGCCAGAGTCGTGAGGGCAGTGCCAGTGATTCTGCCATTCTGGAGATCGTTTCTGAAACACGGTCTGGCACTGCGCACAGAGGATATTATTGCGTAGACAGAAGTTCTCGTGCAGAAGGAGTGTCCGCTCAGGAACCCATTGCTGGCAGTTCTTGCACTGCACATCGCCGGGCTCGTGAGACTTGTTCTCTTGTTCCGTTGAACCAGAAACATCAGATGGGTTCTCTGTAATTCGGATATGATACTGCGAGGGCGACTGCTGCGGCAACTTGGATGACTCATTGCCCGCAGAATCGGCATGAACTGAAATATAGAGGGCCTCGGCGCCTTCCAAGGCCACATTCGTGGGCCGAAGTTGGAGCTTCTTGGGCAACTGGCTCGAAAAGTCCCCCCAGACATGCATATCTGCCCTCGGGCGACATTGTTGGCGGGGAGCAAAAGGGCTAGCGAAGAGACTCAGGTCTGGATCGTCCGTGGTGAGCTCGATCTGGATGATATCTTCCCGTTTGCAGTCTCGAAGCTCATAATCCACATAGTCCCCAGGCAAGACCTGAGCTGTGACATCCTCTCCGAGACTGAGAATACCCCCAATAGAGCTGCCACTGGTCGTACCCGGCGCGCGAGAGGCCTTTTCCAGCCTCTTCTGCAACGTCTCCCGAGCTTGTTCTTCCGATAATGCCACGATATCAACCTCGAGATCTGTATCCACCACACATATCCCTTCGCCTTCGGGGAACACTTTATCGACCAAGAACCTAAACGACTCGCTCCGCGTACCTTGCACCGTCAGAAGCTCGCCAGTCGTAAGAGTTGTGAAGTTGTCCCGCAGATATCGTTCTAGCAGAGCCTTCCAGTCTTCTGGGTCGTACCCGGCTTCCAGGGGACGCAGACGGACATATGTGCCTTTGGGTAGCTGCTTCGCATGCACAGTGACAGCAGGGCCAGTTCGCGGAGGATTCGCTTCGGTTTCCGGTGACGTAGGGGCCTGTGCCTCTCTATCTATACCTAAGAACTCTTCATCCTTGATATCAAGCGAGTCTCGCAACAGTGCACTTAGTGCGACCTCGCTTTCTTCGGCGGAAAATTCGCGGATGCCGGCGTAGATGAAACGGCCATTCTGGGGATTGACGATTCGGAATGTTAATGGGTGGGGTAGCTGCTGCTGACGTTGCTCAACTTGCTGACGGGCGAACGATTCGGCGGCGAAGGTGTGGTGGTTGAATGGGTCGAATGTCGAAGTATGCGCACGATTATTGCTGGGAACAGCTTGAAGCGGGGCGGCAGCTAGGAGCTGTTCAAGTGCGGATTGCGGCAAGATGATCTTGTCGCCTGGTAATCTAGGGGCGCGATCTGGAGGCGCGACCAGAAGCTGAGACGACCAGACTAGATCCATGATGAATATTTACAAGAAAGGCGGAAGTGGGCATTGATATTGTGAGGCGGAGAGAGATAAGTTGATAAGCAATTCTGGAAGACTCCACGCGTATACTTCGACTTCGACTTCCTATGTTCCACGTCTAACTCTCGGTTTCTAGTGGATTATTAAGAAATTAAATCATATTGAAATATAGAAATATAGAAATATGGAAATATGGAAATATCTGTTTAATAAAAGTCACCTCGCATTCGGTGGCGAGAACTGGTATTACACCAGTCACACTGCAGACAGGTTAGTTGGAGCCCTGGAATTAGGGCTAGAGACACTTACCAGTGTGGACGAGCATCCTTCATTGTGCTGAATACAATAATCGCCCTGGCAGCCTTGGCAAGTGTGTTGGCACTCTAGCTTGCAAGAAGCACACTGTGATGGTCAGAGAAACCAAAGGTCTATCAGATGGAATTAACTTACGGTTGGGCCACACTCCCAGCAATCCTTGCTTACACCTCGCTCTTGCAGCTCGCTGTCATGTTGGTCGGAGCGAAGGGCTGTCTGGTGCGGTGACAGGGTTACTCGGACACGTTGTGGATGTGGCAGACAGTTACCACAGAACCACTTATTGCATCGATGGCACCAGCGGTTGGTGAGGCAGTCTGCACACCGAGCAATGAGAACTGGATGTTCCCCCGGAATTGACTCAGGGCGCTTCGCCGCAGCAACATTTGAAGAGTGCAGCGGTGGGGGACTGAGCATCGGGAATTGAACATCTGGGGCTTGACCCCAGATAGCCGGGCCCTCGGGGGAACTGTGGCACCCGTCACAACCGCGGGGCCCGAGTGCTACGGTGGCCACTGCGGGTCCGAGCAACGGCACCTCCACTGGCGAGTTTTCACCTGTGAATAGATTGGCATCGTGTCTCGGGCCGCGACAGAGGGCGGCGTCGAAGGCGATGATACCCTCGCACTTTTGGAGCACCTGAGCCCAGCCATCCTCAAGGCTATGCTTGAAAAGCTTTCCTGTTGGACTGTACCACTCATTTTGTTGCTGCTCTACTGAGGGTTCCGATGCTTCCTGATCGGAGACTGAGCGAGTTTGGCTGGGGCTTCGTGTTCCCACACGGGAACCCCACCAATCACGATATCGGGGTCGTGCAACTGGTCGCGGAGCTGCATACATTGGCGAGAAATGATAAATTCCCTTGACTCGTGGCGTATCTGCGGGACGTGTATGCCGAACAGCATGTTGAATAACCTGCATGAGCTTACGCTCATTGAGATGCCGACATTCGCGAATGGACAGGATATTCACGTTGAAGCGGTCGGTCAAGAGAATCTCGGCCACGAGATCTGCGGGCACTGAAAGACCATCCAAGATGAGGGTGCGTACATCCCGGAGGATGCCTCTGCGCTCGAGACTGCTGAAGATGCGCTTCAAAGGAGCCGCATAGACCTCATCCTCAGTCTGAGAATCGTTTTCCTCTGGCGTGGTGGTAGGAAGCTCGGCACCCCGGCAGCGGGACAGATCAAGATGTCGGAAGACATAAGGAGTCTGTGTGATGACTGTGTGCAGGCGGCGGGACGTTGAGTCCAATGCCATCAAAGATGATACTGACAGATAAGGAGCCATCCGGTCAAGAATCAAATTGTTGCTCAGCAGATCCTCCAGCGAGGTTGATCGAGGTGGCGGTATAGATTGCACTGATACCCGTTCGACAGGTAGTTCGCGCACCACAGGCTCCAAGCCCAGCTCCTTTCGGGTCAACCGACGAGAGCCATAGAAATCGGGGGCACGGCCAATGAGGTCCTGCCTGTAGGCGGCCATGGCACCGACAGCGACCTCATCGCCTAGGAAGCCGAATGGGGAGGCATTGGGTTGGATCTCCTGGAGAGCGGCTCGGGCTTTGACCAGCTCACTCTCCAAGAGATTGATAGTCGTTTGAAGGACGGCAGGCATAGCTTGGGTTCTCTTGGGGTCAATGGCAAAGGCTATAGAAGACCACAGATCGGACATAGTCCGGTATAAGTTATATACTCCAGGAGAAAAAGGTAAAATAAGAAAGGTGGGGAGAGAATAGGTTAAATGGGAGAGAGTCGGGTAAATATGAGTTGTCAGATTCAAGAAGTAACTTATAACGTGGAGACGGAAGACAAGATCCGGGGAGATATGAGTAAATCGATATTGTCAACTCTTCTATTCCCAACAAGGACTGTCGGTCAGCGGAAGGGCCAAATGCAGCAGGTCCGTGATTCTATAGGTCTATATACACTGCCTAGATGTACCTAGTGGACTATGCTAAACCCTTCTCGAACCTAACTTTAATTGTCTAATGGTCTAAAAGATTGTCCTCTTGGCCTGTAAGGGAGAGGATTGGCATTTGGATGGAATACCAGAAAACGACATATGGCCAAGTGCCTGGTACATACTCCAAGTATGGGGTGACCCTCAGTGGATCTTGTACCCAGGACAGGTTGGTCAGGTACCTCAATATTAGACGTTGGGAGATGATCCACCGGGTCACGCGCATCTCTGGCCGCGTCAGTGTAAGGTGGCAAGTCGTACGAGGGACATGGTTATATTACCCGATATCATAGCCTTATGAGATCTTGCTTCTTTCAGGGTCCAGAACTCAGTCTCTAGAGTCCTTCCTCAACCTTGTACGTGTACGCTACACTCTACTGTACTGTACTTATATTCTCGGCATTCTTCATTCCTCCTCTTGGCATAAAAAAAGGAGTCTGCCAAGACATTAGCGAGGGATCTCGCGGACTGCGATTTCCGCGCCAAGCGAATGCTGGTCCCTGTCTCCCTGAGGATCTACACGGTCCGCAGCATCATTGCCAAGTCCTTCTATCGAGGCTGAGCTACTGTATACACGATTGAGCATAGGCTGATGGGCTGCCAAGTCCTGCGGATGCAGATTGCTTTATCCCTTTCTCCTTTTGATCCCAGGAAAAGCAATTATCCTGGGGCCAATTTTAGGGCGCCCTGGTACATCGTAAGCCCCAATATTGTACTGCCTAAAGATAGTAGTTTCTAGGCAAGTAGACTGCCAAGGACAGTAGTTACACCTCTACTCCGTACACCCGAATGGGATTTAGACACGTCGTCACACAACACACAATGCATTGGGCTTGGGGCGAGAATGATCAGGGTAGGATTAGAACTAGTGATACAATGTCGTCGATCAGATCCACCCCGCTGCGAGGCTTCTCTACTTCCATAGCTTCGATACCGCAACCTCCTTGTCGTCGTGCTTGTTGAGAATCTTGGCAGTGGCCAGATCAAAGTCTTCTTGTGTGACATGCACCCGACGCTCACGCAGTGCATACATTCCTGCCTCGGTGCAGACACCCTTGAGCTCGGCTCCGGAGCACCCGTTCATCTTCTCCGCAATCTTGGTCAAGTTGATACCACGGGTCAGGTTCATCGAGCGGGAGTGGATCCGCAAAATGTCAGCACGAGCTTCGACCCTACATAAATAAGATTAGCATCAGAAAGGGTTGCAAGGGACGGGGGACTGACGATGGTGGGGGGAATTCGATCTTCCTGTCGATGCGCCCAGGCCGAAGCAGGGCCGGATCGAGAATGTCCAGTCGGTTGGTGGCCATGATAATCTTAATGTTCTTCGTTGGCTCGAATCCGTCCAACTGGTTCAACAACTCTAGCATGGTACGCTGAACTTCAGAATCACCGCCTCCTGCTGAGTCTATCCGGCTTGAACCGATGCTGTCGATTTCATCCATGAAGATGATACTAGGTGCGTGCTCTCGTGCCATGACGAACAGCTCACGGACCATTCGGCTACCTTCGCCAATGTACTTCTGCACCAGCTCTGAACCGCTCACTCGGATGAATCGACAGTCGGTGTGGTGAGCGACTGCTCGAGCGAGCAGGGTCTTTCCGGTTCCTGGTGGGCCGTAGAGCAGAACACCCTTTGGCTGTGCGATACCCAACGACTCGAACAACTCGGGGTGCTTGAGACCCAGCTCGATCACTTCCTTGATTTCCTTGATCTGCTGATCCAGACCACCAATCATGTCGTAAGTACTGTCGGGGACCTTCTCAACCATCATGAGAGACACCAGGGGGTCGACCGAGGAAGGCAGCATCTTCTCCAGCTTGTAGGAATCAGACAGAAGGGCGACTCGCTTGCCCACGGTGAGCTTGCTAATATCCACACCATCGGAGATATCCACCACTGCATGTAGACCGTAACGTTAGCATAAGGCGAGTCATCAATGACAATGACATGGAAACCTACCGTATTTCCCCTCCGGGTGTACCTTCACCAGAACCTTCTTGGTGCTCATCACCTTCACCACTTCACCAACGTACGAGCCGGGCTGTTGCAGCAACCCAAGCTCCTCACGCAGTAGACGCACTCTCGAGTTGTAGTCATTGCGCTGGGCTTCTAACCGTCGTAGAACAGCTTGGCCTTGAATAATCTCGAGTTTCATGCCCTCGATCTTATTTCGATAGTAGTTGTCCAAAGCCATGATGGCGAACGGGGTGATGACGCTATGGAGGCTCAAGGGCTTGCCCGTCTTTCACGGAGCGAATGCAGCAAAAGAAAAGACCTTTCGTTATCTGTCCAAAAGAGAGTATATCGAGGAAGCGTCTGGGGGATATGGTTCGGGTCGGAGACGAAGAAGTTGAAGCTGGGGTTTGGAGAGCTGAGCAGTCCAGCTGTACGTGAAGCTGCGCCTGTTCGCCGCGGCTGACTAAGACAAAACTCTCCTCAAAATTCAGGCGCCAACATGCAAACTACACCACCTAGGCAAACAAGACAAACAAGTGCCTCGATCCACACGGTTGAGAGCTTCCTCGTAGGCTTAGTCACCCGTCAGTTTGATTGGGCGCAGAGCTGCCTGATGATCGGGTCATCAGCAGGAGAACGTACAAAGCGCAAGAAGGCAACGGTCAAAGAGCCATTCTCCTCTTCTTATTACTCTCGGGCTCTGTCCTACCTGGCCCTGACCCTGTATGCATCTCAGCTAATGGAACTTTCATCTTTCGAGTTTTGTGTTTCGATTAGATCTACTTGAACGATGTCACTGGAGTTTCCAAGTGTTTAGTCGTTTTTCTACCTGCTTTTGACACCGCATCTTTTGTGTTTTTGAATCTTTGTTTGTTTGTTGCCTGTGGTCTTGCCAAATCACTTGGCAATGGCTGATAAAGGGAACACTGACTCTTCCGAGTCAACGCGACCATCTGCAGCGATGGGAAGTGAGAACCCGACACCCAGGGCGGTTCCTCCAGTGAGATCATCTGCACCCGGTCGGAGAACATACGGTGCGTTCGTCCTGGTGTAACCTGTGGCCATGACTTGCGCTGATCCAGATTTGCAGGTACACTCGATTCGTCTTCACTTGAAGCGACAAATCCAGAGGCGCGTCTCGATGACGGTCAAGAAGAAACGATGAGTCGCGTATTTACAAACCAATCGTCTACCGACCCCGATAGACCTCGCAAACCATCGGTCTCGCGCCGCATGTCTTCCAAGCGTCAAATCCCCCACAAGGGGCAGGAGTTCTCGACGGACGATGATGTCTCCGAGGTCCACCAATACATGGCCATGAAGGGTCCCAATACGCAAACATCCCCCAGAATACGACCCTTGCGAACGCAAAGCTCAACCCTCAGGAGACGTCCCAGTGCTCGGCCCAGTCCCCTTGCGAGAGGGGAGTCAGAGAGTTACAATCCAGACGACAGCGGGTTGCCAGATCCCGGGTTGGATGTCGACGAAGAAATCCCTTCCTTTAACCAGGCTGATGAGAATAGTGGGATGGATAGTGATGATGATGAGGTCACCGAAACGTTGGAAGATGATGAAGACGCTGCCAGTGACGCGGAGAGCTTCACCCTCAAAGATCGTCAGCAAGCCATCAACGAAACTCACCCATTTGGTATCAGGATCTGGAAGCCTGCGTTGTATAAAAAGAGTCGCTCTGTAGAGAAGACCGCCGAGGGAGATATTCACTCTTCACCAGGCGGCCGTGTCAGTCCAATGCTATTCTTGACTAACTTGTTGTGGTCTTTGTTCTTTGGATGGTGGCTTGCCCTCATTTCTCTTCTGGCTGCGGTTGCATGCTTTTTCTTTGCCTACTCATCGAGTGCTATGGCATATGGAAGAGTATTTGCGGGTCTTTCACGATATCTGCTCTACCCCTTTGGGTCGTTTGTCCTTCTAGAGACCGACGAGCATTATGCCGAAGAGGACGAAGGCGAGGGACGCAGTATCAGCGAATATGAGCAATGGCAGAATGGCGATCTAGAACATGGCCGTCTGTTCTTTGGGCCTCGCAGGGATCGATCACTCGTCGGCAGACGAAGGAACAGCGTCGATTCAGCCGGTGAGCAGGACAGTCTGCTCGGACGACCTCAACGTGGACAGCATGATGACTTTCAGTTGGCCCACTCTAAACGTCGCCTTTTCGGGCGTGGCGAATGGACCTTGGGTCGGGTCGTGTTCTTCGTGTTCTTCTATTTCCTCGTCGGACCACTGATGCTTCTGGTGTCGCTCACCTGCTGGCTGCTGGTTTTCTGGATTCCCATGGGGCGCATCACGATCACTCTAGTGAGCCATCTACGCAGGCACCCTTTGGCGCTGTCCTTCCATTCCGATACCACCTATGCTAGATCGAGCACTACTTCCTCGTCTTCAATCCTGCTCTGCACCTACCGAGCAGCGGGAACCAGGTACTGGAAGTACACTGTTGATGGAACGAACATCTTCCTGATCAACTTGCTTGGTGTGGTCGTCTTTGTAATCGTCGACTATTTCTTCCTTGGGAAATTCTTGGGCCTGGAGAACTGGATCACGCATCCGGGGCTAATATTCACTCTGGCTCTGCTTTCCATCATCCCTCTGGCCTACTTCATTGGGCAAGCCGTCGCCTCGATTTCTGCACAGTCTTCGATGGGCCTGGGTGCTGCCATCAACGCTTTTTTCTCCACTGTTGTAGAAGTGTATCTGTATTGTGTTGCCTTGACTGAAGGTAAAGCTCAGCTTGTTGAGGGAAGCATTATCGGCAGTATTTTTGCTGGTATTTTGTTCCTTCCTGGCTTGTCCATGTGCTTCGGTGCGATCAAGCGCAAGACTCAACGGTTCAATGTGAAATCAGCCGGTGTCACCTCGACAATGCTGTTGTTTGCGGTGATCGCTGCATTTGGGCCCACCCTCTTCTATCAGGTTTATGGCAGTGTGGGTTCCGATTTCCCTTCTTCAAACGAGAATCAAACTAACAGTGTATAGCACGAACTAAATTGCCACTCGTGCGTCAACTCCATCGATTCCGAGAGCCGGGATTGTCGACGCTGTTATTTCTCTCAGACGGCGGCTATTAACGACCAGTTCTTCCAAAAGGCTGTGCAACCATATGCGTGGTTCGCCGCTGTCTTCCTATTCCTGTCATACATCATCGGTTTATGGTTTACTCTGAGAACCCATGCTGCTCTTATCTGGGCAACTGAAATGGAAGAGAAGAAGAATGCTCAGGCCACTCAAGAGTCATCCTTCTATGAGCCAAGGCACCTCTTATTCCCGAGTGGTCAACCCGAAGCTTCCGGTGCTGTCTCTGGAAGCAAGGATTCAATCCGTGAATCCCAGTTGTACAAGCGAATCCTAGGCCAGTCCCTGAGGCACTACGGGTTCGAGGACAATGGCACAGGCAACTGGGAGCCGGCGGAAGGTGAAGCAAGAACAGAATCCAGAAACAACATTCCGCACTTGGTACCACCGCGGTCTAGCGGCGACGACAACTATGGGTCAAAGGCTGTCGGTGGTCTATCCAGAGAAGACAACGAACGCCTAGTACGCCAAGTTACTGAAGTGGCAGCGACAGCTGCGGCAGTGGCTGCTCGTGATGCAACTCGAAGCCGCAAGACCCCTGCTCAGAGTTCTGCCAACCGACAGGCTGGCCGTGCAGCAGCAGAACAACCTCGTACCCCTGGAGAAGAGCTTGAGGATATTGGTTTGAATGTTGAGGCTGCCCAGGCCGGTGGAGGACATGATGCACCCAATTGGAGCAAAGCCAAGAGTTCTATCATTCTTCTTGGAGCAACATTCCTCTATGCAGTTATCGCTGAGATCCTTGTCAACACGGTTGATGTTGTCTTGGAGAGCGTGGACATTGACGAAAAGTTCCTCGGTATTACTCTTTTCGCACTGGTCCCCAACACCACAGAATTCTTAGTATGTTGACATTATGTCTAAACTTACTTCTTATTTGTTGACTAACTCGTGGACAGAACGCCATCTCCTTTGCCATGAATGGCAATATTGCATTGTCTATGGAAATCGGTTCCGCCTATGCACTACAGGTCTGTCTGTTACAGGTGCCCGCTGTGGTTCTTTTCAGTGCATTCTATGGACGCATGTTGGACCCATCTGAGCTTGTCAGCCACTCATTCAAGTAAGATCATCTTTCCTGGTCCCGCTTCTATCTTCCTTGGCTAACTTTGTTCCAACAGCCTGATCTTCCCTCAATGGGACATGATCACCGTTATTCTGTGTGTGTTCCTGTTGTCATATGTCTACGGTGAAGGAAAGAGCAATTACTTCAAGGGCTCTATTCTCGTTCTCACCTACTTCGTCGTTGTTCTTGGCTTCTACATGTCAGGCTATGTCAACATAGACAGCATGGGCGTAGACCGGTTTGATACTCTCGCTCTGGGCGGCACAAGCAGCGCCGAGAAGTTCTACACGATTGGCCGAACAAGAGGTGGGGAGGCCTACTAATTAAAGTACATACTGATGGTAGCTTTTTCTTTTTTGGATCTGAAAAATTGTCGAGATTTGCCTCGATCCACTTTAGCATAGCGAAATTTTTCTGTCATGCGTTTCTAGGATGGCCCTGGGGTCATCTCACATATTTGTTGATCTGAACTGTTTGGGTCTGCATTAGATATTACGTTTACATGCATTACTATTTCGATATTGTATCTGAGGATTTTTATCCTTGAATTTTGATCCTGCGGTAATGACTGATTTGACATCCGAAATCCCAGTATATAATCACTCAAATGTTTTGGCATTATAAAAAAAAGAAAATTCGTCTTGATCGTCATGTAAAATTAGGTAGACTTCCACGCGCCCACAGCGTTATCAATCATCCCACGGTACTTCTGCTGCCTGAAGCACTGCTCCAGGAAGACCTCATACTTAACCCGGAGCAAAGCTTTCTCATTCGCATCCCCCGTCGGCAACACCTTCTTGCCAGGCTTGCTCATCCGGTCCATGATATCCCACAGATCTTCGGTCTTACCCTGGGAATCAGCGCTGGCAGCCTTAGCACCTAGCATGGCAGCACCGTGGCACACCGCAGCGTGAATGTACCGAGGAATTAGCACGGGCATTTCACAAGCTGATGCAACAAGGTTGACCAGGATGTCGTTCTGGCATTGCGAGCCGGACATGAACACCGAGGCGATACGATGGCCTGCCTTGTTCATTGTCTCGACGATCTGCTTGGTTTGTAGCGCGATGAACTCGAGAGTGGCGTAGTAGTAAATTGCAAGACCATCTACTGATTTATCGCTCGTTAGGCCGAAGATCGACCCTGTCATGTTTGGATCGGCGATGGGTGAGCGGTTACCCCATAGATCACCATAGAAGAAGAAGTGGCGTCCTAGGTAGGATACGCATGGAGCACCTTGGTCGTGTGCCATTTCCTTGAGGTGCTCGTTCAAGTACTCATAGATGTTGGCATGGTATGACTCGGCGATTGAGTGGGCCTGTTGGAAGGCCGGGTGGGTTTCAATGACATGCTTGAGCAACTCGCCTGTGGCTGATTGTCCACCCTCAGCCATCCAGTATCCGGGAAGAATGGTATCCCGATACGGACCCCAGACACCGTTTACGAAGACGGGGTCAGGCGACATAGCAAGATGGCAGGTCGAGGTTCCTGCCACAGCCGCGAGACGCGAGAAGGCCTCCGATCTATCGAGCTTCGGGGCCTCTGCGAGGGATTTGCCTGATCCTAGATCAACCTTGGATCCCACGGTACCAATCCAGCCGGCGTAGGCATCGATCACAGCACTGCCGATGGCAATACCTGCTGGCAGGCCTAGATCGGCGGCAGCCTTATCACACAGAGTGCCGACCAACTCACCAGCACTCAGGTAATCACCATTCTGTTCAAGGTGAGGTCAGTTATTAGTTACTCATCAATTAAGGAAGGCTCACCACCCCGTCAACTCCGCCCATGCGTTTGAAATCGTCCGTGGTCAAGTCGCCCAATCCAATGTCATTCAGGAAATCTTCTTGCCATCCCTTGACGCTCCCATCAACACCAACAGGCACATAACCTTGCTTGCAGACAACGCTACAGAAGCTTCGTTTCTCATTGCCGGTGGCAATATGTGTAAGGGCATCTCCTAGATCATAGAACTTGCATCTTTCGAAGAGTTCCGCTGGCATGTGGTTCTTCAGCCAGAGGACCTTGGGGATCTCCATTTCAATGGACATTTTGCCGCCAACATAACGCAGAAGGTTATGGTGGGTGGCGTTTATCTTGGCCGCTTCCTCGACGGGACGGTGATCCAGCCACAAGATCACGTTGCGATCCGAGTCGAAGTTCGGACCAGTGACTGAGATTGGCTCATCCGTGTCATTGGAGAACACAGACAAGGAGCATGTTGCGTCGAATCCTATACCCCGTACAGTGTCAGGGTTGATATTGTGCTGGCTCACAGCACGCTGGACGGCAATACAAATGCAGCGCCAGATATCAGAGGTAGATTGTTCCTAGACAGCAGGTCAGCTTCTATACTTCATTGCGTGCCAATTGGCAGGGTTTCATACATAATAGCCATGCTCTGGTTGCCAAAGGCCAATGTTCTCAGAGGCCAACCCCACAATATCGCCCTTGGCATCGATGATACAGGCACGAGCACTGCCAGTTCCGACATCAATGCCGATATAGTGATCAAGGTGGACATCCAGCTCCTCCCGGGGGTCAGTGGAAGCTTTCCGGGAAGCCTGGACGGATGCACGACGGTAGGGCAGCGAGGCCATTTTGTCGGCTGTACTTTGTATGAAACGAAGATCTTTTTGTTTTCACCTCAGGGTTAGAGCTTTGGGAATCACGAAGCTAGGACAATTTGAGGTCGAAGTGCCTTCAGGCTTCCAATTGAGCTCAATATATAGAAAAGAGAGAGGCGCGAGGGGTTTGAATATGACAGCATCGATTTGCCTCACATTCCTGTGGGGTGACGGAGCGGTGCTGACCGGTACCTTTGGGGTACTTGATGGTACTTGGAGGTACATAATTGCCCCGCAATTGCCTGCCGTATGTGAGGTACTCTCATGTACCGTATAGTTTGTGATTTGTAAATTGAGCATCCCTGCTCTGTATCTTTTAAAATCATGGAAATGAATCCCTACAAGCCAAAACACAATACGCACACAGCCATAAGTAGTTAACTTACATATAACGTTACATGTACATGGACACACGGCCGTGTAAGTCAATGTAGCCGTGTCACGGGACGACCCCCAACCCTCCGGGTAGGGGGTGTCCCACAGCCATAATGCAATTAACCTCCATAATGCAAATTTCCTACCTTTTCAACTTTTACGCGTATTTCTACCCACCAAAAATGCCTAAAAAAGCTCGTGATGAAGAGGATCTGCTAGCTAAGGCATTACATGCTTATACTACGCGAAAATTTTCATCTCTACGTAAGGCTGCGGACCATTATCGCGTGTCTTATTCGAAGCTTCGCGGTCGCAAAAACGGACAGACATCTCTCTCCGATCGCCCCTGCCACCAATAATGCATTGAATTCGAATCAGGAAAATGCATTAATTAGCTGGATCGAAGTGCTAAATTCTTGCTATACACCTCCAACTGCAAAAGATATTGAAATTGCCGCAAATCGCCTGTTGAAAATAGCGGGTTCGGAGAGAGTTGTTAGTTCAATGTATAGCTATCGGCTTATACGGCGTCTACCTCCACACATCAAGCTTATTACCCAAAAATCAAAGGAGTCTTTACGAATTCAAGCTAAGGACCCTGGAGTTATTAGCCATTGGTATGATAGGCTTGAGTGTCTCTACCGTGAGCATGGTTTTGAACCTTATGAGATCTATAATTGGGATGAAACCGGCTTCCAAAATGGAGAAGGACTTAACCAACACGTCGTCTCTACGCGCCAAACTGCTAGTATTGCTACTAGAGATCGAGGTGAAACTATTACTGGCATTGAATGTATTGCCGCTGATGGCTGGGTGATGTTTCCGTGGTTTCTAGTCAAAGGTAGCGTCCACATAGAAGACTGGTATAGTAATATGTCAACCTCTTCTTCGGCGTACAAAATTATCCACTTAACGTCTAGTGGCTGGACGGATAGTGAGACTGCTTACCGATGGCTATGCTTATTTCATGAAGCCACAAAAAACCGCGTACGACGTGGGCGACCGAGGCTTTTGCTAATGGATAATCATACGTCTCATACAACTATCGAATTTCTCGATTTTTGTAAGGAAAACCTGATTATTCCTTGGTATTTTGTACCTCACACGACTCATATATGTCAGCCCCTTGATGCTAAGGCTTTTTTAAGCCTAAAACATGAGTTTAAAATGGCGAATACTGAGGTTGTGGCGTGGGGTGGAAGCAACGAAAAACGCGATTTTTTCCGCAATATTGACGCCGTCCGACGCCACGCCTTAAAGTCCAAAACTATCCAAACCTCGTTTAAATCTACTGGTATCTGGCCACTAGATCCGACACAAGTTTTGGGTAATTTAGGGCAGTATTCGGACGAAGAGACCTTACGTATATACGACGAGCCGTCACCTACCCGCGAATTCCCAAGTTCAGCGACCAATTCTCCGCCCAATTCTTATGCGCGTATTGAAAAATTGGAGAAGACAGTTTTCCCGCTACTTAATAACCCGAATCCTGATTTACATAAAATTCGGAAGCATCTACGGCGCGCAATTGATGCCGGAAAATCGTCTCTATACAATACGGAACTTGCTGAGATGAGTCTTGCGCGCGCCCTTAGCCATAAAACGCCTAGGAAAAAACCTACAAAAAGCAAGCGATAGGTGAAGGGTGCTACAAAGAGTCCCCTTTCATCGATTTCAGGCAATAGGCTAGTACAGCGAAGGTGTGAGAAAGAAGATGAGTCGAAGCTTCGTGCTTGGCGGAAAGACGCAGAGAAAATGGCGGCCGATTTGGCGGCTAAGGAATTGGAGGAAACACTTGAAAATGAGGAGGTTGATACATTATTGGCTAATGAGGCTATTGATGGGCTTTATTTCTTGGATTCTGGACCTTATACGTCTAAAAAGTGAGCTAGAAGTTGAAGAAATTGAAAATTTGCATTATGGCTGTTAATTGCATTATGGCTGTGGGACACCCCCTACCCGCGAGGGTGGGGGCGGTCCTGTGACACGGCTACTCTTTAGGTATACTGTGGAGCTCGGACCGCCTGTCTTCTCGAACATCTCTCCAGCATCTCCGACAAATTATCCCCATTCCCCGCCATGCGGTTCCTACAGATCATTCTCAGCGCTTTGTCGCTCCTCGTTTCTGTCAATGCCTCTTCTCCTGCCACCGATATTCTCTACTGGCCTGTGGGGTCTACGCAGCCCTCCGTCCTTGCGCGTGTCACCTATGACCCGGCCTCGATGAAATCCGACGTGCTCTCATATACCCCTCCAAAGAACCAAGACGACGGTCTAGTGCGCGTCGGACTCTATACGGCAACAGCTACAAGCAACAAGCAATGGGTTGGCAGTCTCGTGTCGTTGTCCTCTTTAACAGGCAATGAGCAACCAACATTCCGCCTCCACCTCGGTCCCGCCGATGAGGTCTACCATGTCTCCCTAGCTGCTTCATCTGCTGTGCAGGGCTCTGGTGCTCAGGTTGACCTTGTCTCGAATGAGCTTGGGGTGCAGCCACACTTGAACCGGCCAGTGGTTGTTAATCCTGATGGTGGAAACGCCGAGGAACCTGTGGAGAAGTCTCTCTTGCAAAGGTGAGTTAGGGATAATTTAATAATGCTATCTCCTACCATGCTAATTTCTGGGTATTTAGGTACTGGTGGATTCTGCCCATCGTCTTCTTTATCACTATGTCTGGTGGCGGCGAAGGACAGTCATGATCGGTTGCTTCGGCATTTTATACAGCACCTGGGTGTATAGAATAATATTGTATCAATCTACCACTCTCGGTAACTTTATCGCTGGTTATACTATTTCCGCGCACATCAAGTTACTAGCATTGGCGGACAAGTTCCTAAAGCCATGCGCTACTCTGAAATGATACACCCAGCTCCTAATAATTCAGACGTAGAATTGATTGCCGATCGTGATCTGGAGACTGCGAATATCATGCACATTGACATACTAAGTGTACGACTCCTATATTTTACAAGCAGAGAAGAAAGATGTCCGAGATATCGTCAAACCTCAACATCGGACTCTTATACTTGGAGAATTACCACATCCAGCTGTTTCCCTTCACTTTGTATATAGCAATGATGACTGAGTATTCTGTAAGAGCTTGCAATATTATAGGATTCCTTTTTATCAAAATTTGAAGACGTATATTAGTCCGAGGTCCTAATTCAAGTTCCTTTCCTCCTTTGAGACGTAATCTCACCAGGGCCTCTCTCTTCAACATTTGTTTAATCAGAAGGCCTTCCTCAGAAGACTCCTCGCCAAAATCAGCTGTAGAGTGACAATAAATTCGGAGGTGCGACAAACCCACCAGTTGATACTGACCCTGTCGTTAGCTTCCTCAAACTCTAGTCTTTGGCCCAGTATCTCTGCAGCTTACATTGAATCTGTTTTCACCACCTCTAATAGACTTTCGTGGTCTATAGGAACATTCTACGTGGACCACGGCTATCTTGGCCGACGAGATTGGGGTTGATGCAACAATCGTCGGCTAGCAGATCCGACTCTTCTCCTTATTTATTTGCCAAGGCTTCAAGTCAGTCCCGCAATTTCATCTAGAAACCTCCCAATAACGCAAACCAGCTCACTATCGAAAAGCTATCCAGATGGAAATAGCATCGGGTGAGCGCGTCTTCCAAGGCACCGCGCATGTGAAAGGAGATGCATCAGGAAAGCTCATGGCAAGCGATCTGGAGTTGAGCTTCTGGGGTGCCGTAAACCCCCAGACCAGCGAAATTATTGATCGCCACCACCCATTGAGTGGTCAATGCCTTCAAGACAATATCCTCGCAATTCCTGGTGGTCGCGGTTCTTGCACCGGTAGTGCGGTTATGTTGGAGCTGCTTCTCAACGACAAAGGACCAAAAGCCATGATATTTGAGCGGCAGGAAACCATTTTGGTTCTCGGGGTTATTGTTGCTGAAGAGATATTTGGGAAGACCATACCCATTGCGATGCTAGATCCGAAGGACTTTCGTGAAATCCTCCGGTTCAATGGCACCGACATTTATATCAGCAACAGCCAAGTCTCAGTTGGCCCAAAAGCTTGGCCCTATGATACCGCAAGCCAGACTAGAGCATCTGCTAACGTCGAACTCTCGGATATTGACAGAGCTTTTTTGAACGGCGACTTTGGTGATGCCTCCCGCGCAGCAATGAATATAGTACTACGGATGGCAGGCATCCTAGGGGTGAGTGAACTTATGGACGTAACCCAGGTCCACGTCGATGGGTGCGTCTACACTGGGCCAGGCTGTCTTCTCTTCGCAGAAGATCTACGGGATCGGGGAGGCAAAGTCCGGGTTCCAACATCTTTGAATTCCATCTCGATCGACAAGAATTTGTTCCAGGTTCAAGGGGCCAACCAGGATTTTACAGCAGCAGCTGGCAAGCTAGCAGATGCCTATACCGATATGGGGGCACGTTCAACTTTCACATGTGCTCCATATCAACTTGACAGCGCTCCAAAGTTCGGGGACCAAGTTGCTTGGGCCGAGTCCAACGCCGTCGTCTATGCAAACAGTGTGCTAGGGGCGAGAACTATGAAATATCCTGATTTCCTCGATATATGTATCGCCCTGACCGGCCGTGCCCCGAAAGGCGGTCCACACGTGCAAATCAACAGGATGGCCTCGCTCATCGTGAATTTTGAGGGCATTGAGAACGCCAACATTGACGATTCATTCTATCCTCTTCTCGGCTACCGCGTGGGAGCCTTGGCACCAAGCCAAATCCCTGTGATAGTAGGTATCAAATCGCTGGCTCCATCCAAAGATGATATGAAGGCCTTTGGGGCGGCATTTGCGACTGTATCAAGTGCCCCCATGTTTCACATTCTTGGTGTCACGCCCGAAGCAGTGGAGCTTGGGGCTGTGGTTGCGAAAGGTCCTGACGTACGCTCCGTCAGCGTCCATCTGAGTGATTTGATCGGGTGCTGGGATGAACTGAATAGTGCATCAAAAGACCAACCAGTGGACCTGGTGTCCCTGGGCAACCCTCACTTCTCGTTCGACGAAATTCAAACGCTCAATGGCCTCTGCCGAGGCCGCAAAAAGGACAAAGATGTCGCTATTGTGGTGACATGCGCCAGATTCACTTACAGTGCAGCTTGCAAGGTCGGATTGCTTGACCAACTGGAGGAATTCGGGGTTCAGTTCGTCACGGATACCTGCTGGTGTATGATCACCGATCCAACCATCCCCCGCTCCAAGAGTGCAATTATGACCAACTCTGGGAAATACGCTCATTATGGCCCTGGACTTACTGGCAAGAGCTTCTATTTTGGAAATCTTGCCAGGTGTGTTGACGCTGCGTGTGGGTATAGCTATTCGGAAAGTCGACCACAATGGTTGAGAGAGTTAAATCAGTGATACCAAGTATACAGGCCTAGTAGAAGATTCAATTGCATCTATTCACTTCTATTTAATTTCCTTATTATCTATACGATCTACTTCAGCAAATCACGTTTAGAAAATGTTTCGTTTATTAATCTTCCAGTTAACTTAATTAACTAGTTACTAGTTCTGCTAATGCCTAGGAAAAGAGGCTGCATGGCAATCCAACACTTGATGTATCACTCTTACATTGCTTCTCACTTATTTAGTTGTTTGTTGGAAAAGCCCGCAAAAGCCCGTGCTTTATATAAATCTCCGCTGACCGCATTCAAGCTCCACACACCATGCTTCGTCTTCCAGTTGAGTTGGTCCAACTCATACTTCGGCACTGTGAAACTCCTGCCTATTTTCAAGCTGCTTTTGCGAGTCACGGTCTTTTTAAAATTGCATCCAGCAGCAGAGATGTTATCCTGCACCAACTACACGAGACCCCGGGGCATGGCTTCAAGCTTCTCCGGACAACAGAGCTGTTTCACATCTTGATGAAGCGATCTTTGGAGCAACTATATGGCGCCGAATTCCACACAGATCGCAAGCTCTATCAATTCCAAAACGTGATCGATAGCCGGGCATCAACATTCGAAGATTCCATAGACGAAAACGCGCTGCTTGTCTTCAAAGACAACAGTACCGTTCACCTGGTTCATATTGGCAATGGGATCATAACTCATGAACGTGAATTGAAATCTCCAGGAAAAGATATTGGAAATGTCGAGGTTCTTCGGACCGCGTTCGATGGCGACAATGGTATCTATGTGCTGCATCGATTCAAGCCATTCCTGGACCAAGAGCTCGACACCGACCATCCATTTGTCAAGCATGCCCTGCAGTCTCATCCCCATGGAGATATCTTCATGACCTATTATAAGTTGGATTCTTTACTTGTTCGCATGTGTGCCTTCCCCGATCGTCACCACTACAGGCCTCTAGCTCTATCTGCTACCCCTGGACAGTTCGCAATCTCATGGCAGCACACATTGAATCCCCACGATTATAACGTTGAACTTTACACCTGGGTTGATGAGGAAGAGGAGGAGGATGAAAGGGACAGAATGGCCATTAAGGAAGGTCTGGAGGCTGTGGACACAAATGAAGATGCCAAACCAAAGAACGAGGCAATTAGGTATGCCGCTTATGCGACCAGCTCTCTTGCAGGTTCAGACGGGCATGACCCAGATGATGATCCGTTTCAGGGCAGAGGGCCCGCGGTGAGGTTGGCTTTCAACGATCGAGGCCACCAGTTACTCTACCACTACAGGGCTCAAACTCTTTACGGATCCTTCCAACGACTTCACGCTCCTCATCAGTCGAGACCGGCAAAGCCACTGAGCGAGAATGAATGCATCGTGCCATATTCAAACTCGCTTTCACTGCGATTCTCTATTGGGATTCCGTTCTTTGGTACCCACGAACCTCATGATTCATCGCCGGGAGGAACCTGTCATTGGCAATACCTTGCCTTTGGAATTGCTACTCATCGGGTCGAAAAATGGACAGTGGCATGTCTTTTAAAGTCTGAAGCCTTCCCTCGAGCCCAGAACTGTCACCATATCTTTAATCTTGGCCGCGGAAGGCGTTTGGATAATTGGCAGATTATGGCGCGGCTTGGGGGATTTGAAGAATCGACTACATCGCATGGATCTCGTGTGGCTGCTTCACCTCTCGGGACTCGGATCGCCGTTGCCAATTGGAAAACGCTCCGTGTCTGGGCACTGGAGCCACATGAAGTGATTGCAGGAAACACTACCGGCTATTATTCACCGTCGTGGGTATCCGACTCAGGTCTCATTGAGCTGCGACCCGTTGTTATCCCGTTAGACGCGGTCTGCTCCCAATTGAAATTCACGGACAAAGAAGACGAGCTGGTTGCGATTACTGACCGTGGGTTGATGTATTTGAATATTGGTCCCAGCGGTCGAGGTCTTCGACTTGTCGACAGACAGGGACTTGGAAAAGTCTCTGGAGAGAATTTCTGATAGTTTGTAGTAGCTGAAACATCGTGATATTCTTAAGAGCTTTCGAATTTGAGCGGACTTTTGAAATATAGCGATGAACGCTGCGCTAATGTGATATTATGTATGCTTAATGCAATGTTTCGTAGGTTCAGTACAATATCGACATCCTATCAACTTTTCGATGTAGCTTGGCTTCGTTTTCGCTAGCATATGCTTGTCCTGGGATGAATAAACAATTTCACTTACAAAAACGGAGTAAATGCAACTAAATCTTCTCCCAGGCCCGAATGTCATGAATGCTTCACGCCATTTAACAAGTATTGACCGAACCATTTGATAAAACCCAAATCTTCCAGTGTCTATCGCTGGATACTTTAGATAGTCCCTAGTCTTATCCGCAGGGAAATTATACGCGAACAATATGTAATTTCAGATACAAGCGTCCTCGGGCAAATATATCAGTATTATACTTGGGACACACAGTCGTTGATTGAATGTATACTGATATGCGATGAGCACTATATATGTACCTGTTTCTTTTTTTCCATCCTAAAATCCCAGAAATTACCCGGACACCAGAAAATGCATGGGCAAGACAATCATCGCGAGTTGCATGGCATTGTAAAAAAGAAATCATGAAAAAGCCATGGCTCTGAGCGTGCAAGGCAGAATAGGGGTATCCCAGTTTCATCATCATAGCTTATAGAAAAAGTAAGAGGGGGAGATGCATGGTCCTATGGCTTGCTATGGTCCATCTGCGTAACGAGCCATTCGAGCACACTCTCGTAGCAGAGCGCATATTGACTCAAGTTCTGCACCATGCTCGGCCGTTGCCTCCGGAAGTCCTCCACAGTCTTTGCAATTAGGTCGGTACTGTGGTCTCCAATCCAATCATAGGAAGTGGTAGGGTTTTGGTCCAAGGCTCCGCCATTTTTGCCTTGCGCAAGTTGCCGTTTCAGCATGTCTAGCACACTATCGACGGTGCAAAAGTCCCTGTGCGTCCACAACCCGCGCTGCAATGGACGAGGATTGGCCGCTGACCCTTCGGTTCTGGTTGCTGACTGCTAAACCCAGTGTTGCTTGTGGCACGAATGACCTTGTTGCACTGCTCGATCAGATTGAGAAGATGGGTAGGTTGAGACGTGGTTCCGAAATCAGGCCAATAAGGGTACTGGAGCTGGGTGATATCCCGGAGCGGTTGAAAAGGGAATGCTGTGTGAGAGACGCTGAAATGCCGCACAACGATGACGGGGTTTTCGTTTGTACCACTGGGCTTTTCGGCTGATGCATTAGGGTTGCGAATCGTTGAATTGATTGGCTGCCCTTTGGATTCAATGTGGATGTGCTTCTCCGAATATGCTTTGACCTCGAACGGGCCATAATTTCCGGATTCCCAATATCGGTCGCATTTTACCTGTCCTCGCTCAATTTCGGCCGTGAGAGAAACGAGTACTCTAATATCCTGTTCCCAAATCACGCGCCAAAAGTCCTATATCATGTGAGTAACTTGGTGATTAACATTGAAAATGGCGACACTCACACTAAATGTATCAGGAATGGGAGCCTGTGTAGCGATGTATCTCCGATTGCTAAATTCCGCTTGGATGTGATTTGCGTTGACATAGTCACAGGCCCCAGATGGAATCCCCTCGAGTCGGACGCGTGTATGATCGAATGGGTAAATGTCGTTGTAACGGTTCTTTGTCCCCTTTTCAATTCCAGCGATGCGATATTTCTTGGAGCCACCAGTGGCCTCTGCTGCAGAACCTTCATATGTTAGAGCCTGTTTCATGCGCTCTAGTTCCATTTTCTCGAGATCCAGAAATTTGTTGGAGACGAGGTGCCCTTGGTCCTTGGTATCGGAAGCGTCCCGTAACCAGGAAGGAAGTGACTGCCGTTTTTCATCGGTAAGGCCATCGGGCTGTTTCAAGGGAACCTGTCCAACTCCACCGAGAAGATCCATATTTTGTCGAATGTTTGAGAAAAAAGGATTAATAGCCGATGATGATTCTGGTAGGGCACACCCACCAACGGCAGGAGCAACAGACTGCAGATTGATGCTCATCGGCGCACGGCGTTTGGGCGATGGACCTGTCGTGTTTGACTGTGGCCGTTGAATCAAATGCGGGAATTGAGTCGAGAATCCCTGGAATCCGTTTTTTAATATTAAACCATCCCCTTTCCAGTCTTCCGCCTGAAATTTATTGAGAACGTTCAAAAGGGGCGCTGCATCTTTTGAATCGGCAGCAGCAGAGTCGTATACAATGATCACATTGCAGTTTCTCCATCGAGCAAACTTTTGTTTATCAGTGTCCTCCGTGAAGGTGCCTTCCAGTTTTTGGGTATCAAATGAGCGACGTTTGAGTAGAGTGGTTGGGATGCATAGATTAAGTGATCCTTTAATATTGGCTTGTCTGAAATGAGCAAATGGGCGGACGTCAAATAACATGATACTCGATTGTGACGATCCAAGGAGATCGGCACAGCGTTCGGATGAGACCCAAGGGAATGCAGTGGGAGGGATACCTGGAGGAACGGTAAGTATAGGATCAATTGTGTGGAGACAAACAGCAGAACAACGAAATTGGGATTCAATGATCAAGTAGAGAGGAACCATACTGTGTGAAGGCACTGGACTTGCGCCAGCTCCTACCCCATTTCCGATTGGATGTGAGGATGATGACTTGGACCATGACGGTCTTCCGTGGGGATCAATGTTGGAGGGGGTTTCATGAAATGCGGATTCACGGCGTCTTCGGTTGGCCTCAGGCTCAGTCTTCAATATATTCATCAACCCCGTCGATACAGACTCCTTCTGATATACTTGTAACTTGGGACTCGGGAGAGAGTGTGTGTGTGGTGACACACCCCAGCTCTTTTGCGGGGATACTCCTGGATTAGACGTCTGCGAGTTGGAACTTGGTGCCGCCATGCCAAAGTAGTTAGGACTCGGTCGTTCCAAGGTATTGGGCGATATGCTAGGGCGGAAGGACTGTGTGACGCCATCACGATGACCGCCCTGGGTACTCTGCACCCAAGGCGAGGATGGCGAGCGTCCTGGGCCTGTCATGGCCGAGAAGCTGGCTTCCACAGCTCCAGATCCCGATACAAGATCAGCTCAAGGGGTCCGAGTGTGCACAGGTCCAATCGTCCACGAGTAGGATCAGTAAGTCTAAGATATCAGGGTTTTTCGAAGACCTAGGTTGCAGCAGAAAAGCTCATAAAGATGACAGAAGGGAGAGGTCGTAAAGAGGGGCAATAAGAAGCGATAGACCAGGGTCCAGCCGGGAGAAGGACAAGGTGGGGGATGAACAGGTCTGATATCAGAGCACCCGTGTCATTGCTGAATAATAAAAACCAGCCCTGGAGCCGGAGGATATGGGCGAAAGAAGAAATTTGGGGCTTCGAGAAGAAAGGTATGATGTTGTTGTGTGGGGATCACGGGTTCTCGGTTCTGACGTCGTGGCGTGACCAAGATCTAGATCGGGATATAAGATGCATATAGGGATGGGAATATAGGAAATAGTAAAGAGGCAGGACTATAGGAATACAGATATAGGATATAAGCCTGAGTCTTGAATATATACATATATACACATGTCACCATCTCTTCACGTCGATCATCTGAAGCGCTCTGGCCGGGACTATACCAGGCTGAGTAAGCACAGGTGTCGGCTGGTCAATGTACAGGATTTGCATCGAGTTTTGTATGCTCTATTTGATACTGATCTCACCTTTCCGTGGTGGTCGCTCCACTTATGTAGGTTGCACGTCAATATGACAAGTAAAAAATGAGACAGTCTCGAGAGGAAAGGGAGCATGGTCTTGACAGTGTCGAGACCTGTACGCGTACGAGCTTGGAGTAATTCGGGTTTCCAGGGCCAGTTTCAATCCGTCTCAGTGTATACCAGCTGCAGAGGCCGCGCAGACTGGAGCCTTTCCGCTTTCTTCGCCACATTACACTGTCATGCAATGAGCTCATGCGCTGGGAGAGATCTGGTCAATCGTGTTTTGATCGCGCTAGAGAACGCCGCAGCACTCGGTAGTCAGGTTCATAGCTTCATAGCCTCCCGTCAGGTTCGCCCTTGAATCGCTCTACCCGCTTCTGCTCCCACTGATCGAGGTCTTTGGCCATGAGTCTCTATAGATGTAGTCAGCATTCAATTCATGGGGTTGAAGTGAGTCACATTTCAAGTTACATACGTAATATTCTTCCTTTTCATCGCCTACAATCCTTCGTCTCGGATTGCGTTTGATTCCGGCCTCTCCGTCAGGCCCTTTCAGTCCAAGGTCAAATGCTTCCTCTTGGCTCAACTGCTTGACCTTGCGGTCATAGCGCTCATAGCGGAGGGCAGCAGCAGGTGTCAATGCAAAAGACCCTGCTACAATCACTGTAATAAACGGAAGTCCGAAGAGAATAAAAGGGTGCCGTGCCAGTCGCGCCCGGTACAATGCACCGATCCGTTCACCGAGTGATGATGATTCTGTAGCTGCCCGCCGGAATGTTTTAGATTGAAAGGCAGGCATTATTGCACGTTGGATCAATTGGCCTCAGTTGACAAAAAGGTCCCATTAACGAAGCGATCCATTGGCAATCAAACAATGTTGAATAGCAAATGATAGGAGCGGATCGGACAATGGATGTTCCGAAATGCCGGGTTGAATTGTTTAGACAGCTTCTCAGCCTCTTCAGGTGCTCATTGACATTGGCTTACTCCTAGTCGCTTGACTATTCTAGTCGACATAAAAGCTGGGCTTCCCCAAAGCTCCGTCTTTTGTGTTCGAAGCCTGAGATTTGCCTACCGCACTCCGTTTTTCTTTTTGACCGGTCTTGCAGCTCTTCGAGTGCGCGACGTCCAGTTTTCTTGTGAGCACGTCTTCGCTTAACTGTCAATAAAGCACAAACTGACATGGCGACCGATTTAGTATCACTCGGCTTTTATCGCATCATTTACAGCTTTCTGAATCGACGTGTCTGCCATGGCCTCCAACAGCAGCTCTTTCTTCGGAGGGGGTGGTCTTGGGGCCTCGACAACACAGTCGAACAGTCTTTTCTCCGGAAATAAGTCCACCGCAAGCCCGTTTTCAGGTGTAGGGGCTACGTCCACCCAGGCCACACAACCCCAGTCCTTGTTCGGAGGCCAATCCCAGACCCAGCAACAACCCGCTCAGTCTTCGTTCATGGGGCAGACCCAGCAGCCCGCTCAGTCCTCGCTCCTGGGACAAACTCAACAACCCAGTACTTCGCAGACTCCGGGGCAGCCTCCAATTGCGTCAACACAGCCTGCCTTCTTCAACAGTCTGCTGGAGCGCGGCAAGAAGCGACCATTGTCATCGGTTGGCCAAAACAGTAACTTCGAAGACGTGCCCAGTCTTCAGTTGGGCTTAGATGACATCCGGAGAAAAGCCCGCGAGTTGGGCTCAGCGGGACAAAAGGATGCTCCAAATGGCGCTAATAGTAAGGCGTGAGTTTTAACTTCTAGCCACCTTTCTCTTCGTCTAGAATGGACCTAGCTAACCTTGAGATACCATCGAATAGTCACTATCTACTTGCAGCTTCCGGGATCTCCCCTGGCCGAGCATTGCGCGACCTCAAATCCCTCGATCCCCAGGCATCTCTAGCGACCCCGGCGAAAGAACAGGACAACTTTGATCCCGACAACCAAAGATTCTTGCGGAATATCCAGCAGCGTGGTCGTCAAGTCATGATCACTGAAAGCCTTGCCAGGGCTCATAGGGACTTCGATGCCTATTTGGAGGAGAAACTCGACATGGACTGGGAGGAGCAGCGTCATAAAATCTTCCGTCATTTCGGGCTCGCCCAGAACGATGACTCCGGGGAATTCAAATCCACCACAAGGGGCGCTTTCGGTCGGTCAGCAAGACAATCTAAACAACCTGGTGGCCCAGCCAATGGACCCTCGGCCGCATCTCGCCGAAGCGTCTTTGGGCGTTCTGGCCTTGAAAAGTCGGTCATTGGGACACCTGGGACCGGACTGGCAAGTCGTCAAATCTTTGAAGACCAAAACGAGCGAAGTGACGGAAGTTTATCCGAGTCACACGATCTCAGATTCCATCGCGAGAAGATGGGACAATATGCCGAGAAAGTTCAGCAACTCAACCTTGCGAGACTACAAGGGAAATGTTATCCAATTCTTGATGAGTTTGCGACAGTTGAGATGCACACCGGTGGTGATGTAAGCTAATCTCCCATACCTGATCATACATCAAGGTTGGATGTTCAGCTAATCGCATTCTAGATTCCTCCACAGCTCTTCGCTGCATACCAAGCCTTGATAGGAATCGTCCACGAGAAGCCAAACATCGTCAGCCCATCGGAGCCTGGCACAGTGAAAGAACGACAGTATGCTGAAGACTATCTAGATGAGTCACCAAAGTCCCGCAAAGCTATCAATCTGAAGAAGCAAATCCTTGAAGGTTCAAGGACCTTCCTTGAGAAAACTTTCTTTGAGGAAGTGGAGATTGCCATCGCCAAAAATCCCCGGGAGGCACAGCTGGGCGGAATTCCGACTGTGATCAACAAAATCCGTGCTTTCATTCGACTCCGAGCGGCGAGAAAGGATCTCGCACCAGATGGAACCGAATTGCAGATGGTGAATCAAGACTACTGCTGGATTCTCATTTTTTACCTACTTCGGTGCGGATTTGTCACCGAGGCGGCTGAATACGTGAGCCAGGACAGCGGGTTCCGCTCTTTGGATCACAAATTCGTGACATATATGACAACCTATGCGCAGAACAGACGCCTTCCCAGGGAACTGCAGTCAAAAATCAATGGCGAGTTCCAGCAACGCTCACGGAATGCACCTGAAAACACTGTTGACCCTTACCGAATGGCATGCTACAAGATTATTGGCCGTTGTGATATCTCGCGTCGTCGTCTGGAAGGTGTGAATCAGAGTGTAGAGGACTGGATGTGGCTACAGTTCAGCCTTGCGAGAGAGGATGACCGTGCCGAAGAGGTTGCAAGCGACATTTTTGGTCTCGAAGACATCCAGACTGACATTCAGGAAATCGGTCAACGAGTCTTCACGAAGGGCCAAGAAGGACCTGGTGGCTATGGAACTTACTTCCTCCTCCAGATCTTGGGAGGAATGTTTGAACAGGCTGTACATTATCTCGGCACTTATGCACCGGTCACGGCTGTCCATTTCGCTATTGCCCTGTCTTACTACGGCCTTTTGCGGGTATCCGACTTTTACACCTCTGGCGAAGAAATCTGTAAGCAAATCACCTCGCCTATCCCTATATGCTACCCGCTCTCTGGAGTGTTCTAACTTTGTCTTGCAGTATCCTTTACAGTGAAACAATATCCTCAAATCAATTTCGGATATCTGTTGACTCAATACACGCGAGAGTTCCGAACTGGATTTGTTGAAGCAGCCATCGATTACTTCACTCTGATCTGTTTCAACGCAGATCTCCCAGGTACTTTGGGCAAGTCGCAGGCATCAGTATGCCATGAGGCCTTGCGGGAGTTCATCCTGGAAACCAGAGATTTTGCCAAATTGCTCGGTGATATTCGTGCTGACGGTACCCGGCTGAAGGGAGCAATCGAGCAACGTCTCGATCTAATCAAGCTTGATGATCAACAAGAGTTCTTGAAGACCATCACAGTTCAAGCTGCTGCCGTGGCAGATGATAAGGGATTGATCACTGACGCCGTTCTTTTGTACCACCTGGCTGAGAATTATGACCGTGTCATTGACATCATCAACCGTGCGTTGTCAGATGCCATTGCGGTTGATTTGGGTACTGTCATGCCGAAATTGCAACCCTTGCGCCCCCGAGTCGACCAGGGCGAGCCAGATGTAGTCGACGCTGGAAGCAGCCTCAGCTTGACTGCTGTGGATGATCCCGCTGTGCTTGCCAAGAACATGATCAGCCTGTACAACTCCAACAATATGTATTTTGGAAAGATTCGACAGGTCAACCGCGATGCTTGTGGGTTGCTGCTACTCATGATTGAGGCAAAGACTCAGGTTGAAGCTGGCAGATGGGCCCCAGCACTTGATGTAAGTATTCTTCTTCTTTGCCCCACAGATGTCCGAGTTATTAACGAAGAGATTTAGGCTATCAATATCTTGAATATCCTCCCCTTGCAGGCACGAGGTGCGGTGCCTATGGTTCGAGCCGCTGCTCAATCCTTCGCATCTTTACCTCCGATCATCTCACGCAACATCGGGCATGTCATCATGTGGAGTATCACCTGCATTGGCCATGAACGCCAGAAGCAAACCTCCGGGGCCTACGAGAATGAAGTGCGCCAGGGATTGGCGGACACTTTGCTTGTTATGGCCAAGGATCTCATGGTCTTCTCGGGCATGGTCAAGTACAAGCTGCCGCCACGAGTCTATGAGACCCTGGCTCGTGCTGGAGCGGAGATCGGAGCATACTGAATGTGTACAACTTGATGCCCTTTTGCTTAGTCGCCTTAATACGATGAATGAAGAGAATCCAATAAGGCTTACATGAGACCAAGGTGTAGAGACATATATGTAGACTGAATATACCTCGGGCAGTAACTTAAAAGGCGGAGCATTGTTCCGCCAAGCTTCTGAGGGAATCTTCCATGCTCCGCCTCTATGGGTAGGTCACCTATCTTTCACCCGAGGCCTTTGTGCTTAACCGAAATGGCTATTTTGTCATAGCCGAGAACGACTTTCTGCGTTCTGCCTTTAGGTTCCCCAGAATGGACCATGCTTCCAACGCGTCCGGTTCGAGCGAAGAAGCATCCGACAGCGAAGCGGGGTCCCCGCACAATGGCTTTGTACAGGTAGAGGACGTGTTGAGGACAGACAGAGGGGTCGGACTGGTGCATACCCAGACACGAAAAGATGCGATGGATGACGACCGGCCGCAACCCGAAGCCACCCCTATCAACTTATCCGGTGCTCTCAACAAGCAAGCTTTACGCGGCGACGAAACTGATTCGAGTCAGCTTCGTATAACCACCGATTCGAACGAGGCCAATAGCAGCAATGCGCCAACAGCTTTTAATGCGAAGACCACACCCAGTCTTTTCAACAATCCACCGAACCTAGCGCGAATCCGAAAGGTCTTGTTTGAGTGCAATGACCCGATAGAGATCAGTCTGGAAGAGTTTGAGACATATTGGCCCTTTATTGACAATGTTTGGGTCAAGCAAAGATCGAACGCTAGCAAGGAGGGCCATTGCACCACAGACTATTACATGTGCCGTTTACGTCGTCCAACCCACCGCACATCGGAGACTCGGCCACTCCCAGAGGGCAAACGCCCTCGAAAGAAGCGTGTGCGCGAAGGGGGCATCTGCAACTTCCAGATCAAGGTTGTACGTTTCGAGGGCGCGTACTCAACCGTGACTATCGCGAGAACCCCAGGAAGCTGCAGCGTTCACTCGCACGATCTGGATTATATTGACCGGGTGAAGCGGAACTCGGGGTTAATGGAATATGCGCGAAAAGAATCCGTGAAAGGATACCTTCCTTCTTCAATCTATACCAAATTCCAAGAAGAGCCGGATAAGCTGTGTGAGGCTGGAGGGCGGTTCTTCACAGTGACAGATGTCCGCAACATCTCTGCTAAATGGCGCATCCAAAACCCGGAGGTCAACTTAATTCCACACGAGGGCTACGAATACCAAAAGGGCCATGGGATTGTCAAGACCCAAAGCACTGATGGGGTCAATGAAGTCCCGTCGCAACCAAAGCCAACTCCATCTATTTCACCATCTTCATTACCTCCAGACACGCTATCATTTCCTCAATTCTCGCTAGATTTTCTGCAGCCTTACCTCCCCAACAATTCTGAGCGACGAGAGTTCCCTCATGTCACATTATCCTATGCATCGTCAATGGACTCAAAGATCTCGCTTCAACCAGGGATGCAAACGGTGCTTTCTGGGCCAGAGGCTAAACTGATGACCCATTACCTCCGCTCCCGGCATGATGCCATTCTTGTCGGAGTAGGCACTGTTTTAGCAGACAATCCCGGTTTGAACTGCCGCCTGGAAGGCGCTGGTGGGTTTGGAGGTCTAGGCAGAATGTGGCAACCCAGGCCAGTGATTATTGATCCCATGGGGCGATGGCCTGTCCACCCTGAATGCCGAATGTTGCGAACCGCCGTGGATGGTAAAGGAAAAGCCCCATGGGTCGTGGTATCCCCGGGAGCTCAGATCAACCCCCAGACATTAATGATGCTCAAGGGCTACGGCGGCGATTTTCTTCGCATTGTAGAGTTTAACCAACACTGGCGATTACGTTGGGAAGCTATCTTCCGTGCTCTTGCGTCAGAGGGTATTAAGAGCGTCATGATCGAGGGCGGTGGAACAGTCTTGAGTGAATTGTTGAATCCCGAGTATACCAGCTTCATCGATTCGATCGTCGTGACGGTTGCTCCCACTTACCTTGGACGCGGCGGAGTTAATGTCAGCCCGGACTCCAAGCAAGATCCCGGGGGTGCACCCAATGCTGCACTCAATCCTCGAGAGGTCAAATGGATGCCCTTGGGGCAGAATGTCATTATGTGCGGCAAGATCCGGCCAAGTGCGCGTCCGGAGGAAGCACAAAGAGATTGAAATGATCCATTGTTTGAATCTGGCCTGTTTGCGCTGGAACTGCATGTACATGTATGTAATAAAGAGATAAAGAGAGCATAGGAGAATCAATACAAGTCGAAATGCGCAAATTCGGGGGGCCGGGAGAATGCCGCATTATTTACGTCCTGGGCTTGGCACCTTTTTTTTTTTTCGCGCGTCAGCCTTTCGACCCTTTCACGGTTCCCATACATTCCTCCCCCTGTCTCCCCATTCTTTATTCTTTCTCCGCTAGATCCAGCTTGATTTACAATGCCTCCTAGAAAGAGCACATCCGCTGCGCCGAAGAAGCCAGCTGCGAAGGCTTCGACGGAGACCAAGACCACTGGTCGGACCAAAAGGACCGTCACAGAGACCACCAAAACCGTGAAGGAATCCAAGTCGCGCAAAATGTCCACTGCTACCACGGAGACGACAAAGGCGACAAAGAAGCGCAAGGCCGATGACGATGAGGAGCCCAGTGAAACAAAAAAACCTCGCGTCACACAACCCCGTCAACTGAAGGCGACAAGGGCGACGAAGCCGAAGCCCAAGGTGGTCATCAATGAGGCTCCGAAGACCAAGCTGAATGTGTTTGTCTGCGGTGAAGGCAGCTCTGGAGAGCTTGGTTTGGGTGCGGCAAAGAATGTCATCGATGTCAAGCGTCCCCGTTTGAACAAGCTTCTTGGTGCTGAGGAAGTTGGTGTCGTGCAGGTTGCTGTTGGCGGTATGCACTGCCTTGCCCTCACTCATGACAACAAGATTCTGAGCTGGGGTGTGAACGACCAGGGAGCTTTGGGAAGAAACACCGCGTGGGACGGCGGCTACAAGGACATGGATGCCAGCGACTCTGATTCGGACGACGACGACAGCGGCCTGAACCCTCATGAGTCCACGCCCACTGCTATTCCTGCCAGCGCCTTCCCCGAGGGAACTGTTTTTGTGGAAGTCGCCGCTGCTGATAGCTCGAGTTTTGCCTTGACCGATGATGGTCTGGTCTACGGTTGGGGTACCTTCCGAGTAAGAATTGTCTCTGTTTCTTACCTGTGATATTTGCTAATGATCAGTTCAGAGCAACGATGGAATCCTCGGATTCGACGCCACTCACCACGTCCAAATGACTCCCCTCCATATCTCGTCTTTGAAGAAGATCACGCACTTGAGCTGCGGATCCAACCACGTACTGGCACTTGGCGACCAAGGTCGTGTTTTCTCCTGGGGCTCAGGACAACAGAACCAGCTGGGCCGTCGTATTGTTGAGCGTAACAGGCTGAACGGTCTGCAGCCTCGCGAGTTCGGGTTGCCCAAGAACATTGTCCATATCGGTAGTGGCTGCTACCACTCATTCGCAGTTCACACGTCTGGCAAAGTCTTTGCATGGGGGCTTAACAGCTTTGGCGCAACGGCTATCCGCGAAGGTGCTGGTGATTCCGAGGCTGCCATCGTGCATCCTACTCTCGTTGAATCGCTTTCGGGAAGAAATGTCACTCAAATTTGCGGTGGCTCTCATCACTCACTTGCCAGAACAGCTGATGGCGAGTGCTTGGTATGGGGTCGTTTGGACGGCTTCCAAAGCGGCATGAAGGTCGACACGCTTTCCAGCGAGTCTACTATCAAGGATGAGCGAGGTCACCCTCGCATTCTGATTGAGCCCACCCCCATCCCCGGAATCAAAGCTAAGACGGTTGCTGCGAACTCGGACCACTCACTTGCCATCGATGCCGAAGGCCGTGCCTGGTCGTGGGGATTCTCCGCGACCTATGCCACCGGCCAAGGTACTCAAGATGACATTGAGGTGGCCACAATTATTGACAACACTGCTGTTCGGGGCAAGCAGCTGAACTGGGCGGGTGCCGGTGGCCAGTTTTCCGTATTCACAGAAGCCGTTAGTGCGTGAACCCAAGAAATCCACTGATGGGTTGAACTCTCCTGTATTCTAAGATCTAATCTCCCTTTATTCAATGTTATTCCTTCGGAGTGTTCGGATCCTCTACGCATTCTCCCATCCTCAACACTTTCGCATGCGAATATGTAACCTGTTACCATTCTGTCACTGCCTTGCTTTTAGTGTTAGTGGGGTTGGTCCATTTGAACCAGTGACCGATCTAGTATTCTCCTAACGCGGAACTGACACATTTCCTCTGAGCCATAAGGTAGACATTGTTACGGAAGATTGCGGCTCGATAAGATGAAATTGAATGGAATGGATTAATTGCCGTCATAAAAGTCTATCGTAGAACTGTCTCCGCAGCTACATCCCAAGTTCCTTCATGGCTTCATATTCAGCGTCGTAGTCGTCGTAATCGTCAGGCGGTGGCCGCGAAGATAATGCGGCCACATCGGAGGGACGATCGGCCGTTGGCTCATCTTGTTCCTTGAGAAGATCATCTAGATCATCGTCCTCGGGTTCAGGGTAGCTGGTAGTGGGTCGTGTGCCTTCGTGATCTGGAATGAATAGGTCCCCGTCGCCTGTCTCCTCCTTGTCTTTGGTAGCCGGAGCTTCACCGTCATTGAAATGGGTTTTATTCTTAGGAATTTGAAGACTCCCAAGCATTTCTCGCGTAGGCTCTGAGCTGTCAAGAGGTCTTGGTTTCTCCTCGTCAATCCATTCTCTTCGCATGACCTGAATTCTTTTTGAATGACCCAACTTCTCGATCATCGTCAGGCCGTCTGCAAATTTTGCGCGTGGATATAGATCGTCTAGCCATAGCTGGTAAAAGTTGAGAAGGTGTGCGGCATCCGAAAACTAAAGAAGCATCTGGTCAGCTGGGACACCCTCCTTGGAGCGTGTTGGAGAACAAACCTCGTGCCCTTTGCCTTTGAACCTCAGCTTGTGTTTTGCAGATTGCCGTAGCTTAGGGATTCCCGCTTGTGAGAGTAGACTAGCCCAATCAGCATGACCATGCTTGCTGCAAAAATAAGGATGCTCACCGGCTTTCATCGAGTTTGGCGACGGGTTGCCGTTGCTTTGTGACCTTTATTTCTTCGTCGAGACCGAGGCCTAGTGCAGGACCCCCTCCTGTAGCGGGCTTGGTGTTGTTGGTGGTGTTATTATCAGGGGTGATCTCATCCAAGCCAACATCATAATCAAAGAGATCGTTCAAATCATTTGCTGGACTTCCATGCTCTGAAATGTTCGCGTCCGCCATAGTTCCAATAGGATATGGCGCTGGGAATTGATTGGGTATGTATTATGTTGAATGCCGGTTCATAGGAGTATCTCAGGAAGGTCTTCGAGGAAGTCAATTGCTCTGCGGTCACTATCAGACGCAATCAATCAGAGGCCGCCTTGACGCGTGACGCGAGTAGCATGTTATCTACGCTCTGATTGGCTGTCGGTGATAGTGCCCGCCTTCAATGCGCTAATCCCAATGGGGCTAGTGTACCCTCCTCTCCTCCAACTCCCAGAACTTCAACCTCGCTGCACATTCAACCCTCGAGTCCCAACATGGCGACAGACACCAAGACGGCCATTGTGCCCCCTAAGCGGGCTAGCACCGATTATCCCGTATGATTTCCTGCGTATCTTCTGGGAATCGCATTTTGCTTCCCTGTGCGCTTCTTGGCTCCTGTGCTAACATATCCCACAGTTGATCGATTCCGACCCGTACGGTTTACCCCGGATTTTAAGAATATGACTTAAGCTCACACCATTGACAGGCATTTGAAACGAGTGTTCGGATATGCCCGGCCTTCCGACTACGCCGTGGCCGGTGGAATGGCCTCAGTTTCTCCCATTGCCTTCTGGGTCATGGAGAGAACCAGCCCGTCGCATGTGGGCCGCGGTGGCTTCGCGCCCGTCATGCGCCTCGCTACAGCTGTCGGTCTGATTGGCGGTCTCCATGTGCTCTATCAGCGATCCTGCAGTATGTCAGCCTTCATTCGCGGATGCTTTCGCCAGATTTTAACGTCGCCGCTTACACCTTCGCAGGACGCTTCTACGGCTTCACCGAGAACTCTAGAGAGGTTGAGATGGACACCCGCGAGATGGTGGATAAGGTCAAGAAGGGCGAGCCTTTGTACGGCGCTTCCAAGATGTCTTCCTACCTACAAGGTGTTGCAGCCCGGAACTCGCGCTACTCGGAACTCTTCATCCATGTCCTCCCATGGATCAATGTCGTCAACCACGACCAGGTAAGTTTATATTCTGGCTCTTTAGCAGATCATGACATTGATTGCTCCACAGCATGGTGTCGACACGGCCAAGTACTACCAGCAGGCTGAGCGGGAATTGGAGGCAGAGCGGACTGGCTCCTCATGAATCACCCAGGAAAAATGATGGAGAGCCATTCCGGTGCAGACTTGTACACATATCCGCTTTCGTGTGTGTTTTTGGGGCGCAATTGCTATTTACAATACAGATTCCCGTTCTGATCAACCTTGAAATGTTTTCATTTGAGAATTTTGGTAAAGTAATATTCAGTCGTAGTAAACCGTGTCATTTTGTAGAAGGTGGACATCTACAATGTTGGTAGCGCCTCTTCACTGCCATCCTCGAATCTAGTATTCAACTCTCGATTCTTCTTCGGTCTCGGGTTAGGAGCTGACATGATGTTAGCAGCTGTTCGGCATCCAAATCCAATCACTCTTGCCTACCTTTCTCGTTTTCCTGGATGTAGAAACGACGGAGCAGCATGATTGCTTCTTTCTCGAACAGACCACCGCACACAGGGTATGGCGGGTCAATTGAGGAGCTAAGTTGGGTCAGCCTTGCAAGGTTTCTGAGTAGCTTTTAGGCCTACTCACTCGGAATGCAAAGACAGCACGCCTCCGGTCCCCCCAAAACGATCATTAGCACAACCGAAGTACACACTGCGTATGCGGTATTGCTTCAAGGCAGATGCACACATCACACAGGGTTCCACCGTCACATAGAGATCCGTATGTTGCAATGCTGATCTGGGGTAGGATTGGAGCATCTCTGCAATTGCTATGAACTCGGCATGCCGTGTCCCCTTCGTGGTATTAGCAATTTTTCAAACGTAGCAAGGCCTTCCACCTAACCACGTACATTCATGGATCTATTCGTGTCGTTCATGCCAAACCCCACAATCTGATCATTGTGCACCAGAACGCAGCCCACGGGGGTTTCACCTGACTGGAGTGCCTTCTCGCCCTGCCATCGAAGTCAGCATGAGTTCTCGCCGTGTAGGAGCATCATACCATCAGCAAAGCTTGTCTCATGAAATAGCCATGCCTTGAGTCCTCCGCCACCGCGGAGTCACCTTCGAACTCTATGGCAGATCCAACTTGAGAGTGCTGTAGGGTCTGCATTGTTTTTGGAAAGACAGCTCTAGCTGGGAAAATCCCATGCAGACCTCCGGACCGAGGATGTGAAAGACGTTGCAAGGGTGATGAAGGTGAGTGGTACCCGAGATTTCAAATGAGGTCAACCATTTATGGAGCTCTAATCACGTACGTTCCAATTCGGTCAAATACATCAATTAATTTGAAATTGCGGGACGCTATTGAGGCTCAAGGATCACGAGAATCATTCAAGGCAAAATTGTATACGCGGTGGTGGGTAAATGGTGCCTCAGGTGTCGGCGACATATCAACTCCGCGTATCTGCACCTCCTTCATACAACTCCTGACGTCTTGTTTGCGCACTCTGAATAGTGATCTTCGCCTGAACATGTGTGTCCCATATGGCCACCGAGGGGGACAATGAACGGGTCGCCGTGTCTGGGAATGGTTGGAGACCTGAACCCGCCTCGTCGATCCTTGCTGCACATTTTGCACCGCGTCTTGCCTCCCAAGGGCACGATGCACATCTCACAAGAGAAACTTTCTCACAGCTACGACAGGAACTTCTTGGTGAAGTTCACAATCAATTACGTGTGGACGAGGACGTCACCGATGTCAACAAACTCATATGCATTGTCTTAAAGGCTGGGCTCGATATCAGCCCAAAGAGCAGCTCTCCGGAGCAAAGCTTAGAAGGACAAGTACTCGACTGCTTGGATATTATTCAAGCAAGTATTGAGAAAGCCCCCCAAGCTCTGTGGGAACCATCTGACCCACTCATCTTGGGTGAGGATACACATGCGCCTCTCTTCTCATGGTTAATTCTGCGACTGATTCGACTTGCCAATATATGGACCTCCGAGACCGTGCGAGACAAGATTCAACTTGTCTGGTCTAGTCTAGCGTATTGCAGCCAAAGGCAGGCTCGGTCATTGCCTGCAAGTTATGCAGTTGCTGCGTTTCTTCGTACTTGCACGTCAGGTCTGTTTCTTTCTTCGTACCTAATCTCGGACTAGGCTAACACATTTCAATAGATATATTGTTCTCCCTTGAAACGTTCCAATTCAATGCTTCCTTGTCGTCACGCCATGCAAAGCTGACAATGCCCGCGGAACATGGAACGCTCATTGAAGACATCGAAAACCTAGGTCACTCACCTGGTTTGTTTACTAACCGCACAGTCCTTGGGGACTTCCACCAATCATTTTCACTGGCCTGTCGATTGCTAGACTCATTCAGCCCGAATAATGATGTGCCGTCCCGTGCAAAATATCACGAGTTGAACCTTTCGTGGACGCTGAACGGATATCATCGCCTACGAAAGGTCATTCTCGAGTGGCTGCACCTCTTTGGAGCCCAACTAACTCCAAATGACGAATCTTTGTCTTTGCGATACCTGGCTTGCTTGCAGCGTTGCTGCGTCTCGGGACCCCATGCTTCAAGTCTACTTTCAAACACGAGCCTAACTTCTACATGGTGTCAATGTCTACGTGGATTTTTGGGTCTAGGTGTCCTAGATCGGTTGCCTTCTGTTCAAGCACTTCTCAGTTGCTTCTTAGATGATCTTTCGCAGATAGCAACCAACTCGAACACACTGGTACAACAGTTGAGGGAAGCCCTTCCAGCTTTGGAAGATATCAAATCGAATCATTCCAATGACCATTTCTTTGAGTCACATCTATGGAATTCCCTTCAGACATTACATGCCAAGTTGGAATCGTCCTCAACTGATGCCTCGGCGAAATCGAATCCTGCCGTCCAGAGACCGAGTGTTTTATGCCAAGAGGAGCCAAATGAAGACGTCCGGGCACCAAAGCGGTTGTGTCTTCCAGGGCTGCCGATTGAATCCACGACTCAGGACTTGCTCCAGGTGCTTGTGGGGAAGATGTCTTCTGTTCTTCACTCTGACTGTGGCAAATCAATCTCAGAATTGCTTGCTGTCGTCCAAAAATTGCACGAAGGGCTTTCCGACCCCCAGAAAATCGAAATGCTGGACATTCTTGGCAAAATCGCATGTGCAGCAACCAGAAAACTTCGGAGGAAGCCTTCTGATATCATAGAACGAGTCACCCTCTTCTGCCAAACATGCGATATTGAAACCGGTCCACATAATGATGAAAGCACAGAATGTCCCCATTACGTGGAGATCTGGACAGTGTTCAATTTCATTCTACCCAGGCTAACGCGCACGCCTGGTCCTCGGATATCTGCAATGGTTGCCTTGAGAAGAATTCTAATGCATGCCCCAAACTCCAACCAAATGCATCTTTCAACTTCCGCCTCTGGGGAGTTCTGTCTTCATTCACTTCGAAGTTCAATAAGGGAATTGCGTATTGCGACTGGGCATACGGTGGTGGCCTTTGTCCGTCCAAGTCTTCCAGCAGACATTCGTCGAGCCAATTTTGTCGTTGTACTCGAGTGGGTTCAGAGTCTCTCCGGGAAAGATGATATGCCAGTGCAGGAAGCCTGTATTATGACTCTTTGTCGGCTAGCGACTGTCTCGGAGGATGAAGAAAAGAATATCATTCTTCTGCGGCTATTGGAGTATCTCGGACATCCAAATCCCTACGTTTGCGCCGTGGCTTACAATGAGCTATCCAAACTTGCACAGTACTTCTCTTTGACACCTGCTGGCCTGTTTCGGCCTTACTGGAGAACCCTCTCAGTGACTGTTGTCAAAAACCTTCAATCTCGCCCACATATGGCTGAACAGCTATGTGACTTGCTTGGCATGAAGGTGGATGGCTTCCTTCGGCTGACAGAAGTTCATGTCTTGCCTTACTTGGTTTTGACTCGGAAACGAGACATTATTTGCAGAATTGGGGCTAGTCGCAATGAGGGCGAATCTGCTTTCGATGTTTGTTCGGAGAAGAACAATCTGGCTGCAATCCTTGCTTTTCTCTTGTCGCAGCAATCAGACAACCCAGAGGCCATGATCATGTCCCTCTTGGCAGAGATAGATCCCGCTTTTCAGGGCCGATCATTGGCAGAGTTGGTGCGAATCGAACCGATTCTCATCACCTGTGACTTGCTGAAAAGCCTTGGTGATGCGGGCGAGCAAAAAAAGGAAAGGTTTTATCAAGCCCTTCAACGCCTGGCCACGTTCGTCCCGCGAAAGATCTCTCATGGAAGCACGTCAAAAAGTGCAGATCTGAGTCACTTCATTGAAGAGCATGTTCTCGGCATTATTACCCAGTTCGCGAATGCCATCAATGACTTCCAGGTGAGACAAACGTTGGCAGAAAAGAGGAGAAACATCAAAGCTATCGAAGAAATGATCAACATCGCCCAGGGTCACGTTAGCAGTGCTTTGCCCCAGGTTTGTGCCTGTCTTCGTTCTGCTCTTGAAATCGAGGAACTATGCGACTGCGCATTCTCTGCGTGGAAGACCTTGGTCAGCTCACTTAGTGAAGAGGATCTTGAACCGATAATTGACCAAACTCTGGCAATTGTGATTAGATACTGGGACAACTTGACCGAAGAGAGCAGAAACCGTGCCTGTCAGCTCATCGATCACATCTTGACAAATCATAGGAGTCTTGTGAGAGATACATTCAACACAATGCCTTCGCTTGCGTCTATTCCAGAATTGGCCACGTTTGATGCCAAGATCAATGACCTTAGGGCCCAAATGGATGTGCGCAGCCAGTTCCTGGCACTTATACGTCGCTGCCAAAGTGAGAATGCTACCGTCGTTGAACAAGCATTGATGGAGTTGGCGCCTTTTCTGTCAGCAAATGAGGAGTTCCTCCACGACTCTGTTCTAAGTGAACAACCAGATCCTGTGATTGCCCATTTGACCAGGTCGCTGTTAGACTGTTGTGTGAAATTCAGCACCACTTCGGACAGCATTACGTTGCTGTCGGCACGATGCTTGGGGCTTGTCGGCTGCCTTGATCCCAACCGAGTAGAGACAATAAAAGAGAAAAAGGACATACTCGTTTTGTCCAACTTCGACAGGATGGAGGAAACAGTTGCCTTTATTCTTTTCTTCCTCCAGCACGTGCTGGTGGAGGCATTCCTGTCTGCTTCTAATACAAGAGCCCAGGGCTTTCTAGCATGGGCTATGCAGGGTCTACTCAAATTCTGCAAGCTAAATTCGGTGTTTAATCAGCGCGCCCGCGATCTTCAAGGCGATGAAAAGCATCAACGCTGGATGGAGCTTCCGGAAAGTGTTCGGAACACTCTCACGCCCTTTCTCACATCGACATACACGGTCACTGTTGTAACCAATCATGCTGAAGTCAGATATCCGCTGTTTTCCTCTAAATTGACTCACAGCGAATGGCTTCGAGCTTTCGTGCAAGATCTTCTGCAAACAGGTAATGGAGACAACGCAAAGATGGTCTTCTCCATATCTAGTCGTGTCGTGAAAGGTCAAGATATTTCCATATCTTCGTTCCTTCTGCCCTTTGCGGCCCTGAACCGTATTGTAGGAGGGACTGAACAGGAGCAGCAGGATCTTCAACGCGAGTTGATGAGAGTTCTTTCGCATCCTGTCCCCGAGACGAACAACAATGCCCGTGAGACAATCATAAGCAGTAGTCAGAGCGTCTTTGAAGTGCTTGATTACCTATCCAGGTGGCTACAAGGGAAAAAAAAGCACCTTAACGGCCTGACACAGAATTCCAACCATTCGAGTCGTTCCCATAAGGATTTGAGCCGTGACGCACTCATCGACAAATACTCATCACAGATCAAGTCTGTTGAAATGCTTCTATCTTCCATACCTCCCGAGATTATCTCTAAGCGTGCTGTTGAATGTAAATCATTCTCCAAAGCACTCTTTCACTGGGAGCAGTACATTCGGAAGATCAAGTCGCACAGAGAAGAACAGGATCGCAGCAGCCTTGAGCCTCTGTACCAACGATTACAAGACATCTATAGCCAAATCGATGAACCGGATGGCATTGAGGGCATCTCAAGCCACTTGTCCGCCTTGAACATTGACCAGCAGGTCCTTGAACATAGGAAAGCCGGAAGATGGGCCACAGCGCAGAGTTGGTATGAACTACAGCTTGAAAAAGAGCCCAATAATGTTGACGCTCAATGGAATCTTGTGACCTGCCTCAAAGAATCTGGTCAACAAGATGCTATCCTTACCCGCTTCGAGGTTCTCAAAGAAAGCGAATCAGCGGCTTCGCGATTCCTTCCATTCGCAGTTGAAGCAACGTGGATCATGGGCAGATGGGATAAGCTAGAAGGCTACCTTGAGCTGTGTGCTGAACAAGACACTGAAGAGTTCAATGTTGGCATCGGGTCAGCCCTTAATGCTCTTCGTCAAAAACAAACTGGTTCATTCACAGACAAGATCAACGAGCTCAGGCTCAATGTTGCTCGATCACTGACCACAAACTCGGTGGCATCGCTACAATCATGCCATGACGACATGCTTCGGTTGCATGCTTTGTCGGAGGTAGAATCTATTGCCAAGGTAGAGTCTGGTCGCTCGCATTCAGGCTTGCTCGATACACTGGACAGGCGGCTGGATGTTTTGGGCGGTTACCTGTCTGATAAACAATACCTTTTAGGGTTGAGACGTGCCACCATGGAGCTAGCGTGAGTTGCGTCTGGACAAACATCAGGGATTCAACTAATGTGTGATTTAGGGGCCAATTTGCCGATTCTGATATCTCTGCTGCATGGCTGACTAGTGCGCGTCTATCACGCAAGGGCAACTTCAGCAGTCAAGCGTATCACTCAATGCTGAACGCTGCACGTTTGAAAGACAGATCTGCTACCATTGAACATGCGCGACTCCTCTGGAAAGATGGACATCATCGAAAGGCCATTCAGACTCTTGAGGGTGCAATATCTGCCAATGAAGCCAACCCAACCACATCCTCTTCAGTTGAAGTTGAAGCCATGTCATTCCTCTCAAGCCGCGGACAACATCAAAATGAATCCACTGCTCTCGCTCATCTTATGCTAGCTAAATGGACAGACAGAGCCGGTCAGACCCATTCTCAGGCCATTGTTCAGAGATACCGAGAAGCCATCAAGCTGTATCCAAAGTGGGAACGGGCACATTATTACCTTGGAAAGCATTACAACAAGATCCTGGAATCCGAAAAGGCCAAACCCATGGGAAAGGAAGCCCAGATATATCTAAGTGGAGAAGCTACAAAGCTTGTCATTGATAATTATCTCCGCTCATTGACATACGGGACCAAATATGTCTTTCAAACACTGCCCAAGCTCCTTACTCTCTGGCTTGAACATGCTTCTATCGTTGAGCAGCCACTTGATCCTAAACGGGGCGATAATGAAGATTTCCAGAGACATACGAAAGCCCAACGACAGAAGAGTCTGGATGAAATGCATGCACAGCTGAAGAAATACATCGAGAAACGCTTACAAGCAGCTCTGTTGTTCACAATCCTGCCCCAAGTCGTTGCCCGGATCTGCCACCCCAACAGCACAGTCTATGATCTGTTGACGCGGATCGTAGCCAAAGCGGTTCACAATTTTCCACAGCAGGGTCTCTGGACTGTCCTAGCCGTGGTCAAATCCTCCAACAAAGAGCGAGCCACTAAGGGCTTCACCTGCCTGCAGAAGATTATGGTAAGTAGCTACTTCTTGGACCCGATCACATAATAACTAACCTACCCAGGATTATGGAAACAAGTCCAAGGGAGAGTCATCATCGGCATCCGATATTCGCCGCATGATAAACCAAGGCCAAAAGTTTTCCGAAGAACTACTTCAACTCTGTCTTGCTCGAGTTGAGGGGAAAGTGACCAAGGTCCAACTGGGACGAAATCTAGGATTCAACCATAAAGTGGCACCGTGTCGACTGGTTGTTCCTTTCCAGGCGATGTTGATTCCAAGCCTTCCTGCCAGCCATAACCTTGAATACATCAAAGGATTCAGGGCTTTCCCCGGGATCCAACCACCATCGAGGCTGTTCTTGATGATGCTCAAATTTTGAATTCGCTCCAAAAGCCACGCAAGATTAGCATACGAGGATCTGATGGGAAGATATACAATGCACTGTGTAAACCCAAGGATGACTTGCGCAAGGACCAACGTCTCATGGAATTCAACAACATGATCAACAGGTTTCTCAAGAGAGATGTCGAATCAAGCAAGCGGCGCATGTGTGAGTAGTTCTGGTGTATGTTCATCCAAGCCAAAAGCTGACACTGAATAGATATCAAAACATACGCTGTGACGCCTTTGAACGAGGAATGTGGTCTTATCGAGTGGGTTGACAACCTCCGCACGCTGAGGGAGATTATTATCAAGGCTCTACGCGAGAGAGGAATTTCACCAAACGTAAGTTTATGGGTACCATATCAGAATTGCTGGATTTGTTTGTTGACGAACGCAATAGTACAACGAGATCAGGCACTATTTGGACGAAATCTGCGCCGATCCATCATTCTCAAAACTGCCGTTGTTCACAACCAAAATCTTGGCCAAGTATGTTCCAAGATAGCTCTCTTTGTCAGTGTTCTCCCATACTAACAGGCAACAGGCTTCCCCCAGTTCTTCATGAGTGGTTCATCGAGATGTTCCCCGAGACAGAAGCATGGTTCACAGCCAGACTGCGGTATACACGATCTTCTGCCGTTATGTCAATGGTGGGATATGTCCTGGGGTATGTTAGGTCGCCATTCTATTGCTCCGAGGGCTTCTTTTACCTTAGTTCTGCGACACTAATACCGGTTACTTCATTATAGTCTAGGCGATCGACATGGCGAGAACCTCTCATTCGAGGAAGGCACAGGTGGCCTATTACATGTTGATTTCAACTGTCTCTTTGACAAGGGTCAAACGTTCGAAAAGCCCGAGGTGGTACCATTCCGACTGACCCATAACATGGTTGATGCGTTTGGCGCTTATGGATACAACGGTGTGTTTGGATGAAACCTCGGCGTTGGTTCTGTACTAATTCTAGAGGTATAGGTCCCTTCAGAAGGACCTGTGAAATCACTCTCAGTCTTTTACGACAGAACGAGGACGCATTAATGACTGTTCTCGAGACCTTTTTGCATGATCCAACAACAGATTTTATTGGCAAGAGGGTGAGCATAACTTGATTTAGTTTCTCAATGAGCTGCCACTAACATATACCCTTTTTCCCCTCTCAGCGTCGCGCCCATGTCAATGTCCCCGACACACCAGCTGGTGTTTTGGAAGACGTGCGAAACAAACTTCGGGGCTACATGTCTAAACAGCCCATTGCCCTTTCCGTGGATGGCCAAGTGGATGAGTTGATCGTGCAAGCAACAGACAAGAAGAAGCTGGCGTCGATGTATATCGGATGGTGTTCATTCTTCTGAGCTGTCAATACGACGCCGTTACTTTGATCCATAGTTAGAAAATGCAGTTTACCATTCTAAGAAAATGACAAGAAATGGACCCCGGAGGACATTGTTCTTATTTAGGTGCTGCTCCATAGCTTCGGTTTCTTTCTTGATTTCAATACATTGATTGTGGATGTTTTGTGGAAGACATTCAGTTGCCTGCAACAGAAGGCCAAGCAGAGAAGGTGAAATTTCACACCAAGGAACCATACTCCACGAAGACAGTGACATGATATTTTGAACCATTGGGTGCTCAGTGGCGGTTTCGGCCACGGCTTCTGGCTGGACTGCGGCTACGACTGCTGTCACCATAACTGCTGTAACTTGGGCTACGGCGCCTGCGGTGGCGCGAATCTGCGCGAAGACTACCTCGTCGGGGTAGGGGAGACCGTGATCGAGAAGAGTACGACCGAGAACGAACCGGGGATCGTGACCGAGATAGAGACCTTGGTCTGTAGACATCATGACGTTCCGTAGGCCGTCCACCTCCGTGTCTCCTTGGCGGAGACTGCTGGCCTGCATATGGTCCCCGGCCATATCTAGGACGGCCGCCAGTCCCACGGTTTGATGCAGGGGGCGGCGAGTGTGAGAATTTCCGTCGGGGAAGAACAATTGAAACATTCAAGATGGCCCCATCAAGCTGAGCCTCGTGCATGTGAGCAATAGCGGCCTCTGCATCGGCAGGGTCATAATAGAGAATATACGCCGTTCCGCGGTTGGTCATAACTAAAATAAAAGGCGTTAGAACATGTGCGTCGACGCGTGAAAAAGAAGCAAGTCTCACAGGCCTTGTTGATTGGAAGATCGAGGTACTCGATGTCTCCAAAGTCCCCAAAGATCTCTCGGATGTGATTTTCCGTAACATTTTTGGTCAGTTTCTCTACCACAATCTTTCAGTAAGATGAACGTTAGCACATTCTTCATGCCCTTACTATCTTGGAAGGGGCTATGCGTAGATTTGCACCAGCACTGACCTTGGAACTTCTCGGGGGCTTTGATTCGGACTGGGTGACCGACTGTCACTCTTGCTATGATACCGACGACCACCTCGGCTGCGACTGCGGGATCGGGTTCTGCCACGAGAGGGGGATCGGGTTCTTGAGCGATAGCGATCGCGACGTCCATGGGACGGACTCCGACTAATGCTCCGGGGAGTTTCACTCAGGGGCCTCGAGCGACGTACAGAACGCGACCGCGATCGCGCTCGGTCCTGCTCGAGTGAGCGTCGTGGTGAAGGACCACGAGGTGATCTCATGGACATCTTGAAGACTGGGCGCTCGGGGCGCACGAAGACCTTATCAGGTACGATAAAGATCCAGGAGGCTGAGATTAGAAGAAGAAATACAATGTCAGATGGAAAGCGCAAAGAGCTGAGAGTTTTGTCGCAAGTGAAGGGAACCTCCGAAGGGATGCGTTCTAAAATACGCTAACCCGATCTAGTAATAACCTCTCAAGTATAGTTCCTTTCACCTTTGCCATCACCTTCGCCTATTGCCTTTATTCTTTTTTCTTTTATTGTACAGCATATTCAAGGTTTCTTCTAGCCATCCCTCCACTGTTCATACTCTTTGATTACAGCATCCGTAATCTGGCGCCGCACTTGTCCCAGTGCATATTCAAAGTGCTTCCACTTCACATCCTGCTCCTGCTGAGTCTCCTCTTCTTCGTCGAGTGCAGCATCTCCGGCAGTTTCACAGACACTGACTATCTCTGCACCTGAGTATCCCTCGGTCAGAATTGCCAGGTTGTCCAAGTCGACCTCCGGATTCACCACGGACTTGTTGGCCCAGATGCGTAAGATTTCCTTGCGCGCTTCAACGTCTGGCGGGCCGATATAGAGGATGTTATCCAATCTTCCAGGGCGCATCAAAGCCGGATCTAGAACATCGGGCTTGTTGGTGGCCGCAATGACCAGTACATTTCGGAGCTCTTCAATGCCGTCCATTTCATTCAGCAAAGTCGTCAAAACGTTGACACCTCCCTGGGAGCTGCCGCGTCGCGCGGCAATGGCATCAATCTCGTCGAAAAATATGATGCTAGGCCTTGCAGCTCTAGCTTTTCGGAAAATCTCTCGCAATGACCGCTCGGATTCTCCAACATACATGCTAAGGATCTCGGCGCCCTTGACTGCCAAAAAGTTCAACCCAGCTTCGGTTGCCAGGGCCTTCACTGTCAACGTCTTTGAACAACCCGGTGGTCCATAGAGAAGAACACCCTTTTTGCTATTGACATTGAGTCTGCGCATCCGTTGGGGATACTAGTATATAAGGTTAGCTTTGTTCAATTTATTGAGTTTGGAATTCTTCTCACCTTCAAAGGTCGCTCGACTGCTTGTTGGAGACGTCTTTTAATCTCATGCTGTCCACCAATGTCCGACCATCTAACCTTGGGGGTCTCTAGGAAAACTTCCCGCATGGCAGTAGGACGAATCTCCTGCAGAGAGGACATGATATCTGGCTCCTGGATCACCAGCGGAATGGCCTTGTCACCCACGCTATCACTCCCAGGGTGTGAGCTATGGGGCTCTATCGTGGAGTCGGCCGATGTTACAGGGGAACTCTTTTCCAACAGTTGCCGTTGTCGAGCTTTGCGACAGACTAGTTGCAGGAGAGCGAAAAGGTCAGCCCCTACGTATCCGTGTGTCTTTTCGGCCAGGAGCTCCACGAGCTCATCAGTTAAGCCAGCAGAAACTGGTCCACGAATGGCACGTAAAATTTCCGCTCTGTCCTGTGCGGTTGGAACTTGCAGTTCAATCTCCGTCCCAAGTCGATGGGGAGTTCGGAGGGCGTCATCCACCTGGTTAGGGTGCCGTGTTGCGGCTACCACTAGTATTGATGTACCTCGAAGGGCATCTAAGTTTTCACACAAGACAGATGCAAGAGACTGAGATTCGAAAGAGGTTCGCTTTGGGGCAATAAATTCCAGCTGGTCGATGATGATCACACTAGGTTTAGAGCGAGCTGCCTCCTGGAAGATATTGCGCAGCTTGGCCTCACCTTCACTGGTACTTCTGCCCAGAGAGGAGGTCCCGATTCTGAAAACTTGTCTCCAGCCAGCCTTCTCGATCTGTTCCAAAAGGCTTGTCTTGCCAGTGCCTTTTGGTCCGTAGAGTAGAATGCCTCGGGTGTTCTCGTAAAATGATGGCATCGCTGGTTTCCGCGGATCAATTTTAAAATCAGACAAGCTCTCATTGATGTCCTCGATCTGGCGGGATAGACCTCCAAGGCCAACAGACTGGACTTGAATGTCAGAGGGCTTATCTGCCGTAGATACTTCCGTTTCTGCTCCAAGAGAGATTCTGGAAGCCTCTGTGAACTGGAACAATGTGTGGCTGGAGTTGGGATTCTTAGAGCGGATGTTGACCACTCGGAAACTCCTGGGCTGGCCCTTGAGCTCCAGTTCGAAGGTCAGTCCTGTTGTCAGAGAGCCGCATCTGAGAAGCTTTTCATCCAAGGCCCATTCCCAGTGAGGCCTGTCGGCGTCCGAGATGGGACCGTACTTGTCGATCTTGTCGGCATCCGAAGAATCTGCTAATGTCACCAATTCGATGTCCTCCAGTGAGCCATCGACCTTGGTGATGGAAACTTTTTCTCCAATTTTGATACCGTAGCAATCTTGCAGGGTCCTTGATGTTTGCATGACAGTATTTTGAATATTTTCTGCTGCATACCATGCTATAGCAGTCTTGGGTGGCCCATCAGCTTGCCTTAATGTGCAGATGCTCTCAGTTTGCAGCCTCAACGCAGCCAGCGATGAGGAATTAAGATAGACCCGAAAGGCATCTTTCAAATCTTTCCGCGCCGTTTGTTTCGACAAAGGTCGAGCAGTAAAACTGCGAACCTCAGCCATGTTGAAAGTTGGTTGTGGTTCAAGAATGGTGGGGTTGAGTTTTTCCCCTCCTATATAGAATACAGTAGTTCAAAAGTATGCAGGCAAAGCCTGGAGTTCTGGAGTATCTCGGGATTCCCTGGAGATCAACTAGTTTCGAAAAAAGTTGTATCTCGACCGGAGAGAGAGATTTTCTATTTTTTTGGAGGGGCAACTTCGGGAACGGTACACAGCAGAATTCGAGAAATGTACCCCAGAAAGTGGGCCTGTGATAGGCATATAAACTACGGACATATACAGTACTGCAAAAACTTGGACGTTCAGACATGCGAAACCCAGAAAATAATAGAATAATAGCTCAAAGACAATGGTAATACAACTAACAACACTTTCCTCCAGAGTTACCGTTCAGACCCGAGCCCTGCTGGTCTATACTCACCCCCTGGGAACCCGATTGTTCGGTCTTGGATGTGTCCATCCCCTTCTTGATATCCGATGCAAGGCTATAGAACGCCTTCTCAATGTTGATGTTGTTCTTGGCTGACACCTCGAGGAAAGGAATGCCGAGTTCATCGGCGAGCTGCTGGCCTTGCTCGGTAGTAACCGCTCGTTTCTCTTCCCAGTCACACTTGTTTCCAATGAGGATCTTGTGTACGCCTTCGCTGGCGTGCTGCTCGACGTTTGAAAACCATGTCCGAATGTCTAAATGGAGAGAGGTGTCAGGCACAGCCCACTGGCAAAGAAAAGGAAGGACTCACTTTGGAATGATCGCTCGTCTGTCACATCATAGACAAGGAGGATACCCATGGCGCCTCGGTAGTACGCCGTCGTGATCGTGCGAAAGCGCTCCTGGCCTGCTGTGTCCCAGATTTGCAGTTTCACCCTCTTTCCGTCCAGTTCGATCGTGCGGATCTTGAAATCGATACCGATGGTAGTGATGAATGATGGGGTAAAAGAGTCTTCACTGAATCGTAGAAGACAACATGACTTGCCCACGCCGGAGTCTCCGATCAACAGTAGTTTGATCTATAACCATGTCAGATTGCATCTCTTGTACGGCGGTGGGTCAACTGACCAAGAAGTCATAATTCCGTGTGCCCGCCATGATGGATGGTCGCGATGTTTGTGAAGAGGGGTGAAAGGTGGCAAGGTGGACAGTCTGAGGATCGAACCCCGTTCAAGACTTGAGTTGTAAGGAAAAGTAGATGGGAATGGGGGTATCTGGAGAGAAGCGGAGAAGCAGCGTGGATAAATCGGAGCCTGGTAGATTTCCCCCGAGGTATCAAAGGGTAGTGGACAGGAACGATGCGACCGATATCAAATGTAAGAGGACAAGGGCGTTTACACAAGCGTAAGATTTGACTTTGGGAAAGGAGGTCGATAACCTGAGTGGAGGTGATGACGGTACGCAACTATCTACCTTATGTAAGCATCATGTGTTCAGTCTATAACGGTATAACTAAAGAGATGGCATGGATATTATATGTTTTTCTGTCAAGTTTCTCTATTGAAAGTATGACCATCTCATCCTCTCAATCACGTGAAGCTGCTTATCAACTCCATCTTGTACATTAAGCAGATCTTGGATGTCTTCTCGGAACTCTTGATACTTCATGCTGCTAGAAACTGCTCTCATCTGCTGGAGTAGAGCCTCCGCCTCACATATCAGCTGACCAGAATCTTTGTAAGGGATGGTTCCATTGGATGAAATCGCAGAGGAAGTCAAAATCCGGGCCACATTGCTACAGTCATCGCGGTTAGTATTGGGGGAAGTATAGTTTGACCAGTTAGGGGCGTCTTACCGCAATCCACGCTTGAGTTCATGTTGCTGCTTGCCCTTTTGCAGGCCTCGCCGGCTACCAAAAAGGCTTCCCAGCCATCTCAGGGTTGCAAAGGAGACCAGAATCCCTGGGGTTAATCCGACGAACCTAACAAATTCAATCAATAATGCCCATGTTCTTCAAATCGGGAGCACATACCCAAAGACAAGTTCTTGGCTCTTCAGTAGAGCATCAATACCGCTGATGGCAATTTCCACGTCAACCTTGGTCTTCTGGATTTGAATTAAGAGGGCGCGGATGAGATCGCCTCGAACGGTGCCAACAAGAGGCGACCGTAAGTCCCTTTCATACGCTTTCAGGACGGGGGTCAAGTCACCCTCCTTAACTGAATTCACGATGGCGGTGGTGTCTGCCACTCCTTCATGGAGGTCCGGGCGATCTTGAACAAAATCGACCACCATTCTTTCCAAGCTGGCCCGGTCAGCCAGTAGGCTATTCTTGCTCATGATGGCAATTTCGCTCTTTTCATCGTGTCTGATCGTCCCAATGAGCTTTTGGATGGGGTGTACAACCCAGTTGCCCCAAAAGTCGATGGCTGTGGCACCAATGTTCATAACCCCCTGAATGATTTCCTCTTGTCTGTTGGACAAGAACCTCATTGATACACTGCCAGAAAGGATTGCAGCTGAGATTGGCAACCAGTAGCGGACTATGCCTGAAGGGCGCCCATGGTGACTAACAAACATTGACACCGAAGCTGTATGCTGTGGCAACTTCTGTCGAAGAACATGCACAAGTCGTTCAATTAATTCGAGAGGCTGTTGTACAGGGGATTCACTCTGCGCTTGCATCTGCATCCTATCCATATCTTTCTTCAGGGTTGCAAATACGCCCTCTTCCAACGCCTGGATGCTGGGCTCAAGGCTTATCTGGTGGAAAACAGCTTCGATCAGAACCACTGCCCTGTATACTTCATCGCGCCATTTGTTGCTGACAACCGTCGAGGTGGCGCTCGCAGTCGAGTCATCGGCCTCGAACAAATGCCACCTCTCCATCAGAAGGCCAAGGCTGCTGGTGTGAAGATCCTTCATTGCAAGGATGAAGTCTCTTTTTCGCCGCATCTCCGCGCGCGATGACCTGATGGGAGCAAGCAAATGGCCGCGTATGGAGTGTCCACCTAATTTCCAGACACTCTTTCGGGCAACCTGATAGAATTGAATCCACCTGTCAGCGATGGACGAGGTACCTTGGGTTTGTGTCAGATACGTGTTCTTGGTCCATCGAAACAGCTGCACTGGGGAGGTCTGGATCGTATACAGGCCGCTGTGCCAGACTGAGCCTAGCATCTCCCCCCAATAATAAGCTTCGTCGTGGAGTTCAAGCGTTTGGTCCAGAAGAGTGTTCATCATCAGCCCTGATGCCTGGACGGCAGCCTTTGCAGCTACAATCCATACATAGTCAGAGATATTCCCAGCGGGCACCCCAGATATACTCGACTTTGATTGGAGACGAGAGACAGCCGGGCCAGAGAGCAAGTCGGCCAATCGATTGGGGGGTAGAAGGGCTTGGTTTTTCGATGTCACTGAAATAGAGTGGATGACATCTTGCAACTGGTCGATATGTTCCTGGGACTGATTGGGAAGGGAAGCGGCCTCAAGTTTTGGAGTTGCAATCTGTTGCTGGAGGCGATCCAACTGTGAGTTGACGCCACAAACCGTTCTAGGGAAAACAATGAGTACAATGGTCCTGGAACTTGGGTGGTTCCACCACACTTACTCTCGTATGACCGACATAACTCCGGTGTAGTAAGAGTGAAGCTCAAAGGGAAAAACGTCATGCCGTCATACACAAACAAAGCAAACACAAGTGCAAACAGACCAAACTGTACTCGCGTCTACGCGTGTACAGAGCATACTGAACTTTTCATCTATTCTGGTACTCTGTACTCCGTAAGAATAGTAACTAGTAAATTGGAGCCTAAAGACTAAATTAAAGAAAGTCAAGACACTACAATATACCCCATAACTCCGTAACTTAGATTAAGATCGTACGATTCAGCCATACATAGACGAGGGAATTCCGCATTATGCAGGTGGGGTGACCTCGGATGCCGGCCTGCCAGTGGCCTTATGTCCCGTCAGGGGGAAAAGTCTCGCCACGTCGGGATTAGATTGTCCCTGATCGCCCTTTTTTTTTTGAATATTTTCCATTTCCCCCTTTCTATTCGTTCTTTATAAGAACTGACGACTGACTACTGACTACTTCTTCCATCTTTTCACTTTTACCTACCTTCTTCTATTTGAAATACGACATTATGTACGTTCTCCCTTTGACATTTCAGTCTTCTCCCCCCACCCCTAACCTTTCGTTTAGGAACTCAACGGTCTTGTCCTCAGGGACTTACTGGGGCCAATTCGAGGAAATCTCCAAGTACAACACCCAGCTCAATGTGGCAGAGAGGCTGTGGGCTGCCTGGTATGCTTGGATGCAGAATGATGTTCTCGCCACTGGCATCATGTCGTTCGTGATGCACGAAGCAGTGTACTTCGGTCGGTCGCTTCCTTGGATTTTCATCGATACTTTGGGCTTGTTCAATCGCTACAAGATTCAAGGAGTGAGTGATCTTTCTAATCGAAGGAGATGCGTTCCAAGATTTCTAACAGCCTTTAGAACAAGATTCCCTCGCTCCGCGAACAGTGGGACTGCGCGAAATTTGTGCTTCTCAGTCACTTCACCGTGGAATTACCTCAGATTTGGTAAGAATCTCGATTCTCTAGCCTTGGAATTCCCACCTGACTGACTCTAGGCTCTTCCACCCCATGGCACAATTCTGTGGACTCTCAACCTCGATCCCATTCCCCACCCTTTGGACCATGGCATACCAGATTGCGGTTTTCTTCGTGATGGAGGATACTTGGCATTACTTCTCCCACCGCGCTCTTCACTGGGGCCCTCTTTACAAGGCCATCCACAAGATCCACCACCAATACTCGGCGCCTTTCGGCTTGGCCGCTGAATACGCGTCTCCCATCGAGGTGATGATCCTAGGCTTTGGAACTGTCGGCTGCCCCATCCTCTGGTGTGCTGTGACTGGTGATCTACATATTCTCACCATGTACATCTGGATCGTGCTGCGCCTGTTCCAGGCCATCGATGCGCACAGCGGTTATGAATTCCCCTGGAGTCTTCACCACTTCCTTCCCTTCTGGGCTGGTGCTGATCACCATGATCTTCACCATGAGAAGTTCATCGGCAACTATGCTAGCAGCTTCCGCTGGTGGGATTACGTCCTTGACACCGAGTACACCCCGGACGCTCTGAAGCGTCGGAGGGAGAACAAGGCCAAGGTTTCAAACAAGGCGCAGTAAAGGAGCATTTATTTGCCGGTCTTCTTTTTTCGCCCTCTTGGCCTCATTCGACTTGTTGTCCAGCTGGCAACAGGCGTTCGTGGAGGCTTTTATGATACCATCTTGAGGATGGCTTATCAAATGTGATAATGTATTTAATACAACGTTTATGTGCTTTCAAGCAATACCTTAGAATTTTAATGGGATAGCCATTGGCCCCTCTACTATATTCAGGGGTCCCCTTACCTAGCAAACTGGTAGCCCTAATTGAGCTCTGATCCGGTTTTCGGCAATCTAGCGATCTTTTTAATGTTATTTGACTAATAATCTACCGAATATGACTTTATGTAACTTGGATCAATCAATCAATCAATCAATCAAAGTTCTATTAACCTGTTGGAGCCTAACTAGTATCGTAATGGCTATGCAGGCGCTTCTTTCCAGATGAAGCAAGAACTCGTGTCCGTACGCCTGATCATGCTCTAGTACAAAAATGAAGCTGGTTCTCAATGAGTGGAAGCACCAGCCCGTACATGTGAGCCAAACCCATAAAGCCCGCAAATGCTTTGAAAGGCCCAATACAAATGAAAATTCAACGCTAATAAGCAATGAATACAAGAAATGAATGCGTGGATGCACCTCCACCTCTCCAATGTCCTCTCCTTCTCACGAGACATATACACACCTCCGTATCAAAGATATGTAACTTGGATTCCTAGGCAATTTGATGAATATCTCTAGCCCTATATATCACACCTTTTTGATAGTTAATTCTCTGGCGACAACACTGGACTCATACTGCGTAAGCAATCTGATTCATTGTTTACGTACAAATCGATGTATTTGCAAGGTTCCTTTGTGTCTGTGGGGCCCTGTAGTGCCCACTTGTATATTTCTATCTCTTCATCGTCGTATTCCCGCTGCCCTTCATGTGGTTTTGAAGCTTGGCATTATGTCTTAGAATACAGTGCCTTTGGTTTGACTTCTGTTTGGGTTTCTTATCATACCCACTTAGATAAAGCCCAATACCATAAATGCGGTGCCAGAAGCAAGCATTCTTGTTTGGGCGTAGCCGTAGGCTTTCACAATAGCATACCGTGTTGGGCTACCAACTGAGTAACTAAGCTGCGCTAAAAGACCCTCGTAGATAAGGGCTATATCAGTGATAGCTGATTCCGGTAGGCTTTGCTTAAGTTGCTTTAAGAACGTGTTTGTACAAATCGCTCTATAGATTGCACTACCTACAGCGCCACTATTACTGCCTGTCTATCACGAACAATAAGACTAGTACCGCAGCAACGTGTTAGTGGTCGACAGAAGCGAGAACGGTAAGCTGCGCCCAAATAACGAAAACACTCCTAGCGATAGATTCAAAAAGAAGAAACTAGCAAATAACAATATAGTCAATGTATCCACCTAATTGGCGGAAATTAACTATCAGGCCTAATCCGAAGATATAGAGCGGTACACACACAGATAATCTATTTAAAGCGACCTGTGATGTGGATAAGCCAGCTAGTAAGGAACAAGAAGACAAAGGAGACCGCGCTAAAGGTGTCGCCGACATATCTAGCAGTGGCCACATCTAGCTTGTGCACCAAGGATAAGAGGTAACTAGTAAGAGACCTATAATGTCATCTCTAGGATACGTGCGCCTAAGACAGTCTAGTCATTAAGAAACTTATAATTTAGGAATGGCACGGGGGCGAGACAAGCCTCATAGAATCTAAATCTAATAATAAGAATCAAGCCCACCACAATCATGGCAACGACATAGCCAGTTTGCTAGCCGCGGGGTGCAGTACTAGCCATGTGAAGGGAAGGAGGAATATAACGAAGCTCCAGGGCAAATAGGGAACCAGGGGACTATATCTCCTTTAGCAATTCGTCAACGGTTAGAAAAGACGTCACCTCACAATCAAATTCTATGATGATCTAACAGATCTGTTATAGGTTGAACTATTAGGATTTCCTTCCCCTAGTGATACTGCCTTCCTTCTTAGCTCTGCGCAGGTTATAGGCTAGCAAAACATATAGGGGCATTTTGAATACCGGCAAAATGTTTGCCTAGATTCCGTAACCCTATCGCTAGTTAACGTGGCTAGAAATTCCGTACCGGTCTTAGATCTAGCAAATGTTGATATCGACGCTAGTGACGAGGCAAATGCAAATGTGAGGGCTCGTTCGCAAATTCGTGACAGCGGACACATAATAGCTATATGCAACACCTCTTAAAAACAATTGAATATGAGATCTAGATTTGTGTTAGCGAAGTTACAGTGGTAAGATCTATGGCCTTTAGCGTCTCACCTCTCCAGCATAGTAGGTAGGTCCCATCCCGCGGCACGGCCTAGATGTCCAACGCCTTAAGCTTTAGGGTGTATACTGCGGCGGTCATAGCAGAGGCCATAATGTTGACGATGATATGGTCAAAAGAGAATGGCCTGCGAAGGAGCTTGTTGCATATAGAGTCAAGCTATAGACGATAGAGGACTGGAGATTGTTCACGAGCCTCATGAACCAGATTCTACCAAAGAGTACGAATGTTGGCTGGAATCACACACAGCGAGAATAGAAGAAACATTCAATATTAAGATCGTTAACATCGACCTCTTACCCCATGCCAGAGTTACAGCCGCAATCTTTTTCACTCCGGCTTACGGTTCTGAGACGGCTTTTTAAGCTCCTTACTTGTTCTTCGTTTGGGACATTTCCTGCTTCCTTGTCGTCGGCTCCGATCTATGGGACGACTAGGTCATCAACCAAGACGCATTCTACGGCAGACTTGCTACCGACAATTATATTATCCCCATAGGGGGTTGGCATTGCAAAGTGTGAGGAAGCACACGTATGGGAACGAATTACAGCTGAAGGCTGGGGTTTATCTACGTATCTAGCCTAAAGCCTGTAAAATCAGTGAGTTCGGTAAAAAGGGTCCGACAAGGATGGCATGTTCATGAACCATGATTAGTGGCCAAGGCGAATGCAGCATATATTAGGACATATCCAAATTTACATGCCTCTATTCGGCTGAACATATGGCCCCCAAAATTGAAATGAGGTGGCGCCGAGTATGGTCTGGTCGAGATGTTGGCAATTATCAGATTATATTGATAATCTTGGTGATCAGACAGACCTCTTCCGTAGTGGCGGATATGCTTGGCACAATTTAACTAGCGCATAAGTACTAACGAGCTAATTACATTAAGCCCATTCAGATCATCTATTTGAGCTCAGATAACCTGACGTCGGACCAAAAAGGCCTCTATGACTGAGCGATGTCACATTGGCTGCGTACATAGCTGACCTAGTGTAGTATGGTAAGCCAGCCACCCTAATAAGTCAGGCATTCTAAGGGTAACGTTAGACTTCTCCACGACCTAATTAGACCCGGATCTAATCTAACCTAACCTAGCTTTAGGTTGGGTTTTAGGTTATGCTAGGTGACCCAATGAGGCCCTTAGGTACCTAATTAAGTATTTCTATTGCCTCCTTTGTCTCTAGTTTTGATTTCCTTTGTTTAACTTTAAATATTAATAGAATATATTATAATTTGATTTTATTATTACATATACTATAATTCTACTAGAAAGACATATATATCGTCTTTCCTAGTGTTCCGCTTTATTTGCATACCTATAGATAGGCGCTACTCTCTGGTAGTAGAGGTATAGTATCACTATTAACGTATTCGGCAAGCGAGTGGTCCAGGCAAGCGAGTGGTCCAGCTGGAACATCACCTAAATTGCGATAGATTACAATCGTTTAAATCCCACAATTTAAAGTCTGGTAGCAAATGTAGCCCTATGAATATATCATATGTAAGGGTTTAACAAGATTCTAGGACCTTTGAATTATTTTAAGACGCCCTTGTCGAGTTACATATATTATGATATATATCGGCAAAAATACGCCGTATTTTATAGTATTATCGTTAATTATGGTTCAATTTTAATATAGCTCCTATAGCGGCTTATGCATAGGATAATAAGAGACTAGTTCTAATATTACATCCTTAAAAGGGTTGGTTGTTGAGGTATACAACCATCAAGTTTCGCATTTAAGGTGGTGTTCTAGCTGGACCACTCGCTTGCCGAATACGTTATTATCTAACTCTATTATATTATTAGACCTACTAACTAGCTCCTTGGTATTACTAATTACGTCTACCTTAATGTAATAGGCCTCTTATCTTTCTCTTCCTTTACTACCTTAATGTTATCTAAGGAGAAGAATCTTTTAAACTCCTTTACCTTCTACTTTTTAAGATTAAAATTTAAAGTATAAACAAATATTATAAGCTTCTTAATTTCTAGAATTTATACAACCATAGTAATAATAGTAGATATCTTAAGTAGTATTAAAAAGTCGCACTATACTAGTACTAGTTACTATAATTAAGAGAATATCTTATATAAAAGTAGCGATTGTAGGAAAATAGCCTTAGCACTCTTTTTAGAATTAGGAAGGCTTAGTATTTATAGTATATAAGAGGAAGTTAGCATTAAATAAAGGTAAATTATATTTAAACTTACTATTATTAATATACTAAGTCGTCCTATCCCTAACTAGTCTTACTTGTAATTTATATCCACTTAATATCATATTTAGCCTTACACTTAGTCTTACTACAGAGTAAGGGCTTAAAGCGCTTGGTATTTAACATATACCCTTAGTAATAAATTAGGGCTTTTTAGAAAGAGCTCTAGTATTTAACTTATTATAGTTTATCCTAATTATCTAATAAGAAGAATTAAAACCAATCATTAAAGGCTAATATAATACTAATTTTATAAATATACCTTTGAATATTATTTATCTATAAATAGTATATATCTAGCTTTAATTAGCTAACTTTAAGAGATCTAAATATATACTTTTTCTATAAAACTCGCTTCTACTAGAGCTACTTTATTAATATTTTAATATAAAAAGTATATTATAAATTTTAGAAATTAGGTATTGTGTTTAAGAGATTAATTATATAGTTTATTTAGCGCTATTTATTATTACTAAGTAGTATTTCTTTATAATCATACTCTATATAAAAAGGTAGAAGTATTAGATAAAATCTGTTAATAAAGTATTAGAAATATTAAATTCTATTTTCTTATATCTTATATTATACTAGATCTTGTTTAAGATATAATAGATTTCCTAATTCTGGTATCGTGTATTAACCTAGATTAATACTAACTATTTTTTAGTTTATTTTATCTTAATGGTATTATTTAGAGGAACTACCTTTGAATTATTAAAAGGCTAAATACGACCTAGATAATATAAGTAAGATAAGAAGTTTAGATAATATTAATATTATCGAATAAGTCTTACTAGAGTTAACTAATATCTTATTATTTAATATATTATTAGTATTAATCTAAATATCTAGTCTTGTATCATATATTTTAATAGTATTTTAAGGAAAATACTACTTCGGTTTAAGCTAGTATACGAACTAAGAAAGTGCTTGAAACTATAAATATAACAATAATTATCTATAAAAATAAAAAAGTATAACAATTAAGCGTAATTGAAATCTTTTAAATTTAATAGTATTAGTAACAGAATATACTATTAGTAGCGTATAATAAGGTCTTACAGTTACTAACGAATTATATTTATATATAAGATTATTAGAGATAAAAGGTATAAAGTAAGCCCCTCTAATTAGACTGTAAAATATTAGATAGTAAGATAGAAAGGAAGCTAATTAAGTATAAGAAATTATAAGATCTATTCCTCTTAGTCTAATTTTTGAAAGGAGTATGTATTAGTTAGGATTTCATACTATTAAATTTAAAATATATTAGAAGTATAAGAGTAAGAAGAATATAATTAATAATGGGCAATGTTAAAGGACCCCCTCTCCACCTGTCTAAGCCTGATTGGGGAAGGTGTACTATGTGTATTTCATGGTGTATTTCTTTAGTAGAAATTCACGAAATCCATAGTAATGCCAATACACCGAGGACCTGTTTCAGAAAACACTACAGAACTAGAGGAGTCAGCCTATATAGCGGCTAGTAGGCTATTTTACGTCGAATTCTTCAAAAGTTTCATACAAAAGGTGAGAAAACAAGTAGTTAAATCGTATCAGCTATCCATAGAGCTCTTCAACGCTTCCTAGGCCGATCGGACCATTGATTCTCTCCCTAGGAAGTAGAAATTATCGCCGGCGATAGCACGGGCCCCTAGGCCGTAGACGAAGCTATCCCGCCCTATTATCACCTTACGAGGCCTGTTGTCTTCCTCTACGCCCTTTTATGCATTTTTACTAAGGAAATACACTGTGAAATACACTTTTTAAGCCTACCCTAATTAGGCTTAGATAGGTTGTGAGGTGTCCTGGTAACATTGCCCCTAATAATATACTCCTTTTTTAAGAAAGCTTATAATTTTTATAATTTCCTCTCTTATAGACATTTAATGGCTTATAGATTTTAGATACTTTACTATAATTAATATATCTTAGTAGCCTTTCCAACCTAGTCTAATAAAATAATAGTATTCAAGGATTTTCTTATAGCGTTTATACATAACCTCTAGTACGGCTATATATAATTTAAATATTTAGTAAAAGCTATTCTAAATACTAATCTAATAGGCTATGCTATATCTTAATAGATCTTACTTTTCCTTCTATAATTAGTTTATAACTACTACTTAACTTATGTAGTATATTCGATAATATTATAAAAAAATAAAGGCTTCTTTTCAGTTAGGCCTGTATAGGCAAAAGGAGGAGGGATAATATAAGGATTATTTAGCCAAATAAAACTATTATATAAGTCATAGAATATAGCCTAGCTACTAGGTAGAGTTACTGGATAATTCAATAGTATAAGATATAATAGGTTACTTATATCACTATTATAAAAAGACGATAGAAAGTTAGAGTACTAGCTCTAAGATATAATAGGGTATTAGAGAGAATAGTTTAAAGGTAAGAATGATAGGGACATAGGTAATACCTATAAAGTCTAAGAAATTAGCTCTTAGATAAAATATATATATATAGGAAGAAAATAGATATATTAAAAGGAATGTAATAAAATAGCTATTAGTAAGCGTAATAACTATATCTATATATGTTCGACCTAATAGAACCTAATCAAAACTAGAAATAGCCTAGTAATAACCTAATTCCTATACAAACTTCTTTTTTTTAAAAAAAGCTCTAAAATATTTTATTACATACTAATTTATC